CAATATTAATTTTTATTAATATTTAATTTATTAATAATTTTTTTACGAAATAATTAAATATTTAATTAAAAAATATGTATTTAATATTAAGTATAATTTTGTAAAATATAAAATTTATAAAATATTAAAAAATCAAAATATAACAATACATTTAAAATAAATTACAAAAACAATACATATAATATACATCATATACATATATCATATGTCCAATACAATATATTTCTTCCGTCTCATCTACCATCGTTACATTGCCGTTTCTGTCCGTCCTACATTCCATGTCACTTTCTTTATTTTTCTACATTGCCGTTTCTGTCCGTCCTACATTCTATGTCACTTTCTTTATTTGAAAAATGATTATACACTTTAATCTCATTTTAAATTTTGTAATTTAATTTTAATTAAACTAATTAGTTATCATAATCTTAATCTATAATTATTTATATTATAGGATAATTGTTTTCAATATATTTTTAATTATCTACTAATTATACAGTTTACAGTGATCCAGACGTGACGGAGGGAATATTTATTAATTTTGGACACCACCTAATGTCTCTGTGAAAGGACTTGTGACTAGAGTTGGTAAATGAATCGAGTAGTTCGCGACCTAACCTCGACTCGACTTGTTAACAGTTCGATTTGATTCTAGAGATGACAAAAATGGATTATCAGGACATGTGGAACGCTGGACATTAATTTAAGAAAAAAAAAGAAAGGACACAGATATTTTCTGAGGCCATATGTAATGCAAATACTCAATTTCGGGTTATTTTTTCTCTCCACTACATTGGTGTAGATATTTTTCTTAAAAAAATCCTTACCTCAATCTTTTTATTTATTTATTTTTTATTTTTAAATTATTATATATATATACATTTTATTGTAACGTAGCTACAAAATTTTAGATAAAATATAGTAAGTATTTAAAAAATATATTAGTAAAAATAATTATTATAAAATAAAAATAATTATAAATTAAGAGTAAGATAACTAAATAATTCAATTAATATTAAAAAATTATGAATTATAAATTTTAAAATGTGATTAAAAAAAATAATCATATTTTTTTTTAAAAAAATGATAAATTATATAAAACGAATCGAAATTGAAAAAACTGGACAATTTACATAAAATGGAGAAAATATACTTTTAAAAATATTATACTACATATTTTATTAATTTTATAATTAAATAATAAATAATAAATCAATATTAATTTTTATTAATATTTAATTTATTGACAAATTTTTACGTAATAATTAAAAAAATATATATTTAATATTAAGTATAATTTTGTAAAATATAAAATTATACTCACTCCGTCTCGTAACAAGCTATCCATTTTTCCACTTTAGTCCGTCCTATAACAAAGTATCAATTTTGTTTTTTAGTAACCGTACTATCTACGTAACATTATAAATACCCTTACAACTTACAATATATTACACAAATGTCATTATATCACATAATACTAATAAAGTTATTTTAGTAATTTCTATTTTATTCTTATTAAATTTCAATATAATACTAATTTTTCTAAAATTCCATGCAAAAAGCAAATATATACCTAATTATGAGAGGCTTAATTATAAAATATTAAAAAAAATCAAAATATAACAATACATTTAAAATAAATTACAAAAACAATACATATAATATACATCATATACATATATTAGATGTCCAATACAATATATTTATTAATTTTGGGCATCACGTAATGTCTGTGTGAAATGGACTTGTGACTAGAGTTGGTAAATGAATCGAGTAGACCTAACATCGACTTGACTTGTTAACAATTCGACTTGATTATAAAGATGACAAAAATAAACACAGTCCGAAAGTCCTATCGGAACACGGCAAGAAAAAAAATCATATTTGGGCGTAAAAAAATAAGCTTGAAATTTTTTGGACAGTAAATGACTCGGCAATATTTGAAATAAAAACAAAAATTAAAATATGACTTAATGGTAAAATTTTTAACTTGTATATATTTAGTTAGTGTTAATATATTTATATTATTTTATATATTAATATGATATATAAATTTTAATATCAATAATTGTATTTATTAATAAAATTCAAATATTTTATTATAATAAATTATGAATAAAATTAAATATACTTTAATTTATACTAAAAAAGTATAGATAATATGTATAAATTTGAGCAGAACTCGAATTCGAATTCGAGTTGAGCTTGAGCTTGAAATTGAATTTGAGCTTAGCAAGCGGAGCTCGAACTACTCTTTTAGTTCGAATTCTTAATGAGTCAAGTCGAGTCCACACCGTTAACAAGTTCAAGTCGATCTCGCTCGGCCCGTTTAACAATTTTACTTGTGACCGTGATATCATGAATTTTCGAGGTATAGTTCATCTAGTATGACTTATTTTATCGAATCTAATTTGTAAATTATTAGATTTGATCGTGATTTAATTCGAGCATACCGAAAAATAAAAACTCCAAATTTTTACCTAAAAAAAAAAAAAAAAAAAAAAAAAAAAAAAAAAAAAAACAAAGCACTTATAATTACACATGTGACAAAAGCAAAACATCTCCCCAAAAATCTTTGCAAAGATATTGGGAGAATCTCCTTTATTTATATTGTTGCAGAGAATTTGGAAGATGTTTTATCGAATTATTTAAAGAGATATTTTTTTTTTAATGTAAAGTAAAATAATATTAAAATAATAAATATTTATAATATATTACTTGTTTATTATTTATACTATATTAATTGTTTTTAAAGGAAATATGTATATTATTGGCAAAAAAAAAAATACACTATTATTATATAATAATAATAATATAATAATAATAATAATGATAAGTGTGTATATATGTACGAGTCTGTACGGGTGTGTGTATATATATATGTATATAATTATTATAATTATATTATATGTGTATAGTATGTAATGAATTGAGAGAGAGAGAGAGGAAAAATGATTTTCTCGTGAATTCAGCTTCATCACTTTATGACCTACGTATATATGCACACAAATGAGGCGGTAAATAAATGATTGTAAAAATATCCATATCTCATTGACGTAGTTGTTGCATGGTTATAACAACTATTTGTTTTTGTTGTATGTTCTATTATAATTGAGACACATGATTATATTTTAATTTCATAATGTATAATGTTTTACAAAATAACATCAATATTAAATATACTTTTGTTAATTAAAAATTTAATTATTATTTTAGAATTATAATAAACTAAAATTTCAATAAAAATTAATAGTTTATTTAATATTAATATACTTATGGGATTGGATTTTAAATACATTATTCATTCCATTTTTTTTTTCAAAAATATCAAATTAAACATCTAATTTTTATTTTTTATATTATACTAAAAATCAATTTTACATTCAAAATATTACATTAACACTTATTTATATCACATCATACAACTATTTAAATTCAAATTTTTTACTGTTCAAATCTCAACTCAAAATCCAAACCCCTAATTATTATATACTTTATATTCTCTCCATTTAATGAGATTAGCTTCAGTTCTTTTTTACAAGCAGAGTTTATGGATTATTAAATTAGAAAGTTAATTAAATTAATTCAATTGAATAATAAGTTTGTTCGTATGGGGGTTTGTATTTTGAGTTGGAATTTGAATAGTAAAAATTTTGAATTTGAATAGTTGTATGATAGTGATATAAATAGGTATTGAGTTGATGTTTTGAATATAAAATTGATTTTTAATATAATATAAAAAATAAAAAGTAAATGTTTGATTTGATGTTTTTAGGAGGAAAAAATTGGATAAATAGTATAAATCCAATCCACTCCCGCAAACAATGAAATGTTTATTCGGTTTTATCCATCCAACAATAAGAGATAGTAAAAGATATTTTTTCCGCAATCAGTCAAATTTGCACAATAGAGTGATGATTCTTTTGAATGATTTTTTGTTTTTTTAGTTGCATTGCCACAAAAAAAAAAAAAAAAAACTTATTAATATTAGAAACGAAGTTATAATTAATAGCTTCCAACTTAAATCATGAAAAAACATAAAGTTTATAATCATAAAAAATAAATTGTTTGCATGTTTCTTAATAAAATTCAATCTTCTAATTTATTTTATTTTGAAGTTAATATTTTACGACACCAATAGGAAATATTTATCCATCCGCCTCGAGCTTTATCCATCTTGAACAAGATTACAACTCCCATTGAAATTACCGACTAGCTAATGCATTCCGTACAACCCGTCGAGAGTCATTTTGAAAGTATTACCTAAACTCTTCCTTTCCATACATAACCGAAGAATGAAAAAGATTGAGCAATAGCATGATGAACTAAAAAGTCTCCAACATCTCAGAGATCGATAGAGGTAGGAATTTTGTTGAAGTAGATTCCTCTATCAATCAAAATGGACAGAGTGGAAGAAGGGAGGGGATTCTCTTGACTTTCTTGTTGTCATTGTCCGAAATAAATTGTAGCTAGAACCTCCGGAACCATAATAATCCTTAGTTAGAATGGAATAGTTGACCCAGCCCTTTGTTGTTTGAAGAAATCCTCCACTTCAATTGATATTTTTTCACGATACTGCTAATTTTAGTAATCACTCCCATATTATTAAATGTTGTGTGTCTTTCTTATGGTTGAGTTCAGAAAAATTTGGTTTGAGTTTAGTATTAAAATAATATTTGATGATATATTTTGTGAGAGAAATAAATATTTTTTTTTAAAAAAACGCAGAGTCCAAATAGTAAAATTTAAGAAAATTTGTGTAAAGAAACGTACCCAATTGTTATTATCATAAATATATGCTTCAGTGTTTTGGTTAGTATGTTCTGTCAGTTTTACTACCTCCGACTGCACTGAGGGTCTTGTTTACTTTTTGAATTTTGATCTTTGAATATTAATTATTATATCAAAAAGTAGTACAAATTAAAAAAAAATTAAAAAATACTTGTATTAGTGTCATAATTACTAATATAAGAATATTTGTATAAAAAATTATACAACGCAAAAGGTAAAAACACATGTATATTACTTTAGCATAGTAATACAATACATCCCAAAATAATGTTTCGTCTTTTCCATTTATTCTGTATATAAAAGTTAAGTCGACAGCATATAAACAAAGTAGATTCAAGTCGTAACAAAGACAAACGATCAAATATTCAATCCTTAAATCTTTTCCATCATTAAGTGCGCACCGTGTTGAGGCTGAAGTGTAATCACTGTACAAGGAGCATGCGAATACGACGGAGAAAGACTGAAACTGTAACGCTGTAGGATCATAGCCATCGCCATTTTAGCTTCTGCCATAGCAAAGTTTTGTCCCAAACAAATCCGAGGCCCGCCTCCAAAGGGCAGATATGTCATTTGGCCTTTCGTAGCATGAGAAACTCCCTCGCTAAACCTCAAGGGATTGAATTCTTTGACGTCGTCACCCCATATTTCCTTGTCATGATGTAATAAAATGATCGGCAATAGAAGTTGCACCCCGGCCGGTAGACTTAAGTTTCCCCCTAATTTACTCTCTTCCTTAGTCATCCGAACGAGGAATATTCCCGGCGGATATAATCTCATTGTCTCGTGGAATATCATGTTTATCTGCATAAATACAAAAGAACAAAAATTGTCAGTTGTGTTCTTTTGTGAGTTTTATTATACGTTATTACTATTCAGATTCATTTTTTCTTTTTAAAAATATCACATAAAACAATTAATTTTTTTTTTATATTATACTACAAATTTATTTCACATTCAAAACATCGCATCAACCTATATTTATATCACATCAAACAACTATTCAAATTCAATTTTTTACATAGGCAAAGTGAATATCCAGAGTTTGTTACCCAATATATCTAAATTTACCAATAAAAGGAAAGATTTCCGAAGACTTACAGTTTTGAGGTGGTTTAACTCGTGATATTCGGGTTTTCTTTTACCAAAGAGTTGGAGAACTTCATCTCTAGCGCGAGACTGCCAATCGGTGTACTTTCCCAATAGAATCATAGTCCAAACAAGTAGAGTCGAGGTTGTCTCCTGCCCGGCAAAGTAAAAAAGCTTGCATTCTTCGATAACCTCTTCCATGCTCATTCCAAACTTACTTCCTCCTACTTCAATTTCTTTGATATTCGATCCAAGTAGCAAACCGAGCAAATCGTCCCCACTACCCTCCCCGGCTTTTATCGATTTCATCCTTTTCTCGATGATGCTCATCACAGTTGACTCGATTATCCTCACGATTTCCTTCATTCTTCTATTGTGTTGTGTCGGTATAAACCTGTAAGAGAATAGAAAATGAGTAATTACACCTAATATGCAATCGAACGATCAATTCAAAACAAATCGAAGTTTTGCACATATAAATGAAAACGACAAACCTCCAACCGGGAATGTAAACCGAGCGACTCGCTTTCATAATAAAGCGGGCTTGTTCGCTTTGAAGTTCAAATATTTTTCTTCCTTCCTCGTAGCTACTACCAAAGGCCGTGCGCGAAATGACGTCGCTTGTAAGAGTTTGAAGATAAGGCCACACATCCAATTCAGACACCACTTCGTTCGGGATAATCTCATCCCATTTGCTCAACATGTCGCAGCAACTCAAGTAAAACGACGTCGCCATGAACTGCAAATAAACGATGTAATAATATATATATATATATATATATAGGGTACAAGTTTTCGTTCCAACACAAACGACAAGTAGTGCATTCATACAGAAAAATACCTTCAGTTTCTCGACATGGAAGGCCGGATTGATAAGCTTTCTATGCTTAGCCCATTTGTCTGTTTCCATCGACGCCACACCTCTTGCAATACGACCAACCGCAGGATTGCCGGGAGGCTTTTGGAAGAGGTAATTCTTCGACAAAATCTCGCGGATATGTTCGGGTTCCCAGACAATCACTGTGGGTCGTGGCCCAAACCATTGGAAGCCACTCTTACCTATAGGGAGTTTTATTACACATCAAAATCCTAACACATAACCAAAAATATTTGTATATTTCAATTCAACAGTTCATAATCTACAATAACAAGAGACATATATTCACTCTCATTCAGTATCAATTGCCAATATTGATCTAACAAAATCGTGGATAAAACAGGGCACCAAATCAACTACAGATATTAGTATAACCAATCGATCAATCCTTTCAAAAGCGATTAATTTCAGAGTGCATCTGCAAGAAAGAATAATTAATCAAGAACCCCTGTAAAAACTCATACCGTATTTGTTGAGGTTTTGAAGAATGGTGGGAGTAACTCTGGGGACAATATCATTTGAGAAACTACTCATTGGCTTTGACCTGGCTTCTTCTAGAAGCTTCGCCATGTCCTTAAGGTCTCCGAAGAAGAGCCTGTAAGGGTTTCCCTTGAAACCCATCTTCCTCAGCCGTTTCTCCAGTCTTTTCGGCCTAAGCCACACAAAATTGAACACTTTCCAAGCGTAGTAACAACACACCGCAGCAACAGAAGCTATTATCACCACCATCCCCAAAACCCCAATCTCCATCTCCATGGGATGATCGATCGATAAGATATGATACTGTTTTCTTACCACCACCCACAATTCAATAAACTAATTGAACACTTCCTACCTTCCTTCTAGGTTATTTGTATCAGCTTTACTGGATTTGGATTGTATATTTGTAGTGAGAGATTGGTTCTGTCCTCATCCTACCTCCAGTCTTAACTCACTCTATATACTGTAATATCTATAGGTGGTAAGAGGATAACTTTACTTAGACCATAGATATACTTATGGGTGTGTTTGTTCGAGGGTTTGGATTTTGGGTTGGGATTTGAATAGTAAAAATTTTGAATTTGAATAGTTGTATGATGTGATATAAATAAGAATTGATGTGATGTTTTGAATGTTAAATTAATTTTTAGTATAATATAAAAAATGAAAAATAAATGTTTGATTTGATATTTTTGGATGGAAAATTTTGTGGGAATAGTAAAAATCCCACAAAATCCCCCAAACAAACACACCCATAATGGGCAATCCTCGATCCAATCCCTTTACTCGATGTTCACTTTTCTGCCACGTTCTTGGGTCAAACCATACAATAATAAATTTGATGGACAGAAGAATATTAATTTTACATATAATATAAAATTTATATAAAAAAAAATAATCTCTGTTCATCCAATTACGTATTTATTTGACTAGTATCGATTTAAAAAAAATCAAATAAAATCAAATTTTTTATTTTTTGGATAAATAAAAAAATAGAAAAAGTGATATTTTGTAACTAAAAATGAAACGACAATAAATTTGGCAGACAACAAAAATATTAAAAAAAAAAATAAATAACGAAAGGAGTATAAATTAAAACCTATAGCATAAAGTTTGGATAATAAAAAATATAGAATTTATTTAATTTTGATTTAAATTTAATTTTAATTGCAGGATTATATATCAATAATAATTTGTAAGAAGAAATAAATAATTATATTTATTGAAAATTGATTTAAAATCAAAATTAAACACATCTTTGTATAGATGGCTTTGCTAATTCATTAAATTAATGAGTATATTAAATAATGTATAAATTATATTACTTCATAAATTCCGAGCAAAAAAAATTTATATTACTTCATAAAAATATATATATACAATTAAAAACAATTAAATTTAGAAATCATTTATTTCTCTCTTGGCGAAGGAGAGAGAAGTGCAAGAATTCTTGGATGCATTTGTTTGTTGGGTATGATCAAAATTTTGGTAATTATTCATTAAAAATAATTACTGTATAAAATACTACTAAATTAATAGTTTATACATTTAAAATAATCCATTATTTAATATTATATAAAACAATCCTTATTTCATGTTGAATTGGGTGTTTTTCTTTTTCTTTTCTTTTTTTTCTAATTTAAATCAAAATAACATTATTTTGTTATACAATTTTCAATAAAAAAAATGTTATTTTTTAATAAAATATTACATCAAAATATTATTTAAATTAAAACTTAAATAAAAAATTTAATTTCAAATCAATACCAAACAAAGCTATGCTATTTTGCCATTTTTTAAAAAAAGATTTCTATTTATAAAACACCACATTGAATATACTTAAACAAAAAAATTATAATAATAATAAAACAATTAAACTCAATCCAAAATAAATAAATAACCACTAAACAAACACATGTTTCTCAAACATGTTTTTAAACGTATAGTAGTATTTAAAAATTTATGGTTTATTTAGAAAAATATGTAAAAAAAATAAAGTTTATATTCAAAATATCACATTCACTAATTATTTATATTATATAAATATTTATTTGTTATTTTTATTTTTTACTATTTCAAATTAATCAAAATAAAATATATAATCAAAATAAAATATAAATTATATTACAATAAGTATTTATTTGTATTTAATATAATGTATTTAAAGTATCGTACAAAAATTATTTTAAATTAATATTTTATTATATTTAAAATAATAAAAGTTATTAAAATACAAAAATCTCAAGCAAACTTACAAATTATACACAATTATATTAGCTATATATTATAGTAAAATAAAACTAACTACATTAGCGCATTGGTTGAGTATAGAGCTGGCAAAAATTGATCCGACACGAAATAATTGAGTTTGGGTCAAAGATTTCAATTCGATTATGTATACATGTTGACACGAACCCGATACGATAATAAACGGGTCGGGTTAACGTTGAAACTCTCAATTCGAACCCGACACGATAATCCGATTATAATATATTAATATTGATTAATATATTTATTATATATATATAAAATAATCATACTTTAATAATTTTTTCATAAATTAATTTAAACTAAGTTCAATTTTAAATAATTCAACCCAAACCAATAAAAATCAATATAACACGACAATAAAATAAAAAATTATTTAATTTGTATCAAGAAATTAGACTTAATTATGTATACGGGTCAACACGAGTCAATCCGAACCCGACATGATAATAAACAGGTTAACACGAACCCGATACGATAATAAACATATCAAGTTAGGGTTGAGTAATTTAACCTCTTTAAAGTAGTCAATCCGACACGAATCGATCCATTGCCGACTCTAATTGAGTAGCTGACATATTTCCAGTTATAAAATAATAATAATAATAATAATAATAATAATAATAATAATAAAATGACACTAACAGCCCGAATTAGACTTTTAGTATCGGACAGGGTCGGTCTGAGAAAAATACACATCTCCAATTAAGTTAAGTTAATACATTGTTTGATTTGAGGAATTGTAAACGAAAACGACAAAGATGAAATCAAAACAACTTAGGCTCTGTTTACGAGGTTTCTAAATTACTCAGTCCATTTCATTTTAATGGACTTTTTTTCCAATTTTTTTAATCACATAAAATATTTATTTTATATTTTGAGTAAAACTTACTAAATTAAATAAAATTTTAAATTCACTATTTATCTTTTTTTTTTTTTTTTGGTAAACATCCGGCCGCATTGGGGGTTTGAATCCATAATCTCACGGTCAAACGTCCAACGTCCACAACACCAGGTCACTTCTTATCGGACAACTTAATTAATTATATAACATATAACATCATAAAAGACATGCTCAAAACTTCTTTATTTCTATCTCTTTTAAAAATAAATAAATATTTTTATCTACACATAGTGTTTTGATTTGAAATTTTTCTTAGATAAAATATAATGAATTATGTAGATAATATAAAAAAATAATATTTTATATTAAATATTAACTTTTGTGAGAGAATAAAATATATATATTAAAAATCGCGTAAAAAAAAATATTGTGCAAACAAACCCTTAAAAACATTACATATTTTATAAAATTAGTTTATTTTAATTATAAATAAATATATATATTTTCTATTTATTTGTACTATAAAAAAATTTATTTTTTACAAAATAATATTCATATTTGTAAATATTTTTTATTCCGAAATAATATTTTAAATATTTAAATATATATTATAAATTTTTTAATCATATATAGTAAATTTATTTTAAAACTACTAATATTATTAATTATATAAAAATAATATTATAACTCACTATTATTAACTAATTAAACATCGTTACTTTAAATATCATGTCACAAGTGAAAATGGTCAATAATTACATATTAATTATAAAAAGATATGTACTTTATCTTGACTCTGTTCCTTAACAATATATTTATTATTATTTTTTTATTTTGATCCGTCTAATAACAAAATATCCGTTTCACTTTTTAGTAATTGTATTTTTTACTAATATTAAAAATACTTCTTACAAGTTATAATATCACGTAATACTAATAAAGTTATTTTAATCTTTTAAACTTTATTTATACCACACTCTAATATAATACTAATATTTCTAAAATTATGTGTAAAAAACACATAGATAGATTATTAATAAGGCAGGAGGGAGTACATCATTACTCCAAATATCATATGCCCGAAGTGTCATATATCAAAAAAAAACTTCTCACTTTATTAATTAATTCATATATTTTTCAAATACTTATGATTTATATCACAATAAACTAATACTTCCTCCGTCTTACATAATTTGTCTCTATTTTCTATTTTCGTCCGTCCCACATAACTTGTCTTTTCTATTTTTGAAAATATAGTTATGCAATTTAATCGTTTTTTAAATTTTATAATTTTTTTAATTTTAATTAAATTATTTACTTATCTTAATTTTAATCTATAATTATTTTTACTAAATAATAATTATTTTTACTAATACACTTTTTAATTACTTATTAATTATACTTTACCTAAATTCTCGTGGCTACAGTAATACACCTATATTAAATGGGACGGAGGAAGTACTTTTTTGATGGTTATATATATATTTTTTCACATGAATTTTAGTATAATATATGTAATTGTACAATAATAATATAAAAAGACAAATTTGCCATTAAATCAATTTATTTTTTAATCACATTATTTGTAATATTTTGTACATTGTAGAAGTATTTTTTCATTAAAAGTAAAAATTATATTTAATTAATAAAAAAAAAAGAATGAATACATTTGAGTTAAATATAAAAAAATCATAAAATAATTACATACGACTCGGACGGATAAAATATAATAATATATTTATTAAAATTTGTGTTTACCTTAAATGAATACAAATTTTGTGGGAAAGAGTATAAAAGTTGAATGTATTTATAAAATATAGTATGATCAATTTTACTAAAAATATATATATAAACTTCGTATTTAAGACAAACAAAAATGATAAAAAGATAAATTTTTTGGTTGGAGGAAATAGTATTTATTAAAATTTTATATTCAATACAAAATATTAAATCTAATAAGTAATAAGAATATATTTAAATCGCATAAATAAAAATTTGTATTTCAATATTACTATTTTAAATTTTCTTTAGTATCTTATATATATATATTTTATATGTACAGTAATTTTGAAAATTTTGACACTATTTACACATATTAATTCAAAATATATATATATATTACAAAATATGATATAAAATACTAATTTTCTATTATTTTTTTTGTTTTTAATATTTCAAAAATTTCCAAAATGTCTTATCTAAGTAGAAGTTTTTGTAAAATTTATTATTTGTAGAAGGTAGCTATCAGTGTTACACGAAACATGGCGAGAAACTACAAATAGAATTGAAGAACGTAACACCCAAGAAATAAAGGTGTGGGGTAGCTTCATCTCTGATTACGTCGCAAAAATTGACTCGATACGATACGACCCGATATAAAATAATTGGATTTGGATCAAATATTTCAACTCGATTATATATACGGGTTGATACGAACCCGACATGATAATAAACGGGTCGGGTTAGGATTGAGACTTTCAATTCGAACCCGACACTACAACCCGATTATAATATATTAATATTGATTAATATATTTATTATATATATAAAATAATCATAATTTAATAATTTTTTCATAAATTAATTTAAACTAAGTTTAATTTTAAATAATTCAACTCAAATCAATAAAAACTAACGTAACACGACAACAAAACAAAAAATTATTTAATTTGAATCAAGAAATTAGACTTAATTATGGATACGGGTCAACACGAGTCAACTTGAACTCGATACAATAGTAAATGGATCGGGTTAGAGTTGAATAATTTAACCCGTTTAAAGTAGTCAACTCGACACGAATCGACCCATTGCCGAGTCTAGTTACGTCAAGTCAAAATTTGGTGAAGATCTCCTTGTTGAAAATTATATACAAATATTGATATACTATTGCTACTGGTTCAGGGGCTTTACGTATTTTATTTTATTTTTATAATATTATTACTATAAAATATTTCTTCGGTATTATATAGTCAAATTATTTTATAATAGTAAATTATAATATTATTTTTTTATATAATTAATAATATTGATATTTTAAAATAAATTTAATATATATAAAAAAATTAAAAAATATATATAAATATTTTAAAAATTATATCGAAATAGAGATATTACTTTTTAGAGAATAAATTTTTTATAATATAAATAAATAAAAAAATATGTTTATTTATTTATAATTAATATAAATTATAAAAGAGATAGTAATATTTTAAATATAGATATAAATATTTATTTTTTGAGGAGATAAATAAAAGTAAAAAGATTTTATGTGGATCTTAGATGATGTATGATGTAAATATGTTATTTAGTTAATTAAATTGATTTATATTTGTAAGATATGTTTTAATTTTGTAAGTTTTATTCAAAATAAAAATGTGTCAATGGTTATAGAATTAAAAAAAAAAAAAAAAAGTCAATTAAAATGTCAAACTGTTATGTTTGAATTATTGAGTTTTTGAATGAATGGAATATATATTATATATAGTGTATTAAAATAGTGTATATTATATTATATAAATATATTATAATATTTATGAGACTTGTGTAGTTCAAAAATAGATTAAAGTGAACAAAAACAGCCAAGCCTAGATCTTGCAACCTCGTGCAATTACCATGCTATTAACCCATACTTCCTGAATGAAAGCTTATCACTTACGTATCAAAATCCACCTGAAAATAACCCCAAACACAAAATAATATCGACCTAGTATCTCTTGAAGACTTTCATTTGCGGATAAATAATTAATGACTGCGTTTACCTAACAATTCGAGCTTTTAGGTGAGACGATAATTCTTTCATTTGCGAATAAATAATTAATGAGTTCGACTTTTTAGGTGAAACAATAATTCTTTATCCGTCAGTATCAATGACAATACACATTCAAAATACAAACCTACAATTTTCCATGAAGGCAAACCAAAAACATATAGATGATCTTTCTATTAAAAATGCATTACTACATCTTACAATAGCCATATAAATTACTAAAGGATAACCTATGTGAAAACTAAGCATCAACCCTAATTAAATTCGACGCAAGATCAACTGCGCGCCGTATTGAGGTTGAAGTGAAAGACCAACTTCAGGTGCATGTGCATAAGAAGGAGATATTACAAAAGCATAACGTTGTAAAATCATGGCTATCACTAACTTGGCTTCTAACAAAGCAAAACTTTGTCCAATACATATTCGAGGCCCCCCGCCAAATGGAAAATACGAAAATTGATCTTTTGTCGCCTTTGAAACTCCTTCGCTAAATCTCTCGGGTTTGAAATCATCAGCATCATCTCCCCATACCCTTTTGTCATGATGCAACAAAACCGCAGGCAAAAACAGTTGTACCCCGCCGGGTAAGATCAAATTTTTTAGCGTAGTTTCTTGATGAATTGCTCGACTTAGAATTACGCCCGGCGGATACAACCTCAAAACCTCGTGGAAAATCATTGTCACCTGAAAATGTTATATGATTCATGTTCTAAATGTATCATAGAAATTATATGATTATTAATAACTTAGGCCAAGTTTAATTTCCTTACAACTTTCAAGCGGTTTAGGTTGTGAAAATCGGGCACTTCATTGTTTGCAAAGACATGTAGAATTTCGTCTCTAGCTCTTTCTTGCCAATCCAAATGTTTACCCAATAAAAGCATTGTCCAAACTAGCAGCGACGAGGTTGTCGTTTGCCCAGCAATGTAGAAAAGCTTGCATTCCTCGATGACATCCTCCATGCTCATTCCAAACTCATTTCCATTTTCTTGGATTTCCTTGAAATTGGATTCCAGTAGTAATCCCAGAAGATCGTTCGAGTTCTGGCTACCTCTTTCAATCAACTGCATTCTTTTGTTGATGATTTCTAGTACACATGATTGTGCTTCCCTCGCGTTTTCCTTCATCTTTCTATTCACTTTTGTTGGCAAAAACCTTCAAAAGATCAAGAGTGTTCAATGGCTATTTTTAGCATTTTCTTCTTAGTTTAAGGGAATTTATAAAATGCATATATACATGAGTTGTGTTTGAAAAATAAATGCATAAAACATCTCGATTTTACCTTCATAACTCACTTTTATCTTAACAAAAATAATGCATAGAATTCCTATTTTATTGAGTCGAAAGAATGAAGGTTCATCAGTACAAAAATTAATAACCGGAAAACTTGCACTTTAGACAATTTGAGTTATATGATCCCGTTATTTTCGATATAAAAAAAGTATTTTCATACTGCGGGTTCTCACATTATAAAAAATAAAAAAATAATAAAAAAATAAAGCTTAGAATTCCTATTTTATTGAGTCGAAAGAATGAAGGTTCATCAGTAAAAAAAAATTAATAACTGAAAAACTCGTACTTTAGACAATTTCAATTATATGATCCAATCATTTTCGATATAAAAAAAGTGCTTGATTAAACCTTGCACTATATAGTTTCACTTAGCTTCTTAGTTTGTTTACTTATTATATCTTTAACTCTGTTTTTCGATTACTAATAAAAATAGTCATTTATCAAAAATATTACACTACATCTTTCATTCAAATATTTTCTTATCCCTTTTATATTTGACAGAGAGAATTAGAACATATTTCAATTTTAACTACTGAGGGAGTAAATAATATTTATTTACATAATGTATAATACCAAATTTTTATTGGAATTACTCTTACATTTTACCAAAATCCAGGATAATAAAATATTTTAAAAATATATCTAAAACACATATTTTGTAGAAAAATGTAACTAGCCTAAAGATAATCTCATAGAAGCATAACTTTTTTGTAGAATTTCAAAATTTTACAAAAGAAAATTTGATATGTTAAAAAGAATTTGAAACTGTAATTTAAAATCAAAATCAATTGATCTTAAATGAAATTATCCTTGGTCTTTATAAACTAATTAGTGTGTCCCAATATTTTTTTCAATATCGAATATATTCAACTATGATACTTAATAAATTAGTGAATGAATGAATTACCTCCATCCCGGGATCAAAAGGGCAAAGGAATTGAGGATAAGTGTGGCTTGTTGATTCTGAAGTTCAAATATCTTCCTTCCTTCTTCATAGTTACTTCCGAAAGCAGTGCGCGAGATTGCATCACTTGTTAGAGTCCTAATGTGCGGCCACACATCCACTTCGCATGACCCGTCCATCCGCACGATCTCTTCCCAGTTGCTCAGCATCTTAACACAGCTCGAATAAAATGATGGAAGCATGTGCTACACCGTATGAAATGTACATATATATATATATATATAACAATGAGTTAATGATCATAAAATTCATAGTAAGACAATTACATTATAAGTTCAATTTGGAACAAACTACATGCACATGCATAGGGGTGTCGAAAGTAAACCCGATTCGAAAAATCGAACCCGTTCGATCTGAAATTTTTCAGGTTCGGGTTTGAAAAAAATCGGGTCGACCCGAACCTGAAACAAAAAAAATTCGTGTTGTGTTCGGGTCGTGTTTCGGGTTGACCTGATAACCTGAAATATAAAAATCAGGTTAGGTTTTGGACTTCATGTTTCGGGTTAACCTAAAATTTTTATTATTATTATTTTTATTTATAATATTTAAAATAATATAAAAATTAAAATAAAAATGATATTTTTAGGTCAATTTAATTTTTTTTAAAAATTTTCGGGTCTGTTTCGTGTCGGGTTCGTATCGGGTTTGTTCGAATTTCGAGTGACTTGAAACTAATTCAGGTCAACCTGAACCCGACCTGAAAGAATTCGTGTCGTGTTCGGGTCTAAGGTTTCAGGTCAGATTTCGGGTTCGGGTCGGGTTCGGGTTGACAGTTTTTTTATTATCCTCATGGCTCAACCTAACATATACACGACCCAAAAACACGAATTGACACCCCTACAGATGTATATATATGTATTAATGATTATGCATGTACCTTGACTTTCTCTAAATGGAATGCTGGATTGAGAAGCCTTCTATGCTTTGCCCATTTTTCTGTATCGTATTCAGCAACGCCTCTTGCTATAAGTTTGTTCAATGGCGAATTGATCTTCTGGAAAATGTAATTCCTTGAAAATATCTCTTTTATCATTTCCGGGTCTGTAATTAGAACCGTAGGCTTTGTTCCTAACCAGACGAAGCAATTTTCACCTGCAACATGCATATATACATACATATATATATGTTTGGATTAATCTCAAACTCCAATATTATATACATATATCTATCTATAACAAAACCTAAATTGGGGTGTGTTTTTTTCGATGAGTTTGGAAAAAATTTGATTTGAATTTGATATTAAAATAATGTATGATGTTTTGTGAGAGAAAAAAAATATGTATTTTTTTTTTTTAGAAATACATGATACAAATAGTAAAAAACTGAAGTTTGGAGATTAAAAAAAACACAATCTGTACAGTTTTAGTGTGCACAAGTTGCCCGGTCGCTTCTATGATATAGGTGTTTCCTATTAACCTTACTTGTAACTCCCCTAATTAAATTTTCATTAAATCTCATTCATCTTCCTTACTACTTTATGACTGTGACACCCCCGCCCGCAAGCTATGCGAAGTTGAGCATGTTGGTATCACAGACTGGTTCAACATGTCAATACGAGTCCTTCAACAGTCTAGTCAACTTCTAGGCCCGTCAACAATCCGGTCAACGACTTCGGGCCGTCGCAGGTCGGCTCTGATACCAACTGTGACACTTCGGCCTGCAAGCCACGCGAAGCCGAGCATATCGGAATCGCACTTTTATCCTCACGCCGCAAGCCATACGAAGCCTAGAATGTCGGGATTGCGCTTCTATCCTCACTCACGCGTCCCTTTGGAGACTTCTTAGGGGTCACCCACTAAAAAAAAATAGTATATTTGTAACAGAATTCCGTTCCTAAAGTTCACATAGCTAACGTAATTTCATCTCTAATTCCGTCTCTAAAATCATTAGTAACGGAAAAATTGAATTTAAAAACGAAAAAACTTCGTTACAAAATTGATAATTTCTTGTAGTGACCCAATCTCAAGTCCTCACTCACGCGTATCTTGGGAGACTTCCCAAGGGTGACCCATCCTCAAATTACTTTAGAGCAAATACGTTTAACTCTAGAGTTGTTTCGGTATGGTTTCACAAAAAGAATATACACATTGTTGACATGAGTAGCCTATTCAATCTATTTAACATCTAATCAACTTCGAATAGCTTAATACCGGTTCATTCACATACAAGAATTGACTAAGCGACTGGCCCAACTCCGGGGTATCATAATAATAAGCGTCATTTGATTATAGAAATTCCTATTCTCCAATGGGTCCAATCTTTCAAGTTTCTCTAGATCATATTTTAGATATATTTTTCAACAATATAAGCCTCTTGTCTTGGTCCTTTCTAAAGCCCTTCTCAAAATAGATTCGATCAAAGCTTTTCTTGTTGGTCTCTTGGTACCATAGTTCAATTGAGTGTACAACAATCTATCCAAAATAGATACTATGATGGGCTTATTTAGCCCAACACCTATTAAGTCTAGGACATTTTGTGAAATTCCCCTTCGACCTCATAATTGGGCTTCCCATAAATGGGCCTTCTTTCACGTTGACTTCTTGATTCGTTGGGCGAAGCATTCCACTGAACATAAACAATCACTTCACCATGCTTTGCTTTTAGGCCAGTGATAACGAGCTTAAACTAGATTATATATGTAGCGTGAGTTGTCTTGTCTAGTATGATACTTCCTTCATCCAATTTCTATTGTTGTAAAGTATATTTGCACGGTTTTTTAGGTGATTGTCTTTTTGTTATGAATTAACAAATTTGCCCTTAATTGTACGGTAGAGATTAAAAGTAATAAATGAATGAAGGGTAAAAATGTAAAATTTGTGTTTAAAAAATGAAATAGGACAATAGTTGTTGGACGTCCCAAATAGAAAAGTAGGACATTAGTTTGTGGACGGAGGGAATATTAAGTTAGATCAGAAATTTATCCAAAACACACTCGAAAAATAGTAGCGGTAGGTTTCACATTATAGAAAATAAATAAATAAAATAGATATGGTCTCGTTGAGAGGAAGCCATAATAAGAAGAATTGTCCTACTTCTTCCAAATTAGATAGGACCTCTTACCATTCCTAATAAAAATATATTATTTTATTTAATAAAATATTAAATTAAAATACTATTTAAATATAATACCCCAGAATTGGGCAGATGCTAGATTAATTTTCGTGGATGAATATGTGTCAGACCATCCGAAATTAAATAATATATAAATGAATTGAATAGACTACTCATAATAACAACAACATAAACATTCCTTTTCAAAAGTTCTATTAAAAGAATTCTAATGTATGGTTTGCAAGCTGGGTGTCACATTAAATCAACACTTCATTTATATGCACACACTTGTTAGTTTCATATTAGATTCCAATGCATTCATACATACCATTTTCTTGAAGAGCTTCATAGAAGAAGGCCAGAGTTGTTTCCAAAATATCATTGGAGAAAGCAGCCATCGGCTTCGACTGGACTTCCTTCGCCTTTCGACTTATATCTTTGAAATCTCCGAGCAAGAATCGGTACGAGTTTCCATTAAAGCCTTGCTGCCTAAGCTGTTTCTCCTTCTGCCTCGGCTCAAACCAAGCCCACTTCAAGAATTTCCACACATGTAGTAATACTAATATCATCATCATCATCATAACAATAGTGCTCATCGTGTATAGAACCATGTCCATATATACACTTTCTTTTGCAACTCAATTCAAACTCTTTTTTTCATTCTTTTACACGAACAACTATGTTTTATATATCTGTACCTATAGAAATGTTTTCATCCATTTCTGTGGTAGAGTAGGAGCTTGCAGGGGGTTCCAAGAAATTTCCTTGAGTGTATGTATATGTGTATATATATCTTCTAGAATTTAAATTAATTGGTTCAAACGAATGGTCCTACTCGATCTGTCACTGCATTTGTTTGACTTTGCTTCCTTGATGAGTGTTAGTCTTGTCAATATTTTAATGGTTTCAAGAACTAGTGGATAGGATGAGGTGTAAATAATGTTTTTAAAAACCCACCCATCGAATTCAATGAAACTACTATTAATTATTTGTGGTGTTTTGGCTTGCCATTTCTAATGTATTTGATTATGCATTGAACTATTACATAATACATTTAATTTAAAAAGAAATAAAAATATATTTAATATGAATATTATTCGAATTTTATATAATATAGCTATAAATAACTAGTAAAACAGAAAGGGTATTATATATTATTTGAATATAAAAATTTTTATTATTCACACAATGCATAGTATTTAAATTTTGAGAGAATATAGTATATATATTATTTATATTATATGAATATGGCGTATATATTATATTTTTTTTTATTAATATCTATTGAAATTGTATTAAAAAAAAATATTAGATGAACAATGCTACAATACACATATTTAATTTATATTTCATCAAACATATTACATTAAAATTTTATTTTCACATTATCAATAGACATCAATTATGATATAATTATTATATTTTCCAAAATAATTCAAAACATATCAATACACGTTTCTAATTTTCAATTGATATTATTCAAACCAAACATTTTTGGTGGTGTGGTTTCAAATTGATTCAAATTTTCAATTCATATAATCCAAAACAAACATTTTGGGGGTTTGGTTTCAAATTGATTGAATAGAGTGTTGATTTGTGTTTTTATTTAAATAATATTTTGACGTGATATTTTATGAAAGAAAGTAATGTATTTTTTATTGAATTAGAAAATATCATCTAAAACACATCTAAACCATCAATGTTATTTTGTAATAAAATAAGGTTCTTGAAAAAATTCATGAATTTTTTGTTTGTGACTTTTCAAGAAGTGTGACAATTATGTGGATATAAATCATGGCATACATTCTACACCATTTTGTGAATTTATAATCATTAAAGTTTGATAAATTTAATATTTAACATATTGTTTTAATATAAATTGCAATTGGTATTTGTATTTCAAAGCAAACTATTACATGATAAGTGTATTCTATTTGATTTCTAACATATGTTTAACACTAGATATAGTTGAGGTGTGAATTTTAATAGATTTCAGGCTAATTTAGCAAACATAGTCTCCCTAAAACCAAAGTCTCGTAAGGGATGATCCGATGGTGTGGAATGGACTTGTGACCGTGAAGTCATAGTTCAAAACCCGATACTTACCGGTCTTCCCAGCTACACATGGTATCATTTAGTGTGACTTGTCATGTCATACTTAGTTTCCAGGCTATTAGATTTGCCCGGGGATTTATCCAGAGTGTATTCGAAAAGTAGCGGCTGCGGCTTCCCACATTATAAAAAAAAAAAAAAGAGAAAACAAATTAAACAGCTTTTGGGGTGGCCTATGTTTGCAAATAGCAAGGAAACCTTGTCTGAGATCACAAAGGTTGATTTGTTTTTTGCATACAAATATTGCATTGAGGAATAAACAAGATGGTGGTAATAATTGTGTATACTTGGAGATTTTTTTTTTTTCATTTTTCTATATAAAATAAAATAATAATAATATAACATATTTTACATTTTTTGTGAATATATATATATATATTATTTTAGCATTGTAATACATTCCAAAATAATGCAAACGTGTTTTTTTTTTTTTTTAATTTTTTGTATAGAAGATTTTAATCAGAAACATATAATTTAAATAGAGACAATTAATCCTTTAGCTTTTCCAGCATCAAGTGCGCACCGTGTTGAGGTTGAAGAGTAAATACGGTGAAAGGAGCATGTGAATACGATGGAGAAAGACTGAAACTATAACGTTGTAAGATTATAGCCATCGCCATTTTAGCTTCTGTCATGGCAAAGTTTTGTCCCAAACAAACCCGAGGCCCGCTTCCAAATGGCAGATATGCCATTTGGCCTTGCGTAGCATGAGAAACTCCCTCGCTAAACCTCGAGGGGTTAAATTCTTTTACGTCATCACCCCATATTTTCTTGTCATGGTGCAACAAAATGATTGGCAATAGAAGTTGCACCCCGGCCGGTAGACTTAAGTTCTCCCCTAATTTACTTTCTTCCTTAGTCATTCGAATAATCATGATACCCGGGGGATATAATCTCATGGTCTCATGGAATATCATGTTTATCTGCATAAAATACAAGCAAAATATGTATAAACCTAAAACACAAAACATGGAAATAAAAAATAAAAAAAAAAAAAATTGTTTCTAACTTAAGACTAGGCAGTAATATTCAGACTTTGTTACCCAATGTTAAAATTTACCAATAAAAGATGTTGAAATTTAGTTCAAAATTGCATTGTGCATAAATAATACTAAAGTTTATACGACAGACAAATGTAAAGATATCCGTAATACTTACAATTTTGAGGTTGTTTAATTCTTGATATTCGGGTTTTCTTTTTCCAAAGAGTTGTAAAACCTCATCTCTTGCACGAGATTGCCAATCGGTGTACTTCGCCAATAAAATCATGGTCCAAACAAGTAAAGATGAGGTAGTCTCTTGCCCGGCAAAGTAAAAAAGTTTGCACTCTTCAATGACCTCTTCCATGCTCATTCCAAGCTTATTTCCTCCTACTTCAATTTCCTTATGATTCGATTCTAGTAGCAAACCAAGTAAATCGTCACTACTACCCTCACCAGCTTCTAGCAATTTCATCCTTTTCTCGATGATGCTCATCAAAGTTGAATTAATTATCTTTACAATTTCCTTCATTCTTCTATTATTTCGAGTGGGTAGAAACCTGCAAGAGAATGGAAAATAGTTATTACACATGTGATGAAACAATCAATCGAAACTAAACATAAAACAAAGTTTTTTTTTAAGCTACAATGCACATATAAATGAACACAATGAACTATATATCACACCTCCATCCTGGGATGTAAACTAAGAGAATCGCTTTTAGGACAAGCTCAGCTTGCTCCCTTTGGAGTTCAAATATTTTTCTTCCTTCTTCGTAGTTACTACCAAAGGCAGTGCGCGAAATGACGTCGCTTGTAAGAGTTTGAAGATAAGGCCACACATCCAATTCAGACGCCCCTTCATTCGGAATAATCTCATCCCATTTACTCAACATGTCATAGCAACTCAAGTAAAACGACGACGCCATGAGCTGCAAACAATTGAAACAATAATGATGTACAAGTTTTCGTTCCAATATACTCTCTCTGTCTCACATAAAATATCCATTTATCCGTCCCACATAATTTGTTCATTTTATCCTTTGAAAAATAATTATACACTAATCACATTTTAAATTTTATGATTTATAATTTTAATTAAATTATTTAGTTATTCTAATTTTAATATACATAATAATTATTTTTGTTAATACACTTTTTGATTATTCGTTAATTATACTTCTTTTAAAATTTCGTATCTACGGTGATGTGGACAATTTTTAGGGGACGGAGAAAGTAGATGACAAGAAGTGCATACATATAGAACAATACCTTCAATTTCTCGACACGGAAGGCCGGGTTGATAAGCTTTCTATGCTTAGCCCATTTCTCTTCTTCCATCCACAATACACCTTTTGCTATTTCTTGAACTGCAACATTTGCGGGAGGCTTTTGGTAGATGTAATTCTTTGACAAAATTTCTCGGATATGTTCAGGTTCCCAAACAATCACTGAGGGTATTGGCCCATACCATTCAAAACTATCCTTACCTGCAAGGAGTTTTATTACACATCAAATTATTGAAGCATAAGCAAATAACATGGGGTATGCTGTCGGAATTCTTATTTTGAGATAATCCGGAAAATTAAGTATTGACTAAAATATTTACTTCTTGGAAGATTAATATTTGATATTTTTTTCTCAAAATTGAATTTCAATGGTTGAAAAATAGACCAGCTAAATGATAAATTACGATTATTCGAGCTATGCCATATTGTGATGACATATGCCGAACCGAACCAAACCATGCTCTATCTTACCCTCATTTGTTCTAGATTGGATTGAACTGAACTAAAACTAGAGATTGAATGTAAAATCTATTAGTAGGGCTTTGAGCACACTAGGGATGTCAAATGGGGCGGGTTCGGATCTAAAAAATTTGGTTCGGGATGGGTTACGGGTTTTAATAATTATGATAATTTATTTATATTTTTATACAATATAAATTATACTATTTATTTATTTAAAAAATTTAAATATAAAATAGAATCTTAATTTTAAATCAAATTTATGTTCGCATCAGTTTTTCCTACAATTCTCTTTATAGTCGGGACTACTGCTGATCGCCATCACTACGGACTATCGTCAATTTTTTATTATTCTTATTTTTAGAACTATAATTTTTTGGTATTTGACGCATACTTCTTTTACTATTAAATTATTTTTAAAAAATTTATTTTATTTTCTTCTTAAAAAAAAAACAAAAAAAACAGATTTATCGGGTTGGCCCTGAACCCGGAGACTTCGGAGCGGGACGGATCCTAGGGCTGGGTTAAAGCGGGGCGGGGCAGGTCTTGGATTCTAATATTTTCTAGCTAGGCAGGTCCCGGGACCTGCAAAATCCGTCCCAAACCTGCCCCGTTGACATCCCTAGAGGTTTCATAGAAAAATCCAAAAACTTTACTATATTTACAAATTTCCTTTTATAGAATCTTAATTATGGTTAGTATCATAATTATGATTATTTACTTATTTATGATTATTTCATTTTATTCAAAATTATAAGTAAGGAAGCTTCCTTATCTCTTAAATTCTTTTACAAGAACTTTTTTCTCAAAGATCAAAAAAAAAATAAAATCACACTCTCATTTTATTTTCTCTCTGTACATGCTCTTACTCTCGCCCTATTTTCCGTTGCTTTTGATAGTAATGATGCTTTGAAAAATATTTAGATTATTTTACATTTGGGAACAATAAGACGTATCGGGCACTGCCGACAATCTTAGGAGTGATTATTTGAATGTATTGTTCGGATTTTTTCATATCCTAACCAATTTGAAATTTAAGATTTTTATAAAAATAAGAGTTGATCTGAACCAAACTGATTATTCAAAATCTGAATTATAAAATTCGAATCAAATTAAAAATTCAGAAGTGCATAGTATAACCAAAACTTAAAAAAAGATCCATATTTTTAAACTAAAATCATTGATAAACAAATAATGCCCAACAAATAAAAAATAAATACAGAACAAGATTACCTAATACTCTTTCATTCCCAATTTAGATGGATAATTTGAAATTTTATAGTAGATTAAGAAGTAATAATAAGTATATATGATGATTTTTTATTTTTTATTTCTATTCTTTTTGTCATTTGTACTCATGTATAAATTGATTCTATATATAATGTTATATTTATTATTTATGTAAAAATTATAAAATATTTTAATATTAGTATATATATAGTTAATATATTTCGAATTTGATTGGATTTTCAACATACGGATCCATATCAATTCGAAAATCCAAAATTTAGGAAAATTTCGATCTGATCCAATCTAAAAATCCGAACAAAATTTAAAATTTTGTTTGGATTTAGAACCAATTTTGGATATTTTGTTCACCCCTGCCCCTAGGCAATCTTAGTTTCGTCTCGTTTGTTGTTGCTTTCGATAGTAGTTCTGCTTCAAAAGACATTTAAGACTTTTACCTTTGCTATTTTTCAATTCTTATTTCGATTAATCAATTGATCATTTCGGTTTAATTAACAAAGAATATATACAGATGAAATTTTGAATACCGTATTTGCTGAGGATTTGAGGAACAGAAGGAGTAACTCTGGGGACGATATCATGGCCGAAACTAGCCATAGGCTTTGACCTGGCTTCTTCAGACAACCTCGCCATGTCCCTAAGGTCTCCGAGTAAGAACCTGTAAGGGTTTCCCTTCAAACCCAGCTTCCTCAGCACTTTCTCCAGTCTTTTTGGCCTAAGCCACAAAAAGTCGAACACTTTCCAGGCATAATAACAACACACCAAAGCAAGAAAAACACAAACTATCATCAGCAATAACCCCAAAACCTCCATCTCCATGGATCATCGATCGATCGATCGATGATACTGTTTCTTTTTTATCACCACCCACAGTTTAAATTAATGAAGCACTTCTTTCCATGTTGCATCTGGTTTATTGTAATTTAATTTATTGTATTCGCAATCGTGGTCGTGATATACATGTCTATGCCATTACTTCTTCTTCACCCTGCTCCCACGTTCATGTCTCAAAGCAGCTTAATAATTGTATGGACTCATTTCGACTTTACGTTTACTAAATTTATAGTATTTAATTTATACTATTTAATACAAAAATAATGATATTTGTGGAGTAAATTATACAAATATAAATATATTTTTAATATTAAATACAATGACGCAAAATGATGTGTTTACTTTCCGGCTAGACGGAGGCAGTACTATCTATGTCCCAAATACGGTGCAACAATTGTTTTTTACACGAAAATTTAGGTAAGTACTACTACTCAATACGATAATTTGATAATTAAATAATATAATGAGAAAGAAAAATATACATTTATTTGAGTAATTGATTAAATAAAACGTGAAATAAGAATTAAATATATTTAATTATTTTATATTTTAGAAATATTGCAGAAAAAAAAAAAAGTAACTTTTACTATTTTTACTTTAGCATATAATAATCAATTTGCCATTATTGTTATTTTCTCACTTACTCATCTTCTTTTTACAGAATTTTTAGTAAAATTTTTTTGTTATACTCCTAATTTACTTTTTATCTACCATATAATCAAAATATTTATATTTGTTAATCATCTTGTTCAAACAAATTTACATAAATTTTGCGGAGAGAATATATATTATATTATGTCCCGCAATCAAATTTCAATTTTTTTTAAAAAAAAATTTGTCTATTAAATTTATCTCAATTTGACAAAATTAACAAATCAATTTTTAACTACTATATTCAATTCAATATTTATTTACAACAAATGTAAGAATATTTCATTATCACATTCACTCTTTTAATTTATTTTAATTACTAACAAAATTTTTAAAAATACTACTATCAACTAGTTTTTTATTTTTATTTTTTTTTATCACATGTAGAATAAAATATAAATATATTTTTAATGTGTTAACTTTACCGAACAAGGGAGTAGAATATAAATTTAACACTACCACCCGACACGCTGGTGCAAGTCAGCGATATCGGTGCCGAATTTAAATACAAATGAAATGCTCTATTTTACTATATATATATATATATTATTTACCTTTTTCTTTTTACAATATTTAAGAAAAAAAAAATGTACACAAGCCCAAGTTGTGTGGCGTATATGTTTTTTTTTTTTTGTCTTATTTTAATTGTTTATGACACCTTATGTAAGATGACGATGTTTAGTAAATTAATAATAGTGATCTATGATATTATTTTGTTTATTTTTTATGTGAATAGTGATATTGATATTTTTAAAATAAAAATTAATATATATAATTAAAGAATTTAGATGTGTAATTTATATATTTTAAGTCTTATATCTTTTCCTTAACAATCTATTTATCTTTCTTAATTTTGATCCGTCTCATAATTAACAAAGCATTCATTTTTTTCTTTTTTTAGTAATTGTACTATTTACTTAATATTACAAATATCATTTCAATTTACAATATATTACACAAATATTGTTACTTTTATATCATATAATACTAATAAAAATAGTTTAGTCTTTTTATCTTTATTTCTACATCTCACTATAATATTAATATTTCTAAAATTTTGTACAAAAAGTAAATTAATAGATAGATACGAGACCAGGAGAGTATATAATATAAATATAATTTTATAAAGAATAAAATTTTATATAATACAATTAAAATGAAACAGATAAATATATATATATATATATTAAAATGAAATGAATAGAGTATAGTATTTTATTTGGAGTTATCCAATAACATACAATTTTGTTTAATAAGTGCTATCATCATGCTAACTGCCCCGCCTCTCTATTTGTCTATATATATATCTATTTTTGTCCATATATATACTTAAATAAATATAGAGCAAAAGCATATCCCAAAAGAAAAATTAAATTTAAATAAATTTAAGTCCCATAAGAGGATGGCTTAGCAGTGTGGGGTGGATTTATGACCATGAGGTAATGGATTCAAACTTCTCGACGTCTCTAGGTCATCTGTCACACATGATTCGCTTAGTATGACTTTTCTGTCGGCCTGCGCTTTTTTTGACTGCAGGTTCCCACGTTATAAAAAAAAAGTCCGGCCATTCGTCTAGACCGTCCATCCAATATTCATTATTCATCCGCCTGTCTGTCATTATCATATATATATATATATATATATATACTTAATGCAGATTCAATTTGTCCCATGTACTGTCGTATTCCTCATTGTTTTTTTTTTCTTTCTCTCCTAACATTTGTTAATCTCTGGTAATGAGGAAATTGGAAGCAGACTCAGAAAGCAGGACCCCTCACCTAATACCTAACAAACTTTTACAATAAATTAAGCAAGTAGCGGTACTGAATCATCATGGTCATGGACATGGAGGGCGAGACTAATAGTAGTAATTGTTTTTTTGGTGTTTTACTGGTGTTGGTGGTTTTAGGGTTAGGGTTAGGGTTAGGGTTAGGGTTGAGGAAGGTGGTGAGTAGTTTGTGGGTGAGGCCGAGGAGGGTGGAGAAAGAGCTGAGGGAGCAAGGCTTTAGAGGGAATCCTTACAGGCTATTCTTCGGAGATTTTAAGGATATGAAGAGGATGAGGGAAGCTGCTACCTCGAAAGCTATGGCTAGCCTTTCCAATGATATCGTTCCCAGAGTTATTCCCGACATTCAATGTGCTGTCAACAAATACGGTACGCTATTACTTAGTTACTTACCTACCTATCACACTAAGGGTGTGTTTGTTCGGGGGTTTGGATTTTGAGTTGGGATTTGAATAGTAAAAATTTTGAATTTGAATAATTGTATGATGTGATATAAATAGGTGATGATGTGATGTTTTGAATGTAAAATTGATTTTTAGTATAATATAAAAAATAAAAAATAAGTGTTTGATTTGATATTTTTGGGGGAAAATTTTTGGATGAATAATGGAATTTTGTGCAAATCCATCAAACGAACACACCCTTATTTTACTCGATTAACATAAGTAAGTAACGTTGTTAACCCTTCTACTCATAAATATAGTCTTAATTCGGTTGGACACGAAATTTAAAAAATATTGATATTATATTGGTAGTTGGTAAAAAATATGGATAAAAGATTTTTTTGCTTTTGTGGGTGTATTAGTGTAAAAAATAGCGGTAATTGTGTAATAAAAATGAAAAAGTAAAAGTAATTTTTATAGTAATATAGTTATTTATGGAAATAAAACTATTGTTTTGAGACGGACAAAAATGGTAAACAAGACTATTGTATTCAGACGGAGGGAATACTACATATTTGATAGTATATGATAATATAATATATAATATGCTTTCTTCGTCCGTCAAATTTATTCCCACTTTTTTTAAGTCCGTCTGTTAAATTGATCTCATTCCTAATTTTAATTTTAGCAAAGTCAACAAATCAGCATTTAATTATTATTACATTTCATTCAACACTTATTTACAACGAATATCATTAACTTTATTACATTCTCTCTTATTTACTTTACTTTATAACTAAATTTCTAAAAATACTTCCAACTATCTATCATTTTTCAATAATATATATATATTTTAATTATCGTGCCGATCCTAAATAGACTAATTTTAATGAACAAAGAGAGTATATTTATAACAGTATATAATATAGTTTAATATAGCACATTATACTATTAATTTCAGTACAGAGTTGACAAAAATAGAAATGCAAAAAATACAATCCAAATTTGATATAAAAATATTGTATTTGGGCCTAAGAAAACAGGCTTTAAAAAATTGGGGTCGTGCTTGACCCATCTTGAATTTTAAATTAAATATAATTTTAAAAATGAATATTGTAAATATATTAACAAATAAAATATATGTAAAAAAATAGTTCCAAACCAAGCTGTGTTCAGGCATATATTTTCTGGCCATGATTTAAAATTGGGCCCGGCCTGTCTTGTTTTAAAATATTTTCGGACCGGCCGGCCTGGCACCAAAAATTGAATGTCGGATTTGCCACGTGCCACATCTAAATATATACACAATATACTACAATACATAAATTATAAAATACATATACTTTTATATATTTGTGTTAATTGGACTAACCGCCGCCTTACTAAAATATGTTTTTTTCGTCTCAAATTCAATATATTATTTTTTATGTCTAATTTGAAAATATATATTTTTTTATTATAATGAAAATAATTAATATATAAATATCAAAATATTTTTAATTTTTATAAAAAAATATTTATTTTTTTATTTGTAAAGACAAAAATTTCAAAAAAAAAAAAAACATCTTATATATTATTAATTTATAAAATATTATTATTTATTAAGATATTAAAAATATATATATTGGATTTGGACGGTTTCCCAAGTGTTTTTTTATTAGTTTGAGAAAAAATTTGATTTGAATATAGTATTAAAATAATATTTGATGTGATATTTGTGAGAAAAAAAAATATTTTTTGTTCGGAGAACGCAAAGACCATTAGTAAAAAATTGAGAATTTTTGGATAAAGAAACACAACTAATATATATATATATATGTATAACTTTACAAAATATATTTTGAATTACTATAAACACTATTTGAATGATCAGTCGAGATCGTACAAGTTATTTAGGTGCGTATGAGTTTATATTTGCTATAACCAATTGCAAAACCACAGGCAAGAATTGTTTCCTATGGTTTGGGTCAACAGCTGCAGTTATTATTTTGGAACCTGAAGCCATAAAAGAGATTTTGTTGAAATATTACACTTTTGAGAAGCCTCCTCGAAATCCAATGGTAAGGGTTTTGACAAGAGGAGTAGCAACCTACGAAGGAGACAAATGGGCCAAGCATAGAAAACTCATTAATCCTGCTTTCCATTCGGAGAAACTTAAGGTAATTTTAGCATGGTTCAAAAAATAGAAAAGAAATGCAGTACAAGGAGATCAAGGTTGTGATAATTATATAGATATAATTATTATGTTTACATTTTGATTTCCTTGATCAGCACATGGTTCCATCTTTTCATTCGAGCTGTGCCGACATGCTGAGCATATGGGAAAAGATCGTCCCGGATAAAGGCTCGTGTGAAGTGGATGTGTGGCCTTACCTCCAGACCATGGCAGGCGACGCAATTTCACGTACTGCATTTGGAAGCTCCTTTGAAGAAGGAAGAAGGGTATTCGAACTACAAAAGGTGCAGGCTGTTCGTGTTATGGAAGCGCTTCGATCTGTTTACATCCCGGGAATGAGGTATACATATATACATATTGCCTTGACCCTTGTTATATTAGCCAATCAGCAAAATTAAAAATTAATCCAAGGCAAAATTACTTATAATTCACCTATTAAAAAGCCTATATCATCGTGTTTTAAAAATTGCGTAAAACTTTCTCGTATTTTTAAAAATATTATCGGTTTTTAGGAAATTCTATACAATGTTTCCAAAAACACGAAAAAGACTCATGCAATTTTTAGGAAATTTTGTACAATATTCTTTGCGAGATTTTCAAATCACAAGTCATATTAAAAAATTTCACATCACGACAAAAAGATAATCATCGTGTAAAAAGAACCCAAGGAAAAATGTAGATAATATGTAAGCATTGATCTAATGCTAAATCTAACTTCAAAAGGCATAGCTTATATAAAAGTTATATATAAGTGATCCAACTTATATATTTTGTATATGTAATATGTAATGATTGTTTAACATGACTTGCAATAATTTTGTTTTCCTTTGTGTAGGTTTTTCCCAACAAAATCGAATAGAAGAATGAAGGAGATAGTGAAGGAAGTAGAGTCCACCTTGTTAAGGATTATAAACAAAAGGATACATGCAATGGAAGTCGGGGAAAGCTGCGGCGAAGATTTATTAGGCTTGCTGTTGGACTCTAACTTCAGGGAAATTGAGCAACATGGCCATAAGTATGGAATGAGCTTGAAGGATGTGATCGAGGAGTGCAAACTCTTCTACTTTGCGGGACACGAAACAACGGCCTCACTTCTTGTTTGGACAATGATTTTACTAAGCAAACACACCATGTGGCAATCACGCGCAAGAGAAGAGGTTCGACAGGTCTTTGGAGGACGAAAGCCCGATTATCAAGAGTTGAACCTCCTCAAACTTGTAGGTATCATTTAATTTTTTTTTATGTATAGTATGTTCAGGCCTTGGGCCCGGGCGAAAGTAGTGCCCGCTTAGGGCCCAATACAAATAGGGGGTAGTTATATATTTATATTATATAGAGAGAAAATTAAAAAGTATATATATCTTCAACATATACTAAATTATTACTTTTGATATTTATTTATGTCGCTGGTAAAATATATTCTATATGTTTGCAAAAGTCGTTATTTTTGTCATCCGGCCATGCATCATGTTCACATGACAACTGCTCCACGCGCGGCCGGAGGATAGAAGTGGCGATTTTTGCAAACGTCTAGGATATATTTTGCCAACAAAATAAATAAATAACAAAAGTGATAACTGAATATACACGGAGAAAATTTTTTACAATTATATTTATATATTATAAATTTTACATTTATTTGATATATGCAAAATATCATGGGATAGTTTGGTGGTATGAGTGAACTTGTAACCATAAGATTATAGTTTAAACCCTGATATTAAGAAAAGTCTTTGGTCCTTCCAAAGTTAGGACCGATCTACGTATGTAAGTATATTTGTTGTAATGTTTTTTTGTCTTTCTTGCAGATAACCATGATATTCCACGAGGTCCTAAGGTTGTACCCATCGGTAGCAACACTTAGTCGAATCACTCATCAAGAAAGTAGAGTTGGAAACCTTAAAATCCCATCGGGAGTACAGCTTTTGATGCCAGCCCTTCTGTTGCACCATGACAAAGAAATATGGGGCGACGATGCACAAGAATTCAATCCCGAGAGATTTAACAAAGGAGTTTCCAAGGCAACTCAGGGCCAAGCGATTTATTTACCGTTTGGCGGGGGCCCTCGAATATGCATCGGACAGAACTTCGCCATGTTAGAAGCCAAAATGGCAATGGCTATGATCTTGCAGCGGTATACATTTGAGCTATCGCCATCGTACTCGCATGCACCTCATCAAGTTATTACTCTCCAACCTCAACATGGTGCACACTTAATTCTGCACAAGATATATGATTGATTGATAATATGATATCGATTCACTAGACTCCACAATTTCAATTTATTTCCACTTAAGAACAGGTCACTTACAAGAGTATTTGGGTGAATCTAGTGTTTATTATTTATATATATGTATCATTTTTTTTAGTACAGACTGAAAAACAATAACAATTACTTAATTTTCATATATAAATTAAAATAGTAAAAATGATAGGTTCAGGGTAATATTTTACTCATTTTATCGAGGAAAATTATGTAATTTTATTTCCGTATAAAAACTAAAAAATAATAATATTTTAATATTTAAGTAAGAGATATAAAAATGTAAAATTGAGGTATTACAAAAAGGGAAGGGATGTTGATTGATTATTAGCTTTTGAATTTAAAAAATTAATCAAAGGCTTGTATTAACTTATGGGTATAAGAGTAATTTTCATCTTTTTTCTAATTATATAATCTTATCTACCTCCTTCCTTCTTCATCATCACGTACGCTCAACATCACATAAAAAAAAACAGGACATGATTTTCCAAGAAATTTAATGGATAAAATTGATAAAGATCAGCAAAATTTATTTTTTATTATTTCAATATCAATCAATTCTTAAAAAATTAACAAAAACATCAAAGAAATTGCAGTTTCAGATACTTCATCTCATTAGCTCAACAACCTTATTGTTTTTATAATTTTTCAAGATATGAAGAGCAGCCAATATTAAAATGTAGTTTGCATCTATTAAAAATTTAGATAATATGTATTAGTAATTGTTTTTCTTTTCAAAATATCTAAACTATTTTTAATTAAAATAAATTAGCATTTCGATACGTTGAAATCAACATTTACGTGTGCATGAGAAGTATTTCATACTATATTATACAATCCGATATAAAAATCGATATTTTCTAAAATATGTGACAACATTTTAATATTCAATAGACATCGTATTGTTTGACATTTTTAGCATCTAAATTAAATAAGATTCATTGAATGACATGGAATGAAATTTACAAAATTTTACAATTTCAATTATGAGTATGCATATACTAGAAGTTTGGAGTCATGATTAAGATACTGAAAAAATTCAGCATTCATTATTATATAAAAATATTCATATTATTATTAATTAAAATAAATCAGCATCTCGTTCAGTTGAATTTAGCATTTGTGTATAGGGATGGTATACCGTACTGTACCGAACTTTTTTGTATGACTAAAATACATACGGTACCCATATATACCGTTTATACCGAAACTTTCAATTTCGATACGATACCGGTATATACCGCTTATACCGAAAATTTTGATTTCGATAGATACCGGTATATACCGATTATTAGGGGTGGGCACGGTTCGGTTATTTGCAAATATGCAGGTATTTGATAACCGAACCGAACCGAACAAATACCCAAAATCGCGAACCGTATTCGAACCGAAAATTTCGGTTAACCGAATTTTCAATTAACTGAAAATATTTGTAATATTTGCATATAACTCGAACTGAACCGAAATTAAGAAAAAATATATAAAAAAAAATTAAAATTTTAATTAAATAAAAAATATTTGCAAATATTTCAAATATCCGAACCGAAATCGAACCGTATATAATTATTAATATAAATTTTAAAATATAATATTATAAATACATAAATATATTCGGTTCGGTTAACCGAACCGAAAAAAATATGAAAAACCGAAACCGAACCGAACCGAACAAATATCAAATATGCAGTATTTGTATTCGAACCGAATTTGCTCGATTAACCGAAAATTCGGTTCGATTCAGTTCGATTCAACGGTTCGACGATTCGGTTCGAATTTTTTGCCCACCCCTACCGATTATACCGAAAATATAATTTTAAATTTCAAAATAATTAAAAAAAATTAATAAATATCACTATTCTCCATTATTTATATTAATAATTAAATTATTTAATAAAAATAATATCGGTACGGTATCATATTGAAATACCGAACTTTCCGAAAATTCATACCTATACCATACCGAAAACTTCAGTATGATATCTATACCGTACCGAAACTTTTGGTATACCGAAATTTTCGGTATTTTCGACACGATACGGTACAATAAGTCGGTATTTCGGTATATTCGGTAAATTTATCCATCCCTATTTGTGTGTGCATGGGGGCATATTATATTATATACTCTGATACAAAACACAACATAAATTAACAAAATCATCTAATATTTACAATTTTTATTATGAGTATGTTGATTATATGTATTGTCCTGTCACATGTTCTAACTTCCCAAAGTCTTTAAATCTTACCTACCACTTGGGATGTAGAGTTCTAAAGGAGTTGAACAGAGTCGAGCTTGTCATGTTTGAATTAGGTTCGTTAAGGACTCGAGTTAGGCTCGTGTTCGTTTGTTAAGAAATCCATCTCTCCGAAAGATAGTTTTTATTTTATTCTTCCGAATCGAACATGGAAATACGAGCTGAAATTTTTGTTTGAGTTTGGCTCGTTTAACAATATTTTTGTTCGTGCTCGACTCGACTCATTAAGAAAAATTTTATTTTATTTATTTATTTTTTAAAAAAAATTAAATTAAATTAATAATAATTATATATTTTATTAATAAATTTGAATAAAAAATAGAATGAAATATAATATTTATAAAGATATATATACTTATTAAATATAAAATTATTAATTTAATTTTTTTTATAAATACTATCGAACATTCTCGAACAAGCTCGAGTTCGTTCATGAACATAACAAACCAAAATTTATGTTCGTATTCGGCTCGTTTAACTTAACGAACGAGCTCTTAGCGAATTCAAACGAGCCAAACTTGCGAATAGTTTGTTTGTTTTACCGCTCTACTTGGATGTGCCCCATTTTATTTGTTGATTAATCCCTAAAATCACACTAACCATTTCCCTAACCATTTCCCAAAGAAGCAGTGGACCTCAGACAGGATATATTCTTGTTTATACTCCATTCTTCATTCTCATCCCAAATATAATTTTATCTATTTTCTCTTTTAATTACCATCAAATATTTACTACTCTTTTAGTCGATAAAATATATTTTTTCATTTCACGTTACTATTTAACTTTCAACATTATACTTATCTATAAATGTTATTTATTCAAAAAAAATTCACCTCATTGATGTTCTTACATACTTGTCAAAATATATTTATTTTATAGTTATTCAATATATAATACTAATATATAGTCAATGCAACCAAAATCAATGAGTTAGAAGTAGAACACCAATTGCACAGAAAAAGAGTGAAGGATCACGTTTCAGTCCAGTCAATATAACAATTTAACACTAACTATACTTGACCCTTCCCTCCCTCCCCAATCTTCATTATAAACAAGAACAAGTGTACACATAGTACTTGCACTTACCTGAATTCAGTCGCAACACTCCAAGATATATATATATATATCGTTACCATTAGAGAGACATCTCCTGTCCTTGTCCCTGCTCCCGAGCAATAGATGCAGAAAGAATTCCAAGATCCCGATTCAAGAATGTCAGTGCATTCTCACACTCGGAAATTATTCTCATCACCGAAGAGGGCTCCCCTCCTCCTACTGTTTCCGAAGAACCAACTGCTACTGCCGCGTGGGAATCCCTAAGGTTCTTCAAATTTCCTAAAAACTGTTGCAAGAGATTATTATTATTATTATTATACACAAACCATCTTTCCACAAAAAGGAAAAAGAAAAATGATACTACTCATGGACTCTTGTCCAAGAAAATTTCGTGATGTATAATATTGCTAACATACAAAAAACTTCACTCTTTGAGAGATGCATGCTAGCCACAAGATGAGAGCTTTGTATGTTCAAACTACAAGTGAAAAGAAAATAAAAGAACAAGGAAAACATATACAATCAAGGACCTTCAGCCATGCTGTAAAACAAAAACTTACCTGAGTTCTGGAGTTTTTCAAAGTCGGAGATGCTAAAATGAACTGCTAGAAGGAAATCCACAAATAGACAGGTCCAAGAAAAGAGAATGTATCATAAAGGTAAAATACTTATCTCACGGGCAATTCAGTTCTACCAGGTCAAATACTTATCTCACAAGAGAATAAATAAACAGTGGACACCAAACTTTGTAAGAACGTATTTTTGAGCACAACTACATTCTCAACACTGAATAACCCACTTATTTAGACAACAGAGGCAAACCAATAATTAAGTACCTTCAAAAGCATCTTATATGCTTCCAATAATCGATTTGCAGCTGGTCCAAATCCATGAAGTTGAGGAACCTCCATCATGTGTGTCCACGGGCGTATTTCCTGCACATATTTAGTATTAAGAAGTGCACTTATACACACTACAGAACTAAAGTTAAGCGTGTGGATCTTGCAATTTCATGATTTGAGACAAACCCTAAACCCCACTAAAATGAGTGAAATCATCTAGAAAAAGTACGAAATGAAACGTATAATAGAAGCCATATGAGCAACTGGTACAAGAGCACAGGTACATAATTGTAATCTGTCTTGAAATTAGGAGTCATGCGATAAAGCATTTCAGCAGAATTGCAGAATGCAATATGGGGAAAATTAAATGAAAACAAACCTTGGTATAAATGGTATTAAAAGATTTTGCAGTTTCTAGAAAAGATTCCAGATGTGCGCGTAATTTTGCTTCAACCTCGACGTAATCTTCATCAGGGTTATAAGGGTGCTACAAAATCAATTGTAATATCAATAGCAGTTTATGGCATCAGCATCTCTAAGAACATCAATTAACTTCATGCTATAGAAAAAGATGGCGGCAACTGTAAGCTTGATCAAAACCTTTGATGCTAGATCATCAACCATCTCTTGAAGGTTCAAAAGTCGGTTTGATTGATCGGAAAGTTGTTTCTCCAAATCAGATATATCTGGCCTACAAATGAAATTTCATTGATAAAACAAAAAGGCCACTGAATCAGCCAAGTACAAAACTTTCTGCTCACAGATTATCTTTGAAACAAATTTATAAAACACTCTGGGAAGCTTTCACTTTCTGACTAACTCATCAAGTAACTAAATAACAATGAACTAAATAATAATGAAGACAATTATTGCATATAGCTGGGGCAGTAGTGAAAAAACTGAGATAACAAAAATCAAATATAAATAACTCTATAAAAGAATTAAACACACACACAGAGCAGGATCCTAGCTAGGACATTTAACTAAAGAGTGAACCCTTCTGAAATCTCCATTCTAATATGTTACTATGTTGGCAACTCAAGTCATTTGGTCCAAGGACCAATGCATAGGAAGAACAAGAATAACCCCTTGAAAACAAATGATAAATATAAAAGGATTATAACTACTTTGAATTGCTAAAAGATTACCTCTTCCCTACAGCAATAAGAAAATGCAAACAGTCCCAGAAACAACAATAAATTCCAATAATTTAACTGATGAGCTGTAGTTGTATAGAGCAACTGACATTAGAGGTAATGGATTTCTCTTTCATAATATCAGTCATAAAAATGTCTTCTAACCGGATACAGTTAGTTAGTACATGCATAAGTTTCAGACGACAAAGACCCATAACTTGTAACTTGTTGGATAACAAGCATAACACCATGTCGAAAATCATACTGTGTGGGGCAAACTCTTAATGCACAAAAGACACAAAACAATCAAAATACTTCCTCAGTAGAAAACCATCCGTGAGGCCTGAATTTATACCAGTATCTCTTAAATCTGTCTTTTTTTTTTATGATATGAAAATAAAAAATAAAAAAAATAAAAAAAAAATCTCCTTCAATAAGTGTTTGTGAGAAAATTCTTAAGGATCCAATTTTGCAAGTACCGTGGACCAAAAAGTTAAATGATTTAAACCAGTTCAGCTAAAGCACAGAGGTAGCAAGCAGTGAACTCATTTTCATAAGACAATTAGAGCAAACTTATTTGTAATATTATACAATTTCTTTTTTATATGCATACATATATACACAAGTATTCAATGCAGCATTATTCTTCATGAATGAGTTGACTCTCTTTTTAAAATATATATATATAAATATATATATCAAACTAGTATTATTTCTTATATATAAAGCAATGAATATAAGCATGAACAATATCTTACAAGGGATATATGGAATGGATCTGCACATCAGCAGGAAACAATTTGCATTCTTCAGAAAATATTTGAGCTTGTTTTTCAGCAATGGCATCTATTAACTGTATGTCTTTAGCCACTTGCTCATCAACACTGGAAAGGTAAAATTGATTAATATCAGTTGCATGGTTAATTAAAAGGATGCAATAAAGAAATTTACGATACCCTGTCTCAACATAATTGAAATACATATACACCTCCACTCAGGATTATCAGCATAAATGCTTGCCTCCACAAGATCTACAATTAGGTGGAGCATTTCAGTACGATCTTCATAACTTCCTCGACCCTACAACAAAACATTACATAATGCACAGTTAACAAGAAATACATTATCTTATCTTGACTTCATCAATAGGAAGTGTTACAAGGGAAATGTAGAGTCATAATGGCAAGAGAGATCCATGGTACTGTCAGTTTTCCTATTAAAAAGAAAGAAATAAGAAAATAGAAGAAACAATGTCTTGTTACCATCTCATTCCTATCAAGCTATAATGTATTTTTCTGTCACTTGAATCATGGTGTTTTTGTGGTACTAAATGGTAAATGAATGTTCCCTTTTCATGCTCAAATTCAAGATACTAACCACCTAAGAGAGAATTGATATCAAACAAAAACAAAATAAAATTCAAAGCTTTCTCAATATCACATTGTAGCCAAACAATAACCCATCATAGTGGCGGTGCTCTATGCTATGGGAGGAGCTGTCGGACATTCAGAGATAATCAGAGAACTCAACTATTTCCTAGATATACCCTACCCTTTGTCAAAAATTCAAAATTAAAGATCTATGTGTGTGTGTGTGCGCGCATTTGCATAATTCACATAACACAAACTCACTTGAATGGCTTCGGTGTCAACAGTAGTTGTGATCCCAAGAAACTTTGCAATCTCTGCCAAATCTGTAAAATTACAGTATCAAAGAAAAGCCCAGGTACACAGAATTCAGACATGTCTTTCCTTAACCCTACCCAAAACCGGCAAACTAAGGACGTGGTTGATTGGGAGTTTCCAAAGAAATTTTACTATTCCCTACCCAGTTTTTCCCTAAAAACATCTTAATTTTTTATATCACGCTGAAAATCGATTTTCCATTCAAAACTTGAGTTAGCATTTATTTATATCAGGTCAAAATTATTCAAATTCAAATTTTTTCCATTTCAAAATCCAACCACAGTATTGCACTTGGATTGGAACCGAGTAAGTATAATTTTAACATAGAAAAGAGTATAAAAATTAAGAGGAAGGAGAACAAGTTCTGAACCTACATTGTATCCTTGAGGTTTCTTCATCTCGATCCACAGTATCCCCTTGAAGATTTTGCTGCGAGAACGGCGACTTATCACCCAATAATCTGCAAAAACCAACCAATCATAAACAAAAACTCTATAAACTTGAAGCATAGCATAAGATCCAGAGAGCAACGCCCCCAACTTGAAGAAGAGCCATTCAAGAAGAGCGTAGCGTTCCATGCCGGCGAAGAGTAGCGACTGCGCTGGAGCATTGGCTCTCGGGTAATTCAACATAGCCAATTTTTTCTGAATCAATTCCATTTGCTTAGATGCCATCCTTCTAACCAAATTCAATTCCCAAAATAATCCAGAATTCAATTGCAGAAAGTATCCGTGCTCGGCTGAATCCGCACCCGAAATTAAACAAGACTGAGGATTTGAACTACAAATGAAAAATTGCTGGTTTTGAAAGCAAAAGTGAAAGCGAAAGAAAAATGATCAAAAGCGTGTTTGAATTTTATTTTATTTTATTTTTATTATTATTATTTTGGAGATTTACCGTTGGGAACAGCTAGTTCTCCTTCATAAGTATCCCATTAATGGCAGACCATATTTCAAAATCACAGGGGAAGAAAGACTAAGGACGATGAAGATGTCTGTAAATTAAAAATTCAGGACAGTCACTGGCAATTTCATCAAGGGGTTGTCAGGTTATCGTTATCTGAGGATTGAACCATATTCTTTATTCAGATGGAATTCAAAAATCACAGCCATGTTCAAAATAGGTGATGTTAAAAATAATTAATATCAGTTCATTTATAAATTTGATAGTGTATCATTAATATTGGATAAATTCAATATTTTTGTTGTGTTTGAATATATGTTTCACGGCTCCTGAGTTACACGAGAAAGCAATACATTCATCGAAATGTGTTTAGTCGAGATAATAACTCTGAAATTACCGTATAGGTAATGTAATAATATTGCAAAAATATATAAAAATACGGTATCGGGTGTAAAGCCTCTCACCCTTAACAAAGTTAAGGATCTCGATTCAAAGAAATTTATCGAAGCTTAACTCACCCAAATGACAGGTTTTTATGACATAATTACAGACAACGATAATTAAATAAGAAAATAAAACTCTTAATTTAGAATGTTTTATAAAACTCTTAATTTAGAATGTTTTTTTTTGCGGTATTAAATTTTAATTTTTTCAATATTTTTCCATTAATTATTTTTTTGGATTGAATAGACATATTTGATTGTTTTTTACATTTATTTTATTTGACTTTTAATTACTTTGCTACTTCTCACCACTATTAATATTGGTTTGTTTATATATATATTTTCTGCCTTTAAAGTATTTATAAAATTAAAAATAATATAATTATGTAATTTGTAGTATTATTTAAAAACTGTATTGTTTATATACACATTACCTTCTCAATAGAATTGTAAAGATCAATTTGAGCATACTATCCTCCTTGTAGATCAAAAACTATAAATGAATCACTAAACATATTTAGGGTGTGTTTGTTTGGAGGTTTGGATTTTGAATTGGGATTTGAATAGTAAAAATTTTGAATTTGAATAGTTGTATGATGTGATATAAATAGATGATGATGTGATGTTTTGAATGTAAAATTGATTTTTAGTATAATATAAAAAATGAAAAATAGGTGTTTGATTTGATATTTTGGGGGAAATTTTGGATGAATAGTGGAATTTTATCCAAATCCATCAAACGAACACACCCTTAGAAGTCTTCCAAAATTGTATATAAATTTAACCAGTTTAATAAATTGTAAAGAGTTTCTCAAGTATTGTCCAAACTAGAACAACTCAAAATCCTACAGAAATTTAAATTATTATATACAAATATAGATACTCCCTCCGTCCACGGATAACGTATACATTTAATTTTGGCGCGGTGTTTAAGAAATAATAGTATTTTAATTATAGTGGGTAATTAAAAGTAGTGTAATGACATTTTTGTCCTTGCTTTTTAGTATAAAAGTAACGATGTGATGTAAAGCAAGGTATTTGTGGAAAAAAGTGAGATATTTAATGAAATATTTACTTTGTAATTGGACGTCCCAAAATAAAAATGTGTATACTTTCTAACTTAACGGAGGGAATATTATATATATATATTTTTTCAAATTTTAAACAATGTGCAATATATTTAAAAATTTCAAAATATTCATATAATATTCAATTATTCATGTTCGTTTAATAACAAATAGGAGTATTTAAAAACACATTCAAAGTTTAAAATACTAATAAAAAATAAAAATAAAAACCACTAAGTGAGAAATTTCCCACAATGTTTCTAAAATTATGTTATTCTGAATTTTTATTCTATTTTTTACTATTTAAATTTTATATTATTTAAATAAAAATTCAAATCATTTTTTAATTTAAATTAATTTCAAAATTCAATCAAATAAAAAAAAAATTATAATAATACATATTTAATATGATGTTTTATATACAAAATTAACATTTTATTATAATATTTAAAATGAAAAATATATATTATTAATGAATAGTAGAAAAATAAACATAGCAGTGCTGCATGTAGTTAGTCTGTTTCTTTGAATTTGGTTGCTGTTGATTGTTAGGTTTTTAATCCCCTAACAATCCAGACACAAACGTAAATGAACTAGGATGATTTCAAGCATTACAATTATTACAAATTACAACATCGAACACAACAGTGGATAATTTATTAAAAAGATAAATATAATTCTTATAATCCGATAATGAAAGAAAAAAAAGAAAAAAAATGTAGTTTTGGTGGGTAAACAAAGGGAGTACGCCCCGTCCTAAAATTAAGTATCCATTTGTGCAATATGATTTAATAGGAATAAAATAGAAATAATTAAAATAACTCTTATTACTATGTGAGATATAAAAGTAATGAGATTTGTGTAATATATTGTAAGTTGTAAGGGTATTTGTAACGTTGGATATTTAGTACAGTTACTAAAAAAAATAATATATATATATACTTGATATAATTTAGGTATGTTTATTTAGCCACAAAATTTCAAAATTTTACTATTTAAATTTTTTATAAATTTACTATTTAAACTTTTTATTTTTTAAAGAAATATATATTTTTTACAAAATATTTCACCCTTACCAGATTCTAAAAAGTGTTGTGTATTTGAGTATTTCATTCTAAGTACAATTCTTATTCAAAATATCATTCAAAAGACACACGAAAGGCCTTAAAACCTATCCCAAATTTTGTGTTGCATCTATCTCAAAGGCATTTGTTTTGCCGACAATGGTGGCATGCTTCTCGTTGAGCACTCTCGATGTTTTACCCGCGAGAAATATCAACGCCTCCGCCGCTGCTAGGCCGAGCTTCAATCCCCAAGATGCCCTCGCACTTCTCCAGAAATGTGCCGGTTTCAATCAATTGAAGCAAATCCACGCCAAGTTAATCCGCACCGCCCTCCATGAGCATCGCGTAATCGCCGGGAAGTTGATTCGGCTTTGTTCGTCGTACGGCGAGACCAAGCACGCCACATTAGTGTTCCAGCAGATGGAGAATCCGGACACGTTCGTGTGGAACTTGCTCATCCGAGCGCACACTGTGAACTCCTGCTCGCACCAAGCCATCCTGCTCTTCAATTTGATGATTGTCCGGGGCGTTAGTGCCGACAAATTCACGTTCCCGTTCGTGATAAAGGCGTGCTTGGATTGCTCCTACGTGGAGAAGGCCAGAGAGGTATATGGAGCGGCTGTTAAAAATGGATTTTCTGGAAACATATTCCTGAACAATGTGTTGCTGGATTTGTACATTAAATGTGGAATAATTGACGATGCCATGAAGATGTTCGACAAAATGCCTGCCAGAAACGTAGTGACATGGACGACCATGGTGGCTGGGCTTGTGCATAATGGGAGTGAATGGATGGATTCGGCACAGAAACTGTTCGATAACATGCCCGTGAGGAGGAATGTGGTTTCATGGACTGCAATGATCAGTGGCTATGCCAAGAGTGATAAGCCAGAAAAGGCCTTTGTGTTGTTTGCCAAAATGCAGAGAGCTATGGTCAAGCCTAATGAGTACACCATTGTTGCTCTCTTGAAGGCTTGTTCCCGATTGAAGAGCCTTAAACTCGGTTGTTGGGTTCATGAATTCACCATCAAGAATGGGTTTGAGATTGGGGTTTTCATTGGGACTGCTCTCATTGACATGTATAGCAAGTGTGGCAGTTTGGATTATGCAAAGCGGGTCTTTGAAGAAATGGAGGTTAAGAGTGTGGCAACGTGGAACACGATGATCACGAGCCTTGGGGTTCATGGATGTGGTCAGGAGGCCATTGAACTGTTCAAAAATATGGAGCGATTGAAGGTGCAGCCAGATGCTTTGACTTTGACAGGCGTTTTATGTGCTTGCCTGCAGATAGACAACATTGACATGGGTCGGAAATACTTCAATTACATGACTGAATGTTATGGTGTTAAGCCTAATTCTGAGCATTTAGCTTTGCTGTACACAATGTACTTGAAGTTGCTTGATTCAGCATTGCCGGCAATGCTGAGAGATGAAACTGTGTGCTCAATGGAGAGTAAGGTAACCCATAGTGAAAAGGACGCGCTTGTGTCCATGCGTCATAACATCCAATATATGGAGGAGAAAAAAAGAAAGGGAAATAGCGGGCATGGCATATTGGTGAAAACACTAGGAGAAGGTGAAACAGTTTGATCTCATCTAATCTGATAAGTCACTCTGTACAGAACAAGACCAGCTGTCATTGTAAGTTTATAGCATAGCCCAATAAGTAACATAGATACTGCCAGAGGAATGGTCAGTGCAGCATTGGACACCCATAGAATTGATATTGGCTCGGCGTAAATATGTCAGCTATTTGTATAAAGGTTGAAAAGCTATAGCAGTTATACTAAGAAAATTATGTATGTTACCATATACAAGATTTATGCTTCATGAATATCAGAGTTATGTATCATATGCTGACACAAGTTACCTTTTCCTTATCTTTAAGTAATGATTTTATTCTAGAACACATTTTACCTGTGCTGGCTAAGGTTTTCAATCAGGGTGGGGTTGAGAAGATTATCATCTTTGAGGAGGGACATAGCTTTGGTTGGAAACCCTGACTCTACCATTGTGGACGAAGCCTATCTACACGTTGCACAGGTACATTAAATTCAAATAGCCATATGGGACTGTTGTTTTTAATAAAAATAGCCATATGGGGCCACTAGGAGAAGATTATCATCTTTTGTGCTCTTATAGCACTATCAATATCAAGTGCTGCATTTTCATGGGAGAAGTACATTTTCTACTCATTGTCATGCACGTTATCTTTGAGCCTATTTTGTCCCATAAAGATTTACAAAAAATGCTGGCCCTGAATTTCACTTTGCTCATAGCCTACACTAAATGCACACTCCTTGCTTGTGATACCTGGATTCTGATCATTCCATAATTGTTATAAATGTAAAGCAACATATTTCTCATTTCCATTCACATTCACATGTTTGAGTTTATGTAACTGACATATACTACTACTCTAGTTACACAGTTTGTGTTAGTTATACGGCTTACATTTGTTTGAATGTTGATATATTCATTCCTTTAGTCGTATGTGCTATTTAATTTTATGTTGAGGGCCTGTGTGACCAAATTCGTGTATCTACGATGCATGTTTATTTGTTTGTATATTCATTCCTTTATGAATATGTCTCTTAAATTTTTAGGAGCAAGTCTTCACCACCCCGTCACATCGCCTTCGATTTCAGCTTAGTTTTTCCCTGTTCTTCTTAAATATCTGTTCAACTATTTACGTAATAATAATAGCTTGTTTCTGATTTTTATCTATGAACCAGATGTAACTGCCAATTTGTCATGGAGTTTGTGCTATATTATTTACGCGCTATGTTTACATGATGTTAAGCTGTTGAGAATAGATTGATTGCCAGTGTTTATATACATATGATGATTAAACCTTGCAGCCATAGCATTGTGTTGTAATTCTTGTCCTGGTTGTTGACAATATACTATATTTCTTGCTTGAATATTTAGCCGATCTATTATCTCTTAGGTTAATGCATGGCAATTTGTATTGATTTGATCTTGTTTTCTCTTGTTTTGGTTTGACTTAATTTTTATGAGTAGATAGGACTATGATCCTTGACAATCTTGTTAATCTTTAAAAATCTGGATCATACTTTTGAGTTCTTTTTATTTCTCTTAGTTGTTTTGGCTTTACATAGTTTTATGAGGACATAGGACTATGATCCCAGGCAATCTTGTTAATCTTTAACAGAATTTGTTTTGAGTCTGAATCATACTTTTGAGTTCTTTTTATTTATCTTGCTTATAACAATGAGTAGGAGCATTCCTTGTAGGCGTTTAGTTATATTCGACTGTTTGTATGTTTGCTTCTTATAGGCTGGTATTTTTTTGTTTTATCTTTAATTTAAGGATACTTGAATTCGACTGTTGGAGCATTTTTTTGAGGGTTGAGGAATGTCCCTATTTTGAAACTTTCTTATGCAAAATCTTTCATTAAGTTTGCGAATGCGATGTGAAACAAGGAATATGAACATCTTCTTGTACTGTAATCCCTCTAGTATCTGAAATTTAGTTCTTATCATGATTCCTCTAGCATCTAGAAGTGAAATTTAGTTTTAGCTTCATTATTGGGATTTAAGATGATATAAAATTTCAAGATTTTCTATACTTCTTTGATTGTTTTCCTTGGATGCACCAAGCCAAAACTAAAATTTCATCCACAAAATATTTTGGCCAATACTTGTGATTATTATTTGTTTCGTTCACATCAAACTTGTGTTGTTTGTCTCTGCACAGAATGAGTTTGCTCGAGCTATAGAATTGAGAGATAGTAACCTCTTTGGGTCTGGCATACATAAAACTTGGGAAAGCATTGAGCACCCAATTTCCAACATGATATACTCTCTTCTGCTGCCATGGTTGAATTATAGAAGCTTTGTGATAAGGTGAGATTATATTTCAGTTCCGGGCTAATTTATATAATCTGATAGCAATCTCCCCTTTTCAGGCCTAAACCTAGAATGAGGGGAAACTGTAATTGGCCATATGTTAATAAGTAGGGACTTCTTCATATAATCAATCAGGCTTTTCTTTCCTCTCAATTATATTCTTAATAATCATACTGTTTGGAAATTGTTTAACAACATTGTGACATTGTCAGTTATTTGTACTTTGGCATTTGATAGAAGTATGTTCCTCCTCTTAGTCTCCTATGATGTGTGTGTATATATAGTTGAGAATGAGTGAGACAAAGTCCCGAAGTGGCAGATTGAAGCTGTGACCGGGAGGAAGCGAGGAGAAGTGGGCTGAGATGTGGAGGCTATTAGAACCTTCTGAAATATTCCAGAACTCTCCGGAAGGAACTAAAGCCCCTCGACTAAATCCATGCTTATCCGATTGACTTAGTTTATGTTTCTTCAGTTGTGTTGATTTAGTCTATGTGTACTTGTAATAGATAGACTTACGCTTATGATAGATAGACTTGGCCCAACTAAATGATCCATTATATCTATAAATAGGGGGCTTTCCTTCATTTGTAAGTTACGAGCTAGTGATAGTAAAAACAATGTGAGTTCTCATACATTTAGGTCTGGCAAAATAAATCACCCTTAACAAGTGGTATCAAAGTTGAGAATTACAATGACAGAAACAGCGTGCATATGCCTGTGCCCGAGCCTGAAAACTTAAAAAGGGGTTGGAGGAATGCGAGTTCAAGTCTGTAGATCTCATGGGGTCTTTTAAAAAAAAATTGTCAGTGTAGAACTAATTGTAATTGATGGTCATATCAAAATAATATTTGAATCAAAATTTTAATTTCGAAACAATAAGATAGAACCCCAAAATCCATGCAAGAAGATAAGAACTCATGTGACAAGCACTGAGTATTACTGCTACTGCTCCGTGTTAATCAGCAAAATCAACATTATATTGAATGAATTATATTGAAAATTTGAAACCGATCCCTTCACTCACTCACTAAGTGCCGCCTAAATCCACCACTCCCTGCTTAAATAGAGCTCTCCAGCCTACCCCTCCCATTATACTCACTCACTTCACGACTAAAAGCCACCATCGCTCTCAGCAACTTTCATTCCCTGTTTGTCTGCCACTAAATAAAATATTCTCTCCGTCGTCCAAGTGCGTTTTTATTTAATCGAACACAAAATTTTAATAAAAATAAATAATAATTATTAATTTTTTATAAAAATATAATTTTTTTTATGACAATTCAAAAAAAAAAAATTGCATAAATTTAAATATAAAAAAAATAATTAATTAATTCCATGTTTGCATATAAACATATTACTATAATGTAGCATGTTCGATTTTTTAAATATTGGAGAATCTACTTTAATATATATATATAATAAAAAATAGAGTATCAGATATGGAGTAAGTGCGCATTTTATGTTGTAGATGTACAGAATAATATCCGAGTCCCGACACATATAAAGAGGCATTTAATTTATAAGAGTCCCAATGTATATAGTAACTGCGAATGTATCACAGATGGAGGGCAACATTATTAACCTGAGTCTGAGTCTGACTGACCTAATTAATAAACTCAAAACCTTGGACGGACGTACCCACCTACCCCCGATTTCCTGTCCCAGTCCCACCCAACCAACCTCAACCTGCCTTTATTACTTATTAAACGACGACGTTTCGAGTAGTAGCAGCAGAAACTGGTGAATGAATCATGGAGGCTGATGCAGCTGGACCTCTGAATACTGCTTCGAGCGCATGGAGCTTTGGCGCGGCTGTTGTGCTGGTATTAGGGTTAGGGTTGGGGTGGTGGCTGATGAATGTGGTGAACAATCTGTGGTTGAGGCCGAGGAGGGTGGAGAAACTCCTGAGGGAGCAAGGGTTGGGAGGGAATCCTTACAGGCTCTTCTTCGGAGATTTGAAGGATATCAAGAAGATGAGGGAAGCTTCCACCTCCCAAGCTATGTCCTCCCTTTCCAACGACATCGTTCCCAGAGTTCTCCCCGACGTTCACAGGGCCGTCACCGACTACGGTACCCCACCCCTACCCCTACTTCTCACCTAGTGCATATATATACATACAGCACTTTTCTCCCTTTTTGTTTAAATCATTACACATCGATCACCATCCTGATCTTGTGTTTATATATATATATATATATGGGATGTGTTTCTTTCCCACCAAACTCACAAAATATCCCATTATATTATTTTATTACCAAAATTAAATCAAAATTTTTTAAACCCCATCAATATATGATGACTTGATGAGGGATGGCATGTTGTGTTGAAGAAAAAAATAGTAAAAGATTGTGATTTGGGGTTTAGAAAAACAGACTTATAAACATAGTTTTACAACTTTTAGCCATTATTTAAAGTTCAACTCACTATTTCAAATTGAATAGAAATGAACACTTAAAATGGTTTTGTATTGTGCACGTGCTATTTTAATAGACATATATATTGAATTCAAGAATGTCTTCATTTAATTAATTAATATATATATATATATATTATTTTAAAGATTGTTTATTTCAAATTTCATAGCAAGAATTGTTTGCTAATTAAGAACTCTTGATTATCCAAATACTTATCAAATTAATGTTTTCAGGCAAGAAATGTTTCCTTTGGTTTGGGGCAAGACCTGCAGTTATAATTACGGATCCTGAAGCTGTAAAAGAGATATTTAGCAAAAGTTTCAATTATCCAAAGCCTCCTCGAAATCCAAGGATCAAGGTTCTCACAAGAGGAGTAGCAACCTACGAGGGAGACAAATGGGCCAAGCACAGAAAGCTCATCACGCCTGCTTTTCATTTGGAGAAACTTAAGGTAATAATATGATGATTCAAAAACTAATTCAAATACAAATGCACTACTATATGAATCGTAAATTTGATTATGCGTACAATAAGAAATAATTAAACCAATAATTCCTTCAGCACATGGTTCCATCGTTTCACTTGAGCTGTGCCGACATGCTGAGCCTATGGGAGAAGATCATCCCCGACAATGGCTCGCGCGAATTGGATGTCTGGCCTTATATCCAGACCATGACAAGTGATGCCATTTCGCGCACTGCATTTGGAAGCTCCTACGAAGAAGGAAGAAGAGTGTTCGAACTACAAAAGGTGCAGGCTGCTTATGTTATGGAAGCGCTTCGATCTGTTTACATCCCGGGAATGAGGTATACATAATATACATATATATTGTTGATATGTCTTAAATCTAGTTTGTTACTTTGCTGAGTTTTTGGGTTTTTGAGTTCGTATTTGGTTGAGCCGCCCTCAACAGAGGTCTCGCTTCCCGGTCAACGAGTCAGGGGGTCAAGGGGGGCGAAGTCCCACTTGCCTGGGTCCGGGAGCGCGGAGTGGCCTCGGGCCTAACAGTATGCAGTATTGGGCTTTTGAGTTCGTATTGGGCTGAGCCATCCTCAATAGGGGTCTCGCTTCTAGGTCAGGGGGTCAATGGGAGCGAAGTCCCACTGCCTGGGTCCGGGTGCGCGGAGTGGCCCGAGACCCGACGGTATGCAGTATTGGGCTTTCGAGTTCGTACTGGGCTGAGTCGACTTTAATAAATATGTTCTCTGTTTCTGTCTGTGGACACATAGTCAACAAATTGTTGGTGAACCACGTAAATTTATGTCTTCTTTATGTTTCTGTTTGTTATTCGATCATTAATTTTAATCCGTTACAATATATATTTATATGAAGAGGAAATATGTTGGGATTGAGCTAATTCGATTTGATATTATAAATGTTACCTATAGAATATTAAGTAGTTCAAGACAAATTACTTTTATTTTTCTTTCATTGCAATTGTTGTAGGTTTCTCCCGACAAAATCGAACAGGAGAATGGAGCAAATTGTGAAGGAAGTAGAGACAACCTTGCTAAGAGTAATCAAGAAAAGGATGCAAGCAATAGAAGCCGGCGAAAGCTCTGGCCAAGATTTACTAGGGCTGCTATTGGAGTCGAATTTCCGGGAAATAAAGGAGCAAGGGCATAAGCATGGGATGAGCTTGCAAGAGGTGATCGAGGAGTGTAAGCTTTTTTACTTTGCAGGACAGGACACAACCGCCACACTTCTTACATGGACTATGGTTTTACTAAGCAAGCACCCCGCGTGGCAGTCGCGTGCAAGAGAAGAGGTTCGACAAGTCCTAGGAGGTCGGCAAAACCTCGAGCATCAAGATTTGAACCAGCTCAAAGTTGTAAGTATAATATATTAGCATTAATTAGATGATGATAGAACTGTTAACTTGCCAAGCCGAACAAAATTTTAAGTGTTTATGTTCGTTCATTACCGTTCGCGAACAAGACTCATATTCATGCGTTAAGCTCGTTCGAGCTTGTTCGCAGTGTTCGAGCTCGGCTCGTTAAGAATATTTTATTATTTGAGCTCTTGTTCGTGTTTGGCTCGATTAAGCTCGTTCGAAATGTTAGAGCTCGGCTCATTAAGAATGTTTTATTATTTGAGTTTGTGTTCATGTTCGACTCGATTAAGCTCGTTCGAGCTCGTTTGTCTCACTTTTTTTAATTTATATATGAATTTTTTTTAAAAAAAATTGAAATTGTTTTATTTATTTATTTTAAATTGATATTTTATTTATTTATAAATTATAATTTTATATGTATATATAATATTTATAGTAAATATATTATTTTAACGAACGTTCGCGAACAAAGTTTGGGCTCGTTCGTAAACTAAACGAGTCTTTTTATGTTGTTCGGCTCGACTCATTAACGTTCGCAAATAAGCTTCAATCGAGCTGAATCGAGTCAAGTTCACGGTTTGTTTAACAGCTCTAGATGATGATTTGATTCGATTTGAATTGAATTGAATTGATGCATTGGGGATGATTGAATCGGATATCTTGCAGATGACCATGATATTCTACGAGGTTTTAAGGTTGTACCCGTCGATACCATTGTTTCATCGAATTACTTGTCGAGATAGTACATTGGGAGGCCTTCAAATCCCATCTGGGGTGCAACTTTTGGTGGCGGCGCCATTGTTGCACCGAGATAAAGAAATATGGGGTGACGATGTGCTGGAATTTAATCCCGAGAGATTCAGCGAAGGGGTTTCCAAGGCAACTAATGCTCAGGCGATTTATATACCTTTCGGCGCTGGCCCTCGACTGTGCATCGGACAGAACTTCGCCATGTTAGAAGCCAAAATGGCAATGTCTATGATCTTGCAAGGCTATACATTTGAGCTGTCGCCGTCGTACTCGCATGCACCTCAAATAGTGATTTCTCTTGTGCCTCAACATGGTGCTCACTTGATTCTTCACAAAAATTCATCATCAGCATCAGCATCAGCTTGATCGATGGATGTATTGTTGAGATCGAATTTCACTTCATTTTCTTGGAACTTAATAACGTACATTATGAGGTTTCGAGTACTGTAGTGTTGACAATAAATAACTCTATATTTTCACTAGATGGTGATTTTTCGAACAGATTTGAAACTAATCTATATGCATAGTTATTTTTAGACTCAGGTGCGGCCGGTTTGGCAAACAGCTTATTCAATAGTTGTTATCTTATCAAATACTCCCTCCGTTCCAGATATCGTGTCTGTTACACTGCAGACACGGTATTTTAGGAGGGATGTAAAAATAATGATTAAGATAACTGATTAGTTTAAATAAAATTAAAAAATTTAAAATGAGATTAAAGTGTGTAATTATTTAAAAAAAAAAAAAAAATAACATGATATGTGAAACGGACAAAAACGGCCGCGTGTACATGATATCTGGACATAGAAGTAGTTAATTAGATTGGTAAGTCAGTTTCCTAAAAGAACTGATTGATATGAAAGAGCTTTTCATGCCAAACTTTTCAATCTTATTTATATTTTTTCAAATTTATCTTTTTAAACATTTATTTGTCTGTTTTTTCATCTTTCACACTTTCATTCATCGCTTACAATTTTCAGCACCTACCATCTTCTCATTTTCCAATTGAATTTTTTATATATATATATATATATTTTTTTTTATCAGCAAAAATTATATATATGTTTTGTTAATACAGATTTGTGTTCATGTTCTAATACAGGATTTATTTTTAATTGAGTTTATAAATTATGATTTCTATTGTTTCGCACTTTCTTTCCATTGATTATTATTCAAAAATTACTTCATAATGCCGTAATTGTGTTGTATTCAATTGATTAATTTGTTAGGATGTAGTTTGTGATATTGTTTGATTTTCTAATCTTAAGAGCATTTCCATAATGGATAGCAACGCGAATGTTGGTGATGCACTGTATTTTATTATTATCTTTTTTTTAATTTTTTAAAATTTTAAAATTATAAATTTGATTTTAAAATTTAATTTTTATTTTTTAAAATTTTTTAAAATTTTATTTTAAATTATAAAAATAAAAAATTGTTTAAAATAATATAAAAAATTGAATATTTGAAGAATAATAGTAAAAAATGAAGTTATAGTTGGGAGTAAAATTACTGTAACAACTGCATATTTGGAGTTAAAACTGTATAAATAAAGTTGATGATTTGAAAATGGACTAAGTGTTTTAATCCATAGAAATTAAACTTTTATATGATACAAATAAATAAACAGTGATCTGTTGTTGTTACAACATGATTTTCTATATTTCACATGAAAAAAAAATGTTCTGTTGAATTATTTCATAAAACAAACACACTTAATTTAGAGGTTTATTAAATGAAATTAAATAATACTAGGGAAATAGATTTGTACTAATAATTTTACAAAATACTACTATTGTCTGGACCTATAATTATATGGGACTCCAATATGTTAAAATAAATATGAATTTAAGATGGATAAAATAATACTATTATTCACCGTAATCATATCTAATAAACATATCCTTAATATATATTACTCCCTCCGTCCCAAACAAAGTGCAACATTTGTTTTGGACACAAATTTTTAAGTGTGTAGTATTAAGTAGTATAATTTAGAAATGAGGTGATGTGATAGAGAGAGAAACGTATATTTTATTTTTTTATTTGGGTAATATGATGAGATAAAGTGTGAGGTAGGGATTAATATAATTAATTGTTTCTTATTTTGAAAATGTTGCAGGATGTTTGAGACATACCAAAAAAAGAAATATTGCACGATGTTTTGGACGGAGAAAATACTATTTTACTCTTTATAGAAATAACTTTGTTTGGAATTCTCCCAAACACTAGAAAGAAGCCAACTCCTCTAAATAAATGTATGGTGGTATTATGAATCACATAATGAAATAGCTCAACAACAATAATTAATGTGTAGTAAACTCGTAGCAATGATGTACCACAGTAATTTTAACATAGAGTTGGTCGGGTAAATAGACGTAAGTATTTTTTACTGTGATAAGATATGAGAGAATAGAAAAATAAATAAATATTTTTGCTAAAATTTGTCGATGACGGTCCAAGCCAGTCGAAATCGACAAGAATCGATTTTTCGGCTTACTTAAAAAAGTACTCAGCTAAGTCTCGCAGTAAAAATAAATCGGCAGAAAAATATGAATAAATTATGTTGTTGTATTAAAGAAGAAAGCCCAGGAAAATTACTTAAGAGAAAAAAAAAAAAAAAACTAAGTAAATTTTTTTTTTTGGTGTAAAAGTAATTTTACATTCAAAACATCATATCAACGTTTATTTATATCACATCATACAACTATTTAAATTCAAAATTTTTACTATTCAAATCTCAACTCAAAATCCAAACATCCGAACAAACACACCCTTAGTATCAAAGACCCACTACCCGCATACTCGATTTATTTAAAAAAAATTATTTACTTTATTAAGTTACACAATCATTCAATATCACATTACCTTCACTAAAACCTTATCTAGGCATAAATAAATATACATTTTGTGAATTATAAAAGTATATAATATTATAATACATATATTTTTATTATTATTTAAGTAATATTTGGATATAATATTTTTTTTTAAAAAAATAATATCTTTTATTAAAAGATATATTTTTCAGTTTAAAATTACAAAATAACAAACATTTGATGAATGCGAAAGCAGGCGTAGAATAAAGGAGATGAGAAGCAGCCATAGGTCCCGGATCTCGATCATGTTTCCCGAATTTTGAAGAAACCGCGTCTCTGTTCTACTATACAATACTTCTCCACAAAACTAAATTATTCCATCCAGCAGCACAGCACACCTATGTTGAATTCAGCGCATTTTGATCCGAATCCCATAAAGTATCTTTGAAAATTCAACTGAAAGAGAAGATAAGGCAGACAGACAGGGGAGAGTAACTGCCGATCACTATGTTAGTTTGAATAAAAAGATATTTTAGTGTGAATATGATGGATGATGGTGTTTTGCCAAGCAATTGCAATGGCGGCCAAATTTTCTCGAGGAGTGGTTGAAACTTGAAAGTCAAGCCTACGTACTTCTCTTTTGATAGGTTTGGAGTTGAATATTAATGGATGTCGATTTTGTCAAGGGCTAACACTTCTGACCATTCGCAGTGCTGTTGATGTACCTGTGCGTACTTGTTACGTCGAGGCCTACGTTTCTTTTTCTCCAGGAATTTCTCGCTTTCACATTTACCGATTTGCATTTCATATCTTTGTAGGGGCTGGCGAGGAAGCATCCGTGATTGTTCTTAGGGAAGGCCTGATTAGGGTTTGGCATAGCAGGGAAGTCTCCGTAGGGTTCAGTTCTTCTACGTTTCCATTTTAATCGAAGGAAAGTGATGCTGAGAAAAGTTTAGATCCTGAAAACTCGTTATTCTGAGGCGATCTTAGTATTTGATTTTACACTTTGACCTGTTGTTGATGATGATGGATGGATCCAATGGTAGCTCGAATTCGCCGGCGCCGTTTCTGCTCAAAACGTATGAGATGGTAGATGATCCAATGACTAATTCTGTTGTTTCATGGAGCCAAACAGGGCACAGTTTTGTTGTTTGGAATCCTCCAGATTTTTCGAGTGATTTGCTTCCCAAGTACTTTAAGCACAATAACTTCTCCAGCTTCATTCGGCAACTCAACACATATGTAAGTAAGCTTTTCAACTGTTCTTATGATTGATTATCTATCTATCTATCTATCTGCTGTGGTGTATGCTGATTCGTAAAGTGATTTTCTAGATGTGTTGCTCTATAATTGTTTGTTGATTGATCAACCCAGAGCTGATTCAATATCACATATGAATAAATCCAGAGGATGAAATCTTGATAAGCCTTAGATCTTGAATAAAACTAGTTAAAGGATTCGATAGGATGATGATGATGATCATGTTTAGGTGTGGTTTTGATTGGGGATATCTATTTATTACATTTTCAGGGCTTTAGAAAGGTTGATCCCGAGCAATGGGAGTTTGCGAACGACGAATTCATCAGAGGCCATAGACATCTATTGAAGAACATTCACAGGCGAAAACCAGTCCACAGCCATACAGGTGCAATGATCTTAGCCGACTCCGAGAGAGAGGAATTCGAAAAGAAGATTGAGAAACTGAAGCACGAAAAGGTTAGGCTTCAATCAGAGGTGGACCGGCATCAAGAAGAGAATCGCGAGTACGTGAATAAGCTTAGACTGCTCGAGCACGCCCTGCAAAACATCGATCAGAGGCAGCGTCAGGTGGTTCTTGTCTTGACTAAATTGTTGGAAAAGCCCGAGTATGCCTCCAAGATTGCAGAACAGTTAGAACCCGAGAACAAGAAAAGGAGAGTATTAGCTTTGAATCAAGTGCACACTGAGGAGAGCCAGAGCATGAATTTAGTCGAGAGTTGGAGCCCGGATTCTCGTCCGAGAGTTAGCATGGAAGTTGTCGAGAGATTAACCTCGTCCCTAATGCTGTGCGAGAAATTCGCCAGCGACTTTGATCAGATTGCAGCAGAAGAAAATATGCACGATGTTAACACACCCCTGCAGCCTTCGCTATTCGTCGACACTGAAGTGCGAGCGCCGTTTGGAGATTGCGATCTTAATGTCCCGCCTTCGTCGTCTGAGGTGTCACCTTCGGAAGACAGCCACTCTTCACTTGACCTCGTCGCGTGCACTGACTGCCCCTTGTCTTCCATTTGCATTGATCTTGATTCTGCCTCGGAAGTCGATGCGGGCATTAGTCCTGCAGAAACTCCTGATTTTAAATCAGGTAAGCATCAAGAACTGGACAGCTCGGGAGGTAACAGTACGTTTTGGCAACAGTTCTTAACTGAGGATACGTCGAAAAAGTTAGAGGAGAACAGGGATAGGGACGTCGATGAATGGAACTCGGACGAGAGTGAGTGTACGGAAGAACTGAAGCCATGGTGGACAATGGATAAGCTTACACAACAAATGGGACATCTGACTCAAGCCGAGAGGACCTAAATGATGCATCTATCTATCTATCAGGTATTTATTTACTTAGTAATGAGTTTGAACGGTTGTTTGATGCGATATATATACATATGTGGTAGTAGTAATTAATGTATGTAAGGATTTCTTACCTTTGTCATATGTTTGTGTATAAACTAATGATAACTCACTTCTCCATTGCACTCATTTATATGCTGTTTTGTCGGGGGGTGGCACGCAAAATTTGGAGCGTCTGGTTTGAATCTATGACTTCGTGGTGACGAGTCTATACCGAGGCCATATCCCTTACCAAATTAGTTCATCTTTTTGTTGACTTATGGTATAATGGATATAGTAGCTGTTCGTTAGGTAAATCGATTTTTGGCCTAAAATTTCGGGAAGGATAATCCATAACCCCCAAGTGCTATGGGAACGCTATTTAATTGTCGTATTTCTGTTCGAACAGCCTTAGTTAATCTTGTCTTTCATTAATATAAATTTTTAAAGATATGGAATAAATTAAAAGATTAAATGAATAAATAACAAGACAAATCAATTGAAAAAATAAACATTAGAAATAAGTTGCAATCAATTAAAAAGTATAGTAAAGATTAAAAGTAATAAATGAAAGAAGGGTAAAAATGTAAAATTTATTTTTAAAAAAGAAATAGGACCGTCTTGTGGACGGAGGGAGTAATATATTGTAAAAAAATAGTAACAAAGTAATTATTATCCGTTAAAATTTATATTTTATAATATCTAAAAAATTATTATTTATAATTTAAAATTATTAAATATTACATTATGTCCTAAGATGGCTTACATATATATATGTTTTTTCAAAAAAACAATTAGAATGGTATACTTTACATAGATAATTACAGTAAAATCATAATATAGTTTAATATTTTAATTATTACCAATTATATATTTAAAAGTAAAGACATATAAAATTAATTTTGAGTTTGTTTATTTAGTATTTTATTTTGAAATATATATTTTCTATTTATGTTAAATACAAATTTGGTTTGTTCTTTCAATTTTTTGACACAATTTTTAATATATATAATATTATATTTTAAATATTTCAATACAAAATTAATATTCAATAAAATATTATTTTTTATATTATAATATTTAAAATAATATTTTTTTTTTGTTTCGAATAAATAATCCATTTATTTTGATAATTATTATTTAGATAGTTTAAATTAGTTATTTATTAATAATAAATTATAATATTATTCTATTACTTTTTATATGAGTTTAGAAATATAAATTAATATATAATTAAAAGAAATTTAGGATACACAATATGAATATAAAATTTTATATATACAAATAAATAAAAATTATTTATAATTGATTTAATTAATTTTATAAAAAAATAAAAAAATATAAAATATAACTGAAAATATCTATTTATTGAAAAAAAATATAACAACAGGCCTTTATTAAATATATTGAAAATAAATAAATGTAATAAAATTTATATTTGTTAAATTAAATGAATTAATTTACAAAAATTATTTTTTACGAAGAAAAGGGTGTGTTTGTTTGGGGGTTTGGATTTTGAGTTGGGATTTGAATAGTAAAAATTTTGAATTTGAATAGTTGTATGATGTGATATAAATAGGGTTTGATGTGATGTTTTGAATGTAAAATTGATTTTTAGTATAATATAAAAAATGAAAATTAGGTGTTTGATTTGATATTTTTGGGGAAAAAAAATTGGATGAATAGTGGAAATCCACCAAAATCCTTCAAACAAACACACCCAAAATAAAATAAAAAATTCTTATGTGCGGACTCGAAGAGAGTATTTTCCATCAAATTGTTAAAAACAAATAAATATCGCTCGACCAATTTGGGCTATAAATAAATTAAAAAAATAGAAAAGGTATCTGCACAGTATAGATTCACCGTCTGCGGGGTACGGGTACCTTCCATTTTCATCTTCATCGTGAACGCTTTAAGCTACCAACCACCGTCTGTAAAAGAGATTTCTCATTCCTAGATTTGGCCGAAGACCTCTTCGCCAGGTTTAGATCTTACGTAATTGCTCCGTAACTTCGATGTGAAATTCCTATTTCGTTTGATTTGCGACTGTGTGTGCAGGTAATTGGGGATATGGCTATCGTTTCAGTTCATCAGTTCGCCCAATGTGTTACTTGCCATGCTTGGAGTCCTGAACACTCTAGTAATCATCTACTCCCAATACTTGTATATACATAATTCATTTCTCGGTTCGTGTTGTGGGTGGTGATTTAATCGGTCATAACTCGTGGCATTGCGATGCATTACGAATTGTAGTGATTGCATTTTGTCCGAATAACAATGAGGTGCACATCTATAAATTGTTGGAAGGGAAGTGGGAGAAGATGCATGTTCTTCACAAGGTAAATTTGTAACTCCTTTGTGGTAATTTATTTATTTGAATTCTCTGAGATTTTGTTCTGTTGTAACCAGTAGTAGGTTGATCTGAGGGGATTCTTGGGTCACAGTCTTCAAACATTTTTGGATTGGTTGGAGAAGGGTTTGTGGGTTTTAGTAAGAATCTGGTGATCTTAGAAGCTATCTGCACTAGAAGTGCATAAAATGGACTCTTTGTTTGCTTTAGCTTACTATGCTGCTCATGTTAGAAGGTCATTCTGAGGATAATTTGGTAGGGTTGAAATTTCTGTTTCTATGATTCTCACGTGTCAAAGAGTTATTCTAATAGGATAGTGTTATTTTTACACATTAACTGTGAAAATGTAACAGTATCAAAATAGAAAGGGTAAAAAATGATAAACAAATATGAAGAATTTTTTTTTTTTTGATGACGAACAAATATGAAGAATTTTGATTGTATGTGCATGGGACTATAATAAGAACGGTTAAACCATTTCTCTAATGTGAGATTGTAAGACTAGGGGGGAATAATTGACCAAATTATGGTGGCATGATGCCTAAAACTTGCTTTGTACTTCTCCTATATGTTTTATGCTGTCAAGATGATTGATGGTGCAAAATTTTCATTTAATTCCTTGAATTGATTACTCCTGGAGTGAACTTCTTATTTGTTTTGTTAATCGGAGTGAACTTCTTATTTTTTGATTCTATAACTTCATGTTCACAGCATGATCAGATTGTTTCTGGAATAGATTGGGGAAGAAGTTCAAACAGAATAGTTACGGTTTCTCATGATCGAAATTCGTAAGTGATCAGAGTTTGAAGTATCGCTATAAATTGTGACAGTTTATCAGATAATATTCTATGTATTCTTCCTTTCCTGCTCCTAAAACCATTTCAAACTGCTTTTTCTTGTAATTATGTTTTGTGTTTTTGTACCTCTAGTTTTGGATAATTACAGACCTAGTTAAATCCTGTTTCAGATACGTTTGGTCCCAAGAAGGAATAGAATGGGTACCGACCCTTGTTATACTTAGATTAAATCGTGCAGCACTTTGTGTACAATGGAGTACAAAAGGTATGGGGTTCTATTAGAAACTCTTCAATGCCAATTATATGTTCTCAGAACTCACTGTACGGTTTCATTTTTATTCCATCACCTGCAAATTTGTCTAGCAATGAGGGAACAAAAGGGGACATGATTATTAAATGTGATTGTTCTTCTGGTATGAAAACATATGGATTGCAGTTTTAGCCCCTTCAGTGGAAGAACCCCTTTATTTATTTCTGTTTTTAATTTTGTTTGCACTACTAAAAAATGAGCAACAAAGCTTGTTATTGCTATGAGCTGGATTTTTTTGAGAACATTAGGTGTTCCATTTGGCCCAGTTTATTTTTGCATGTATTCAACTGAATAATTTCTGTACTCTGTTAAAATAATGCAATGATCAATCTTTTATTTGACTATTTGTGGTCTGTGGAAGCATTTCTTCTCGAAGCATATATCAAATATAGTAAATCATTTGAATATTTCATTAGCATGGTAAATGTCGAAGTATGGGGTTTTAGGGCATAAAAATATGCATGGTGATTCCTATTCATCCAGTTATTATGCTTGCACTAAAATTGAGGAACCTGCCCAGAAGATGTAGGTGCCACTTGTGGAAAAAGTAAGAAATGAGTTAACTCAAAACCACACTCGTCACTCATCTCTTACAAGAAAAACTCAAGGAAATGGATGTGTTCTCTTAATATAAGATCTAGTAGCAGCTGTATATTAGAAGCATTATGTAGAATTAGTCTAGCACTCAGTTAAAGATAGGAAGAGGCTTCCTACAAAAGATACAGGAATATATCTTGTTCAGGCAAAAGAAGGGCTAAAGGAGATAATATTTAGCATCTGTTAGAACATTTGAATTTATATGTGATTGTTAAGGAAACCTTGAGAAGTGAACTTTCAAGATAAAAGAATAGGCAGAGTAAATGTCATATGAAGTTAGTTTAAAGTTTGTTTCATCAAGGGTGTGTTTGTTTGGGGGTTTGGATTTTGAGTTGGGATTTGAATAGTAAAAATTTTGAATTTGAGTAGTTGTATGATGTGATATAAATGGGTGTTGATGTGATATTTGAATGTAAAATTGATTTTTAGTATAATATAAAAAATGAAAAATAGATATTTGATTTGATGTTTTGGGGGGGGGGGGGGAATTTGGATGTATAGTGTATTTAGGGGAAAATCCCCCAAACAAACACACCCCAACTGTTCTTTTAGCATATGCAATGTGGTATGATAAGTTGCTTATGATGTCGTTAAAGATACCTGACTTAATTAGCTTTATAGACTGGACTCTCACACCACCTATTTCTGGATAATCGGTTTTCTGAGAATTATGACTCGCAGTATGAGATATTTGGTAATTCTGGTGATCACACACACGAAAAAAAAAATAAAAATGCATGGATGGAAACACATGTGCTCAGATATTAGCAAAGTGTGGTCTACTGATTAAAATGATGCTACACTGAAAGCATGGGAATCAAGGTTTTTGGTGTCTTGATCACCTTTCAATGGATTCCTATTATGGTTTTTGGCGAAAAAAACCCAAGCAAGTTGTGTCAATCCTTTGTCTGGGTATTAAACATCAATTTTATTTGATAGTTGACACCATGTGCATAAATCACTTTCCAACTTTTAATAAACGTTTTCACCATTTTAGTTAAGGTTTTCTATGAGAAGTATAAGTTGCATTAATTATGCTTATTTTCCTGTTCTGTGGCTCAAGTGCCTTCAACTCACCAAGTTGAAGTCTTGGTACATTATATTGGCTATTGCTGCTGGTAAACGGGCATGTTCTTTGTGGAATTTGAAGATCTTGTTTTGGTATTACTGCATATTAAAATTTTCATGTGGTAATTTATTCTAATCTCTTTTAACAATGTCCTGTTTTCTCTTTCAGAAAACAAGTTTGCTGTTGGAAGTGGGGCTAAAACTGTTTGTGTTTGCTACTATGAGCAAGAGAATAATTGGTAAGATCTTCTGGGTATTGTTTCTTTCTCAGTTTTATTTAACGCATGAATTGATTATATGCTTGGTGACTCAGCATGCTTTCTTTGCTCTGTGCCTCAGTTTTAAGTATTGCATGAACTTCCTGTTTGTTTCCTAGTGGCTTAACTTGTTCTTTGAATGAAACTCGTGAGATTAATTTGTAAAGGAGAAAAGACAAATGGTCAGTTCAGTGCTTAACTTGTGAGTTTTAAGTATTGCATGAACTTCCTGTTTGTTTCCTAGTGGCTTAACTTGTTCTCTGAATGAAACTCGTGAGATTAATTTGTAAAGGAGAAAAGACAAATGGTCAGTTCAGTGCTTAACTTGTGAGTTTTAAGTATTGCATGAACTTCCTGTTTGTTTCCTAGTGGCTTAACTTGTTCTCTGAATGAAACTCATGAGGCCTCTCTCACTGTTTAACCATGGTCAGTTCAGTGCTGCTCTTTCATGTAAGCAAGTGTATAAGATGTTGGGAAGAAAATGGAGGTGGTCTATTACAACAAGACAAATATATTACTGTTAGAGCGACCTGTACAATCTGATGATTAATGATTGAACTATGCATATGGATATTGTATATATAAAATAGTATAATATGATATATGTCACATTGACCCTATATTGAAAGGTATGAGAGTTAATTCTCATCCTTGCATCATACAGTCTGTAAAGTGATTTCATTGCTCTTTTATTATAGTGTGAAAATTAATGAACAGATTATTAGTTATAACTTATAATTAGACAGATTGTTAGTTATAACTTATAATTAGGTTTCTCTAGCATACATTTGGCCAATTTGTAAATTTCAAGGTATAGTTCAAATATAGGGTTGATGTCGCAGCTATCCAATTCCATCTCTTAATATTTTGCTTTGCTTACTGTTTCTGACCTTGCATTTTCATATAGTGCATGGTGGTTGGGAACATTGTTACACAATAGGCTTAGACTGGCTAAACTAGTTGAACAAATATTTTGTGGCTAAATGTCTTTTGGTCGTTAAATATCTATCATTTGTTAGAAAACCAGATATCATGAATGTATACCTTGCCTTTGAGGCACCATTATCTTTCCTAAAATGAATAATTGTTTTATTTCCCTACCAGTGCCTCATTATATCTCCATTAAACTTCCACAGGTGGGTCAGTAAGGTTATAAGGAAACGGCATGATTCTTCTGTGACAAGTGTTGCCTGGCATCCGGATAATGTTAGTGTCTTCTATCAATACCTGTAATTCTGTATCAGTTTCTTTGTTATCATTTCCTTTTTTGGATCCTTGAGCTTAATAATCCTCTTATCTACCTGAAAATTTTGCATTATCTTGAAAACATTGGTGCATAAATTAAACTGCTCAAGCATTCTTAGTCTATTTATTAGTTTTGAAGTCCCTGCAAACATCTATTAGAAGAATCAGAAAATGCATAAGCATGTGGTTGAAAGAATGTTCTATGAATAGTTTTACGGAGCCTGGAATTTCGAAACAAATTACTATTCAGAGCATAGTAAAGGCATATGAATGTTATGAAACACGAATTTTCTTCATATCATATCGGGCAATGTATCATCAAATAGAATGCAAATGTGCTTGTCTTCCTCCTTAGGAAAAATAATTTGTTGACTATCATAAGAATGGGTCAGTGTGAGGGATCATATCTGCACATACCAGATCTTTTGCTCTAGGAGTTTAGCGGAAAGGTGTGAGTAAATCTGGAAAAGCTATATAGGAAACACATGGAGTGAATTCCTATCCTTTAGAAATGCTTATTATCCCTGTTTAAAAAATAATTTCTTGCATTTTGAACATAAATAATGATATATATATGCTTGAATATTTTATGTTCCAATAGTGTTTGGTTTGATGGTTGGGTTTGTGGTTGGAAGTTTGGATGAGATTTATTTAATTAATATTTATTTATGATGTAATATATATTAAATTTAAAATATCTATTTGTGTTTTTATATATCTCAATAAAATATATTTACTACGGATATCATTTTATAGAATCTTCTTATATACAAATAAATAAAATATAAATATATTTATTTATTGAATAGAGAAATACAAATAGAAATTTATAAGTGAGTCCCTCCTTTTGAAATATTTAGGAAAAAAATTGGAAGCATAGTGCAAACCAAAGTTTGTAAAGTGAATCAAACAGACCCAAAGTTGGTAGCATAATGCGAACAAGAGCTTGGGAAATATGATCCTTAATGGGTCTTATTTGGCTTCTGAGAAGAAAACTGCCACATTTAGATGTGTTGCTAATGTACAGTTAGATTTTTTAGTATATTGATTACTATTTTTCTATGCGTTTTTATAACATAACAGATATTACTTGCAACTACATCAACTGATGGAAAATGCCGTGTATTCTCTACGTTCATTAAAGGTGTAGACAACAAGTATGTTCCATTAAATATTCTGAAAATTCTATTTCATCTTGCTATCCTGTTTTTCCTTTGATTTGATTCTCTGCATCTTTGCTGGTAATTCTTGCTACAGGACCTCTTCAGGCTCTTATTCTGATTCAAAGTTTGGAGAGGTTTGAACACCCTTTTCCTTGTTTCTGATGCAATAGCATAGTGGTCTAATAGATTTTAAGTGTGATGTATTGTGAATCTGTAAACAGAAAGAAAGTATTACTAATTATGATCAATTTCTGGAAAATGGTTAATTATTTATTGGTTGGCTAAATATCCTGTTCTGAAATTGGACTGTTTGAAGTGCCAAAGTTATCTTACTCTGGATATGGTTAGGTTTGCTGATTGGCAGATGGCTTCATTATTAACACTATTAAGCATAGAGTCAAACCTTTGCAAATCAAGCGGTGAGACATCCCTCCTTTGAGGGTTGGGTGTTCTAGGTTCGATCCTGGGTGGGTGCGTGTGAGAACACTGGAACGTAGATAAAACAAAACATTGTCTGTATATACGTGTTTCTGATATCTTCCTTTCTTTTTTATGTTTTTATTATTATTTTTTTTTTCTATATGGCTGATTTGATTATTTCTAATATTTCTCGGTTCTTTTTGCCTGAATCAGCAAATCATGCAGCTTGATCTCTCATTCAGTTGGTCATTTGCTATGAAGTGGTCCCCAAGTGGCAGTACCTTAGCTTATGTAGGTCAGAAATTCATTACTCATCTTTGTTGTCAGATAGATCTTGCACTAGATTTCATGGTTTCGAAACTGTTTGAATCACTTTCAGAATGAGAATAATTCATTCTGAAATTTATGGTTGATGATATTTTTACCCAATTTCTAAGTTTTCCTTAGAGTCAGTCATATTTTGGATACATGTTTCGTACTCAACTCTAGATATCAAAATCTAGTAGTTAAATTTTGCATTTTAATCTATGATGTTTGTGTTGCCTTTGCTAATATGGAAAAAAACCTCAGGTCACAATTCAATGATATACTTCGCTGATGAAATCGGTCCTTCTCCATCTGCACAGAGTGTATCTTTCCGTGATTTGCCTCTTCGTGATGTGGGTCAGCATCCATTCTTAAACATTTATTCTTTCCTGTAACCTATATGAAAGTAATATTAATCAAATTTCATGCATCGATGTACATGATCTAGATTTTGTTTGTTTCGGAGAGACTGGTCATTGGTGCTGGCTTTGATTGCAATCCAATGGTGTTCGTGGCAGATGACATAGGATTATGGTGAGTTCTGGGTACAGTTATTTTCAGATTGCAGTAGTTTCCTTTATTTGTTTAACATGCCAACTACAAAAAAGATCAAATATTTTCAACTAAACAATCCCTTAGATACTTCATAAAAGAGAACAGCAAGTCATTGTATCTTAAACGTTTTTCATGGAAATCAAATGGATGTATTCTTTACTGCAGGAGCTTCTTGAGATTTCTCGAAGATAAGAAGGCTACTCCAAGCACAAAAGTTAATTCCCAGGTATGTAATCCTATAATAGTTATGTTAAAGTTATACATTCTGATTGAACTGGAAGCAGCCATTACAAAAAATGTTATATTTGAGAAATCTGCCAAACCACAGAACATATTGGGCATAAAATATCAGCATGATATTGAATTGTTGAATTTCTGTGTAAAATTTTGTTGAATCATAGTATAAAAATATGCTGAATGCTTATTATATTAAACAACAAAAAAAAAACTAAACCATGAATCTATTGAATCACGTGAGAAAATTATTGAGCCATAATGACTTGTACTGAACAATCTTACAACAAGACTCAGCATACGAATATGCTGATGCAGCTTCTTATTGTTTTGCATACATATATCTGTACATCTCTTATCTCTATACGGTATACTTGGTTGAGAAACACCGGACACGAGTAATCAATTTTTAAATGACAATTTCAATCAACAGCATATTGAACGGCTACCTTGATTATTTCATGCACATCAATGCTGATCTTTACATGTATTTCCAGCTTTCAGGAACTTTTGGGAAATTTTACAGCCAGTCTAAAAGCAATGATGCTAATGAAGCTTCAAGAACCCGGCCTGCTCATGAAAATTGTATTACGTATGTCAAGTCTACTTTCTTTGATTCCCACGCCCCACCCCCACCCCCACCCCTCCTGTTTTCTTTTAGGCCATAACCACTTCTTTTTCCTGTTACCAAATTTCAGTAGCATTGTGCCTCTCAAAAAAGCTGGGGATACCACAATTTCCAAGTTCAGTACTTCAGGTTAGAGACAAACATTAATCTTGTTGTCTTCTGCAGCCATGAATTATTCGTTGTCGATATCAAGTTTTACACTTTTATCACAGGATTGGACGGCAAGGTAATTGTATGGGATCTACGACAGCACCCTGATCTGTTGCAGTACTTGTAAGAAGTATGTTCGTCACATGCATTGATGAGGTTCTATGAAGTTACTGATGTTCAACTATTATGTTATGTTGTTGCTGTACTTGCTTACTGATTGATTTGCAGTACGATTTCCATGTTTGTAGATCTTGTCTATGTTTGCTTGGTGTGTATCAAATATATCTTCAATGGTTGCAAATAAGCACAAATATGTAGCAGACAAATTATTTCATTTTACATTTTAACTCTGGTGCTTTCTGATGTCGATGAGATTTTAGCCATCGTACTATTCGCGATAGTTTCTAGTTTTTATGTTTTTCCAACAATTCAGTGCTTGAAAGTGAATCAAGATAACCTAACCCCATGGGCTGTTTGTTCGTGGGAAATCTGCTCTCCTTTAAGGGCAACAACAATAACCATCGACACTATGTTGGATTAGCTTATTCTTTGGACTAGGTAAGTGTAGATATTACAACAATGTTGGTAATGTATTTTATATATACATATATATATATAGGTGGGATAAAAATGCATTAGTGTTATTCTAACTAGCAAAACAGCAACGTAGATGTTCTTTTGCACCATGTTGAGTGTTCCAAACAGGCAATTAAACTTAAATGTAGAAAATTAATCAATTCAAAATCACAATAGTTATGAACACAAACTATATGGAAAAATGTTGTACGTTGATAGCTATAGCCTAAATTATGCAGAGAATAGCATGCACTATAATTTGATTAATGTCTTCAGCCTTTCACCGCCATTTTGCACTTGAGCAGCAGCAGCAGCAGCAACAAAAAATATTACAAGTTGGGATTGCATTTTGGATTTTTATGAGAACATGCGCAGGAAGTTGTTCGCATATGCCATCGGCTTGACATCAGGGTGTGGCTGTAATTCATACAGGGAAATATTAAACTTTGCAATACTAGAATAACAAAATAATTAGCGGAAATCCACTAAGGCGAAAAGCCACTAACCACGGCTGAAAATGTCACAATGTTGGGTTTGAGATCGGGGGCTTCAAAACGAATCAATGCGCCCTTGTTTCCCATCTGTATCAAGAAAGAGGAACTCAAATGGAAGGGCAACATATATTGGAGCTTGGAACTGTTTGGAAAAGAGCTAATAAGGCCAAGGCCACAAAGACGAAAACCACAGTACATTACCTGATCACAGTAGTTTGGAGCAGAAAACACGGTAATAAGTTTACCATCATGCTCGATCTCATATCCTTCATCCTTGACTTCATGTGACCTCACTACTAAATCTGAAAAAGACATGTTGAATATTCGAGTTGATGTTCCTAGAAATGCTACACAGCTCAAAAACTGACAGGTGGATTGATCGAGTGGAAGAGATACTAACCTAAGTTATTGTCCTGCAAAAATCTCTTTGTTACATCAGCACCAAATGAAAGGCCAACACCACGTTTGCTTGGTCCTCGTCCAAGCTGTGGTTGTGGATCACTCCACAGAAGTTCACACATCAACCCTGAATTAATTCAAAAGAAACACATCCATGCTATGTACATCAGTTGTCTTTGATGATAATGATATATATGTGAATGAGAGTTGTAAGTTCAAAGTTTGACCCAAAATTTTGGATAGTTCCATCACTATAATAGTAAAGATCACCATAAACATCAGAAAGTACATAAAATTATATCCTGAGGAAATAAAGCCATCTTCTCCGAGGAAAAGGTCTCTTAAATCAAATAAAAAGATGGCATCACTTATGGTGAGAGATAGAGCTCTGCCAACTTAACAGCCCTACTTCACTGATCTTATTGATTGAACATTTTATTAGGCACCATGATTTTACTTGCATGTGTTTCTTTCTGTCGGGCCATACACTATATATCTCCTTAATCAGGAGACGAGAGTTCAAACTTACAGGCATTTCCAGAAACATAAGGTTGACATATTTGTGTCATAAAAATTAATATTGCAAGTCTAAAGGATCATCTATATTAAAAACTGACACACAAGAAGCTGGGAGAAAATGATTATCAACACGCTCCCTCAGGTGCAAGTGGGACTCGAACTCGAGACCTAACCTAGGCTCTGATACTATGTCGGATGCTTAATGACCGTCTCACCTAAAAGCTCAAACTTTTAGGAAAACTTAGCCTTTATTCATATATCCGCAAAGGGGAGTCCCAACACTTACGTAAAACTTTGTTAGGCACATGATTGAGCAGCAATAAGGTAGATGAAGAAACATAATATGAGATTCTACAATTCTATCAGGCTTACCCTCCTCAGGAGGTTCGCAAAATCTGTCAATGGCTTTAATGTCAGAGAGCTTCACGCCATCCACGCTGAAGAGGCCACCATGGACCACAAACACTTTCTCATTAATGACATGAGCCAAAGGTAAACAGCAGAATACTTCCGCAAATAACTCCACAAATGTATCACTCAATTTGGACCTGACTTCACCCTCAAAACCATATATCTTATTCATGCTTTTACTTTCATGGTTGCCCCGAGATAGGTACATGGCTGTGAAATTAAAAAAAAAAAAAAAAAGTCAAGCAACTCTGCACACTACTATGCTGGCCTATTTACTATGGCGATGAATACAGTCAAAGTATTACTATGTTCAACAGATATTATAAACTGGAAATGAATAGATAAATACCAATGGTGGAGATAAAATCCCAGAACAATAACATATTCAGCAATATTATAAGAACTGTTTTTCAGTATGGGGTCATAAAAACAAGATAGATATGTTAAGACCTTGCAGATTTTTCTTAATCTCAGGTGCTAAGCATAATTTTCTGCAGCATCTACCTAACAAATTATTAAACATTATTCTCAAATCTGTTGATAAACAATCTGATGTCACAGAAAATAAACAAGCAAAAAAGTAGTTTAGAAACAGGAATTTTCTAATTTATTCTATACCAGGTAATGCATGATTACAAATGGCAGGAATGAAAACAAATAAAGCAAAAAAATGGATATATCACCTGATGGACACATGCACTTGAAGGCAAACAGTGTAAGTATGACCTCTAAGGAAAAGGAGCCCCTATCTACAAAGTCCCCGTTGAACAGATACGGATTATCTTCAGAGGGAAGTCCATTGAGCTCAAATATATTTAGCAAATCATAAAACTGCAAGCATAAAAAATTAGTCACTAGTTTGTTTTTATTATATTTTTTGAGATTGGTCAATAGGTATATTAGTTGATACGTGAATGCATGGAGTCATAAACATGCTAGTGAGCCAAACTCATAATGAGGCAGTGAAACTAAGCAACTAAATAGAAATGAAAATCTGAAAGCTGACACAAATAAACTGGTTGCTTAGTGAAGTGACATAGTTACCTAATACTCGCCCATTTCAAAACTTATTAGAGAAAGATAAATGCTTCTAAAAAAATAATAATTATTATTTAATACATCTCTATAAAACTGAAAAATAATAATAATACTAATAATAATAGTAGCATGGTTGTAACAGAACAAGCGGAACCAATATTACCTGCCCATGCACATCACCACATACAGTGAAATGCTTTCCATCTGGAACATTAATATTGACAAGAGATGGTAATTCTCGAAGGTGTTTTCTTGTTTGCAGCACAATTTGGTATGCAAATCTATAAGCAAAAAATTAAAAAAATAAAATGAAAATAAATAGACAATGATAGTTACTTTTATCTACTTTCACCTACCAAAAAAAAAAAGAAAAAGAAAGAAAGGACCAACTGAGGATATTGACAAATACACAAGCGATATAATACACGAGTGCAGAACTTATGTAAGCACATAAGAAAAGTTGGGAGGTGCTGTACATGTTTATAAAGATACACTATACCTTTTGTGTAAGCACTTCTGATTCTTGAAATCATCCAACATTTTCTTCACAAAATCCAAAGTCACAACATCTCCCTCTATTCTTGCACCAGAATATTGTGATTCCACATCTATAGTTCAATGAGACACAAAAAGATTTGTAAGTTGAACCCTTATTTTTCTTGAAGGATAATCCAGCAAACCACAATATATCTAACAAAGTTTCATTTCACAGCAGCAATAGCATTAACATGAATTCCAAATCAAAGAAATTCGCAACAGCTTATCAGCTTTTTCAATTTAAGTCATATAAGATACCCAAAACTTGAATTTTAGATCATTGTGTAAAATACATGGTCGATATGATCATGTAGGCATTTTCAACTCTCAGATACTTCCACCATACAACATTTACTATCGTGTGCATAAAGATGAAATATGTATGGAGAATGCCTATTCCCCTTCTTTCCATCAGTCAATGCATAACCGTGAATTATAAGTTAATAAAACATAAATCTTCACACATTCAAGTAGTCCAATTTCAGTAGCAGCCTTTGGCCAACTTATGTGGATGAACATTTGTTTCAATACAGATGGAAGCAGAAACGCACCGGGCTAATGCCTAGCTAAGCATATATATTAGATTCTATTTCTAAGATTATTATAATAATAAAATAATATCTCACTTTGAAGGTTGAGATTAGAAAATAAGCACCTCATTCGTTTTAAGAATGTCTACGGTCAGCACACTAGAACAGTCAGAAATTCATGAAAAAATTGACTGCTTTGTTGATTAGTCAGAAAATTTTATAGTTACAGCTAGTTGAAAAGTATATGAACTTTTAAACCCTCCCTGGCAGATTGCACCCTAACTTAGAAAAAGATGGTATGAGGTTGGTGGTCAAACTCTTCATCTTTCACCTGACTTCTCAACTTCCATACATATTCTGGTATTTAAGGGTGTGTTTCTTTTGTACCCAAACCCCAAATTCTATTATTTGGACTCTGCGTTCCCCCCCCCCCCCCCCCCCCAACAAATACACCTTTTTGTCTCATAAAATATCCCATTATCCATTATTTTAATACCAAACCCAAACCAAAATTTTTCAAACCAAATAAAAAGAAATACACCCTAAATTTTTCCACAGCTTCCAATAACAAAGTAAAAAATCACAAATTTGAGCTACAGAATTTCTAAGGACACAAATGATTAAGGTCTTTATATAGAGTCTACACATTCAAACCAGAAATGGAAATATTTCATTCAGTCAGATTATTCTAGTCTTCTTCCCATACACATTCACCCCTCAGAAGACAAACATCTATGTGAAGATCTGATTTAGTTCCTAAACACTTCACAACTTCAATCTATGCAAGTTTAACTTGCCGTTACAGAATGTTTTCTTCCAATATGTAGAGGGATAAATACAAAGCACATCAGAACTTTTACTTCATGATTTGGAAATGCTTACGGAGTTGTGAGTCAATAATAAACCATGAAAAATTACATATCAAATGCCATTACAAAAAACTGTGAGCTTGTCCCACAGCAGGTTTGACATGGTAAAGAGAAGAAAGATCTATGTTGTAGCAAAATAAAATAGAAAATGCTGTTACTTAGCATGTTCAAAGCAATTATTTACAAAACTATATTTTGAATATAGATCTGCTTAAAAAGACTCTAGCTCTTTTAATTCAGAAATGAGAACAAACTAAAACCTATTAGTTACAGCAGTATTCTTTATGTGGAAGAATGTCGACTAAGTATCCTAAATCCAGCACTAAACACTTCAATCAAGCAGAAACATCCTTCTAAACACAGTCAAACCTTTGCAATAAGAGGAAAATAAAATGATATCCCAACTAATGGAGAATGTTTTTATTAATTCTTTCAGGGGTATCTTTGAAAAGAAACTTCCAAAGTTTAATCATAAATTTTATGTATTGCCATTTCCTTGGGGATGTTATATTTAGCTTCCAATAATTATCTGAAATAATAGTTAAAAATTATCTTCTTTAATTGAAGAAAAAACAATGGCACATCATAAGCTTTGTGTTTTTTCCTGAATAATTAATTTGACTTCAAAAGGTCTAACCTAAGTCAAGTGCCCCACCCTTGGTAAAGAGTCTAAAGACAGTGTCTTTGAAGTGATCCTGCCAATATGTTCCCCAAAACACCAATATAACCACCATAGCTGTTGCTGCCATTGCTATGGTCGATTTTGTCCTCACATATACGGCAAGAAGTGCTACTGCTGCTGCTACAGCAGTAACCTTCATGGAAACATAAGATGAGCCAGGTCTAGTCCCTATAATGATAAAATTTTGTCATATACTAGTAAGTATAAGAGTTACAAATATGCACCAAGTACATACTTGTTCACATGAAAATTACAACTCGTATTTTTCCTCAGGTTGCCACACATGGAGGCAAGTCAAGACTCTAGACTCATCATTTTGTACTGTGCCATGAATTTTTTATCACATCAGTCGGATTAAGCATATATACACTTAAAAACCTTATATCAACTCACACCCACATTCTCATTACAAATACGATACAAGCAAAGGTGACAAAGAAAAGCATTGCTAAAAAGAAATCTATGAAGTGACTCCCTTAACAAAAGATAAAAAACTCCATAGTTAATAATCTAATTTGTTATATTAATGCCACTTTGTTCATGTAATAGTGAATCTTATAACATTTCAATAGATTTCTTTCCTGCTATAGCAGCATAGACAAATTCCACGACCAGAAAGAGAAAAAAAAAATAGTAGAACATATAAAATACTAATCAAACAAAGGGTTACTACAGTGAGCTGGATTTGCAAACAAAAAGTTTAAAGTGATAAAATTGAAGTAACAGCAGGCAGTCTGAAATTTAACTTTTCATACCTACTGTTCGATAATCAATAGAGTCAGCTATTGAGCGTCTTTCTGATTTGGGAACAGATATAGCTTCTTCAAATTTTAGTTTCATCACTGCTTTCTCACACTCCTTCAATTTCTTGGTAGCATCAGGGTCATTTGGACAGATTTTTTTGAGCTAAATTAACCAGAAAACACTAAATACAGATTAGTAAAATGACAAGAGTTCTGAGTGCATATAAAGTAAGAAAAAAAAGCAGGAAATTTCAATAAAAAACACACATCAACTCGAAGCAAGTAAAAGTGTAATAAACCGGAATAAATAACAGTTTTCATGGAAAACAAAACATGTGAGAAAGACCGGGATAAATTTTATAAAACAAAGGAAGAAAATAACCAAGGAATGTTCACAAAAATTCAACAGTCAAACGCTTATAAGAACCCTAAGGTTATTTGTGGGTGAATAGGGATAGATTTGAAGAAATTATTTGAAAAAGAATTTTAATTGGTTAGACATATAAGCCTGGGTCACGGGCTGAAAAAACATATTAGAGTGGATATTCTTGGCCATACTCTCTAAAAGAGAAAGAATGATGTCAGCTCTTATAGGCTTACCCCACTCCTAAATACGCCACAAAACTTTGTAATATGATACCCAAACCTGTCAGCTAGAGATTTTCTTATGATTGAATCATTAAAGATACTTGCTCCAAATCCACCAACCCAAAGAAAAGTGAAGCTATTCGTCAATCAGTGATGGTTCCCTTACGCCAGCAAAGATGGCACAACTGAATCAAAAGCAAGTAATAGGATTTCATGCAAGAACATCATAAATGCAAGCTATTATTTACCATGGTTAATATCAATCCAACCCCACACACAAACAATAAGAGACACGTACTAGATCTAACAATTATCTGAACATTTCAGATCCACTGGATAAGATTCCAACCTATTTCTTTCTAAACATTTTTTATATCCACCACATATATATTATAAAAGGCATTAGAGAAAATATCATTAAAAAATACACACACTAAAAAATAAACATAGCTTCAGCAAAGCAGGTAGAAATTGGGGTAGCACGAGATAAAGAAACCCACTTGTTGAAAATCCTTGAGAGCCTCTTTAAACTTTCCCATAGCCAGATATGCTGCTCCCCGCCTATAATAACCCTGCATTTGGAAAAAGGATAAGGGAAACCGCTTATGAATAACAAGCGCAATTTGATTCAGTCAGAACACAGAAAACCAATATAATTATCAATAATGAATTATTGTCACTCCCCAAATCAAATCAAAATCCAAAACAAACTGTACTGGCCTTAGAATATTTAGGGTCAACTTCAATAGCTTTTGTGGCATCCTGTATGGCACTTCCATACTCCTCCAACTTGGTATGCGCAATAGCACGGTTAGCCCAGTACACAGCGTTCCCCTCATCTAATTCTATCGCTTGCGAATACAAATCAATAGCCTGAGAATATTTATGCGCTGAAAGACAGGAGCACGAAACGACGTCACTATCCAGGATACACGAACAAACCCAATAAGCATACCGGTAATACCACAATACCACACCACACAAGCGGGCCAATTAAATTAAAACTGCGGAAAATACCTTTAAACGCTTCATTTGCAAGGAGCTTGAGTTCTTCAGCCCGAGTGGGGTTTTTAGTAGTCATGGTTGGGGGCATGCTACAAACAAATTACTTGCACCGATTTGGTGGTTGCAGTGAGTGAGTGAGTGAATCTATGTATTATTTAGTTGAATGGATGTGGATGAGGGCTCAGAGAGCGAAGCGGAGAGGAGACGACGAGAAGTTCGTGTGCGAAGTGAGAAAAGGAAGAAATGAGTGTGTGATGATAACAAGGAAGAAGGAAGAGCAGCGGTGCCCTAGATTAGAATTAGATTAATAAATTAGATTAAGGAGGATAGGTTACAATTACAATTACAGATTAATTGAGGGACCGATCGGATCGACGTCGACCCACCCACCATTTTCAATCTCAATGCGCCTTGTCTTAAGTTAGCTCCACCATTTAACTAGTAATTTAACTAACATGTACGTAGAATTACATTCATACAACCGCTTATTATTATTATTATTTTAATAATTGCAGCATATTCATTTTATATACTCCCGTTGGCGTCTGATAAGTAAAAATAATGTAATGATATTTTTGCCTTTATTTTTTGGTATAAAAATAATGATGTGATGTAAAGTAAGGGTATTTGTAGAAAAAAAATGAGGTATTTAATGAAATGATTATTTTGTAATTAAACGTTCCAAAATAAAAATATATATACTTTATAACTACACGGATGGAGTATAACAATTAATATTATCTTGATTTTGGTTACATGCCTTCACTTCGTAATTTCGAAGGAATTTTCTAATAAATTAAGAAACAAAATATTTTATTAGTGAATACTATATAAAAATTTTTGATATTTTTGTTATTTAATTTTATATATAAAATAATTATATATTTTTAATTTAGATAAACATTAATAGTATTTTGATATTAATATATAATTATTTTTACTAAAATAAAAAAAAAAATTTAGAATAAGAAGAAAAAAGTAATATATCAAAAATACTTCCATTATTTATGAAACATAATTTTCAAATTTATGTTCTTCTTTTGTAGATTAAGTGGTGAGACATCCCTTGTTTGGCCTTAGTGGATAGTGTATGCATATGTTGTTTTGACCATTGTTTTTTTTTTTTTTGGTCATTCTTATATAAAAATCACTTATCTTTTAATTTTTTCATACTTTTCATTTACTCAAATAAATATATATATATATGTTGGAAATCCTGCCTCAACTCCATTAAATGGCTGATAGTTTTCTTTTAAAAAACAAAACATTACGGCCTAAAAAAACTATAAAACATTTTATTCGCTTAGAAAAATTAGTCTTCAAATATTTACAAAACTATATTCCTAAACATAAGGTTTTGTTAGTTAGTAAATAGTTATTATATATATATATATATAACATAATAAAAAGTTCACTCAGTCAACCCGTTCTCTTATGCCCGAGACATCCTCTATCTTGGAAACATTATGCATACGTAAACCAAATATTTTTTATCATCAACCTACAATTAAATCACTTCAAGAATTAGACATATATTATGTCAAGAAATAAATAAAATATAACATCACATCATCTAAAGCATTATGTTATGTCAACCGTGAAAATGGTGTAACATGATTGTCAATCTTACTGGCAATGGAAAAACATATATATCCATCTAAATGAACAATTGTAATAAACTCGGTCTCATAATAACAGACTCATTAGATCATCATTAATAATTAGCAGGCAAACATTCAACTAAAAAAGAAATGATCTGATAAACTATAGATATATAATGGTCATCCGGCCATTCTCATATGCCACCATGCAACCTTCATATAATATACGGATAGCTTTCGTTATCGCAATTAACCACAAGAAACTTCATAATTTATGATAGCAAAAATAAAGACTCATTTCTAGCTCCAATTTATGTAATATAGTTGAATCAGTTCAATTACCCAAAAGAAATCCGAAAACTTTACCTCTTCATGTGTCCAAACATGATCATATTTGGAATTGCCATATAATTTTAAATTACCGGTTTACCTCACTAGGAGCTAATCTAATAAGTGGAACAATACTAACACTAATGATTAGATCGAATATGTCTAAACTACAATAGATCCAATTCATGAATGACCGTGTGAAAAAATTATTTAGTTGTCCGACTACTATTAACTTATCACCAAAGAGTTGCAGTATATTGAAGTCGAATAACCTAGCCCCAAATAATGACATCGCCTAGTAGTACCATACACAACGACTAAATGATGAATCTATACAATATTTCCGATAAAACCATGCAATATATATAGGGGTTGGACTTGTGACCGTGAGGTCATGGGTTCGAACCCCCGACGCTCCAGGTCACCTGCCACACATGGTTCGCCTAGTGTGACTTTTCCGTCGAGTCTGGTTTGTAGGGTATTAGGTTCGGCCGGGGATTTACCCAGTGCACATTTTCGGGTAGCGGCTGCGAGTTCCCACGTCATTAGTAAAAAAAAGTGAAATAGATGAATAAACTACAAAAGGGTCAGCGAAATAACTCACTTAGGGTGTGTTTGACAATTAGTTGTTAGTTGATTCAATTAGCTGATAGCTGTTAGCTGATTCAATCAGCTGGTTTTACTTGCTGATTCTGTTTGACTTGCTGATTCGATTAGTTGTTTGTATTAAAATGTTTGGTAAAACAACTGTTTGATATGGATGTTTATACGTAAAGTAAAATGACAATTGAAGATATTTCTATTTTATTTTTGTTTCTAATATATTCAATTATGTTCTTTTGAGTTTAGAATATTTAAAAAATTTTGTTATTAGTTATTGAAAATTGTAAAAGTATTATAAAAGTATTTATTTTATTATATTTAGATTTAAAAAATAATATATTTTTATTGAAATATATAAACAATTTTTTCTGTTGAAAATGATGTAAAATATAAAATAATAATTTTTTCGTGTATATATATTTATTATGTTAGTTATCGATTAGTTTATTATATTTATAATTTTTAATAAATTTAATTTATTTTTAGTATAAAATTTATATATTGTAATTTTAATATAAAAATAAATTATTAATATTTATATTTTCTATTTTATGTTGATTTTAATAAATTTATATATTTTACAATTAAAATAATTTATATAAAAATTAATTATTTTAAATTTATAAAAGTAAAACTATAATATAATAAAATATTCTAATATAATTAATAAATAAGCAAAATATATTTATTTGTAGAAAATGCATAATAAATTTTTAAGGGATATAAGGAATAAAAAAATTTTTACAGAAAAAGCTATTTCAAAATGCTGGTAAATTAGCTTTTCAGAAATTAACTTTCTGGGTCCAAAAAGTTAATTTATCAAACACCTAAATTAGCTTTTTGAACGGTCAAACAACTAAAAACTATTCAATAAACTTAAAAACTCGCTATTTGTTAAATACCCTCTTATTATTCTTTCCATAAATCTACCAATATATATATATATATAATGGCATAGTATGTGAAGACTTATAAATGCATGTGTGCATATGTATATATTAACGCACCCACAAAAATATCTTATGAAATATCATACTTTTTTATTATCATAACCATGTGAACATACATACATATTTTTTTAAAATTCAATTCAATTCCTTATGGGTTATCTTTTTAATTGAGAATTACCTCTTTTCGATTTGAGATTTCTCAATGAATTTCCCTCAACATAGATATTTTTATTATGCAATCAATTGCATAGTTACTCGGCCTGGAATATGTCCAATTACTTCTAAATAATTCATCAAATTTTCTACAATTAATTATATGTTTCAATTTTTTTCATATATTATAATCTTATATCAAGACTATAAAATTTTTAGATCTCATAATATTTATATAAAAATTATAAATAAAAATAATTAAATCTAAGAAAAAATAGACATGTACAACACACTGCCGTTTTTAATCTAATTTGGATCGATGCAAAATTCGCAAAATAGAACACCAGAGCTATAATAAAGGTATTAACTAAAAAGCTACGTCAATGAAATAACTAAATAATCAATTACGAGTTTCTAAAAACATATTGCGAAAAATTGTTGTTTTTATCTCTTATGTGGGCCCAATTGTTATTTTGAACGTTAACATTTTAGGTTTTGGATTTAAAATTCTAACGAAAAATTTTTGCTGAAAATTCCACACCTGAGCTGATCCGGACGCGCCGGTGTTAATGTGTCGCATGCTAGAGATGATCTAGGCACCATGTGGCCATTCTAAGGCGTTTACCTAGTAATTTATTTCTAAAAGCAAAAAAAAAAATTAAATTAACTTGCAATTTGAACCAAATTGCAAAAACACAATATTAAAAGACTCGTCTAACATATTTCTCATTCCATTCGATTGAATAATTTCTTCTTAAAAACTTTAGGTAAATCACAATCGAATCAAAGTGTTTGCCCAAGTCTTTAAATTAGTGATAATTGTTTTAATTACGAGAGAAAAAATAATAAATTATAAAAAAAAAAAAGGTTTATCTCCTTACCTAGCTTTGCGGGTGGGAAGTTCAATGAATACACTTTGAATATATTTTGTTTATCAAATTGGTATTAGAACTGTCAATTTAAGTTCGAATAATACGACGAAGATGATGGTAACACAACTAACAAAATCAAATTAAAAAAGTTAGAGTATCCAGATGTGAGTGTTGTTCCGTATAAAGAATGGGGCAATATGTCACCTCTTGTTTCAAGTTCTCGATGAATATGATTTTGAGAATATAAATGATGCAAAAATCCTCCAAAGAGTTGCGAGGGAAATTCGAAAAATATTTTAGAGGACAAACCCGATAGTCTTACATTTATGGGGTTCAGGAGCATTGCTTATGCACGTGTGTCGGATCAGAAAAGGAATTAACGGGAGGACAAAAGTAAGAATTATGTTTTCATCAACTATGATGAGAAGACTAAAGAGTACAAGATACTTGATCAGACAAGTGAAAATGTTGCAGAGAGTCGGGACGTACAATTCGTTGAAGAAGATCAAATTAAGATGAAGAAAAAAAATACAAATTGTTCGTCAAATAAATATCCCAATAAATTCTTCAACTCTAGAAAGTATTGATGATGAACGCACAAACAACCCAAATTGAATGGCCGATATTTAAGATGAACGTCAAGTCATCCTTTTTAAATGGTATGGTCAAAGAAGAATTGTATCTTGAACAACCTCATGTACACTAAAGATTGGAAGTAAGCACAAAGTCTTACAATTGAACAAAGCACTCTACAGGCTCAAACAAGCACCGCGAGCATGAAACACATGCATTGACACTTACTTTAAAAAGAACGGATTCAGTCAATGCTTATATGATCCAATCTATATAAAGAAAATTGAAGGTAATATGATATTTTTTGCACTTTATGTAGATGATCTCATTTTTACAAGAAACGATGGAAAGAAGATTGAAAAGTTCAAAATGGCAATGGCATGCGAGTTTGAGATGACTGACTTAGGGATGATGAGATATTTTTTGAGGCTAAAAATACAATGAAGCGAAGTGGACATATTTGTGTCACAAAAAGAGTAAGCAAAAGATATACTAAAGAGCAAAATGGAAAACTACAATTCAATGTTGACGCTAATGGAACTAGGTATAAGGTTGTCCAAGTATAATGATGGAGATCGAAGTATCCGCGCTTGGTGGAAAATCTCTGTTACCTCACTTGCACAAGGCCAAATTTATAGTTAATCGTTGGAATAGTAAGTCAATTCACGGAAAAACTAGTATACACATATTGGAAGACATTAAAAAGGATCTTCTGATAGAACATAGTCACTGAGATTGTTGTATTCCAAGACAAAAGTGTATAGGATGTTAGCATATCCAGATAGTGATTAGTGTGGAAACAATCACTATCGAAAGAGCACATTGGGATATGTATTTTTCATGGGAAAAAACCTTTCACATGGCTATCTAAAAAGCAAGCCAATCATCACCTTCTCAACCGGTGAAGTTGAATATGTGGCAGCATCATGGTATATTTACCATGCAATTTGGGTAGGAAAGTTAATAAGCAGAGTTAAGATTGGAGCAGAGTGAGCCAATTGAAATCCGGATCAACAACAAAAATGTCATTGTCCTAGCAAAGAATCCAATGAACCATAAATGAAGCAAACATATCAACATATAGATATTCGATTTCAGTTAATCCGAGACAAGATAAAAATATGAAAATATAAAGCTCAAGCACGTAAAGAATCGTGACCAGGTGGCGGACATCTTCACCGAGCCAATGCCCACAAAATTGTTCGAAAATTGCAACAGGAAGCTTGTGGTGAAGAATGCAAAAGAATTGTAAATTCGGAGGGGTGTTTTGAATAAATTTAATTAAATTCTCTTTATGAATAATTATTAAAAAAAAAAAAAAAAAAAACTCCAAAATGGGAGGAGTGGAGCACTTAATTTTAAATTAATGTTTGCTGTTACATTAGCTTTACTTTAAATTAGTGATAGTTGTTTTTACTTTGTGTGTGGGAAATTCGTTGAATACACTTTGAAATACATTTTGTTTACCATGGTGATCATCAGTCAGCGCAATTGCGAAATAACCAAAGATGTCATAAGCATTGATTCCCAATATTAATACACAATAGAGCATGTTTTATATAATGCATTGCGAAAAATATAAAAATAAAATTAAAGCCAGAGTCGACCATACCAGAATGTAAGGCAGCTAGCTCAATATAACCACCAAGATTTTAATTATCTTGTTGATGTAGTTGGCATTCAACAAAGATCCACTTGCTGCCATCCATCTGCATTGCAGAATGCAGTCACGTGTTTAATTAAGGAAGGACATGGAAACAACTGAATAAAATTTTGGGGATACCCAGTCATTGCCAAGGCTCCATATATCCACATGTAGTATTTGCTATTTTTGTAGAATTTTAGATGATGGAACCTGGAGTTGGGGCAAGAAGATATTGTGTGCTGCTGGATCTAGATCCGGAGCTACTCTGGTCGATATTGGAAGTTATCTTGATTGAATGATGATCACCTTTGTTGGCAATACAGCTGCAGGAATCTGTCCATGAATGGATTCTTTCCTCAGCGCCACCATATGATTCTGATTCCATTGTTGTTTCAATCATCTTTTGAACGTCTTCCAAGTTCATATTGGTGAGCGTCCTTGTATTGTCGCAATGTGCTTTCACTCCCTTCAACTTCAAGGGAGCACTTGATGCAGCTGAAGAAGGTCGCCTTTTGGCGATCCCACCACCATGGTGACAAGCTGCAAATCCAACTCTTGAATTGATTCTTTCTCCGGCATTCTGATTGCCATTGCCATGTCTTTTCCTCACAGAAGAAATCGGATACACTGCAGGTACGTGTTGTGTCAACAAAGTTGGAGATGAGGAAGCTTCGATTGGGCAGCTTGGCAGTGTGGAGCCAAACAGGAAGTGGGGGTTGTCCACACAAGAAGATTTGGGTTTAAGAGGGGCTGAAAGATCAGCCCAACAATTAACTCCTGGTATCAGGTAGGGGCGAAGACTAGTGCTGAATCTGCTATGATCTGGATGCATATAAGAAGATTTGATGACTGGTCTCAGATCCTGCTTCTTTAAAAGATCAAACTCACTTGTTATCATACCGGGAAAGGAAGCCATATCTGAGTAACTGTGATCAACTGCAGTAGTATCTGTTGGATGGAACAAAGTTTCTCTGAGTTTCCCTGCAGATGGATCATTTCGATTATGGATTATTCTGTTGTCAATGGGCATATTGCTAAACCCAAGCTCATCCATCATCTGCTTATCCTTCCAAATATGTCTGTTCTCGAATTCTTGAAAGCCTTGTGCACCCACGGTGAACTCTTTACCCATCAAACGCATTGTTGGAAAGATCTTGTCATTTCTATAGACCTCTGATGGACATCGTGCACTTTCTTTGCACAGGAAATCTTCGCGGTAAAATGCAGGATTCTCGAACTTCGTCAAATCCTGGGCAAGATTTGTCTTCCCATTACATTGTTGATCATTCATACCTAACATTGACTGGAAGATAACAGCCTGATTCTCTCTCAAATAGCTGCCATTAATGGATGGGATCAAACTTGAGGCATCCCTTGAGGATATTCGGTGATCCCAATACCTGTGCTCTATATCTTCAGCTAAGCATTTTGAAAATTTGTTTGGCACTGATAATCCAATGGAAGGGAAAGCAGACATATTTCGTGCCATACTCTCATTAAGACCACCTTTAGAATTCGAACTCAGTACCAACAACTCTCCTTTCGAATTGAGTGGCAACCTAACCAAATCTTCGTTTATATTACCTATCCTCTTCCCAAAAATGATTCCGGTTCTGTATCCATCTGCCGGGGAACACACAGATTGAAGAAGATATCCAGGTTGAGAAATATTGCTTGCAAGTTTCTCAAAATTCAACACTGATGGCACATTATGACCAACCCCGAGATCCTTTATGAGTACTCTGCCAGTAGAGCTCGAAGGAACTGATGTTACATTCATGGTCATGGAGGGGCTGACATCATTCAAGTCTTGAGCTTTGCAAGTGATTGATCGACCGGGAAGGTCCTTTTTTTTACACTGCTGAAAAGTAAATGAATCAGCTGGACACAAAGGGATAGTCGATCTGCTTGCAGTTCTAAAGTCTGCCTTATCTTCCATTCTGTTAGTTTCAATGGTTTCCGCCATTGGTAAATCTTTTCCCAAACTCTCAGGACTGTGAGCTATATGCATACTATTCAGCTGCAACTCATAGCTTTCTTCCAGGAGAAGTGGTTTCTTCTGTTGTTTGACATGGTTACCCTTCTCTAAAAATTTAACCTGTTTGTCTGCATTTTCTTTGACATCATGATCCAGTGGAGGAACTCGCCGCAATATACCAGGCTTGAGATTCGTCCGAGGTTGGCTCTGAGCATTAATCCATCTAAAAGCTTTAGAAGATGACCCACGGTTAGCTGCATTGAGAAGCTGCTGCCTTGTATTCTTCCCACGGTCGCAGATGGACACCCCATTGTTGATATCATGATCATTCTTCCTTGAGCTTCCTTTTCGATCAGCATCGTCATGATCTTGCAATTTTAGCATGGAACAATCCACCTGATAAAACTAGCAACTTGTGTGAGTTGAGAAGTACTTACATTGTACAAAATAAGATGATGCTTTTTGTTATGTAGCATAATGCATTTATGTCTGTCTATATACAAAGAAAATGCCGAGCATCGTTTTGCGATTATCAAAAGTAGTTAAAGGAGGTGAAAAACACTACAGCTTCTTGATATAGAACTAAACATATATGAAACTAAAATTGTTCATATGAGAATGGCCCAACATTGTAGTTTTTTCATCCAATCCTCAGTGATTCAACTCATTATTTTATGTGTAGTTTGAACAGGAGAAAGACTTATTAGAACAGGAAAATAGATCAATTGACATATTCGCGATGCGACTCGATCACTATAACACTTCATCACATAAAATCACAACAAAAATTAGTCATCAAGGCGACGGGAACTAAATCACAACAGCCACCAATTTAACCAAAGTCAAGCCCAAAAATTTTCACAAGAGTTAACAAAATCTGGTGATCATCAACTATGTATCAACACATTCAATCATTTGTCCATATATATGCATAAAAAGATGATCATGAATGTTTCTTAGTAACCACAGCATAAATGTTTCGTAACAACTGAAGCATGTGCATGAAGAATTCCAAAGCAAAAAATCCAGAAAGTTGCAAGCAAGACCTATAATAATTTAAGGTCCCACGTGAATTATAAATGACACTCCCCACCCATTCACATCATAACAAAGAAACACATCTGTCATCCATCCAGTATTTGCTCCTACTTCTTCAAAAGACTCTAATGGACTCTAATATAATGCACATGAAATCCTCAACCAGTATACTATATATATTGTGATTAACAAAGTAGCCTAAGCTAATCCCCATTCGAAACCCATATATGTGTATATATATTCCAATGCCAAAATGAATCAAAATTCCAATGACAATGATTGCTCAAGAGAAAACTGACACAAACAGTAGTGAAAACAGCATGTTTAAATGAGGTACACTTTCAGCCTCATAAACAATAAATTTCTGCCCCAACCGTACTTCACAGCTGGAGCGCCATACCCTCTTCCCCAATTATCTGCTAAGAAATCTTGCTCACATGAAAACCCCATCTCCTGTTCCTTCAACTTTATCTTCCCTCTTTATACAGAATCTTATCGCCACATGACAATCAAAAGAATAAAGAAAAGATGACATTACAAAGCTCTATAGTCTTCAAGCAGCATCATTATATGCTCAAAGTGTGCACTAGAAAATGAAGCCATGTCTGAAGATACTGTTCCGAATACCAATGTTCATTTCTAATTGCGCTAACCAGAATCCTCGAAACTGTAGAAACCCTATAATTTTATGTTGGGAGTAAGACAACCAGGCGTGGGATTCATCAATATGTTTCATCCATATGCATTGCCACTAACTATTAAATGCATTTGATATTTTGGTAGCAAAATGTAAGAACTTATGCGCGATTATTAATGGCGTTTACCTTACGCGGAGATAATAGACCCAGATTGTTGTCTCCTCTCTGCGACGTCCTTTTCTTGATTTTGTTGATCGCATTTGTTGCCTTCTTCAACTTGCTTGAAATAATCTTCTTATACTTTTTGAATTTCTTCTTCGTCTTTCCTTCAAAACCCCAATTAGTTTCCTCTCGGCGGGACAGCTTCGAAGCAATGCCGAATCCATCTTCTACGTGGAAACCGTTATCCTCCTCGTCGGTACTAACCCTCTCCACTGGCTGCGCCGCCGCGAAAATCTCCAAGATCGATCTCTTCTTTTGGGGCTTCGCTTTTGACCTTGAAGACCGCTCATGAATTATTGCCATGTCTTCGGAATCGGAGATATCGATCTCTTCAGCCCTTCTCGAAGATGATTCTCCTTTTTCGACAACAACAGCGCTTTTCTTCTTCTTCTTCTTCTTCTTCTTCCCCGCTGAGCACTCGGGAATCTCATCGGTGGATTCAGCATCAACATACTGGAGCAAATCGATCCACCAGACAAAGTTCTTCACAGTGATGGGAGGGAGCATCGATCTCACAGATTCTTCGGACGAGGTCTCAATCTCATCAAACGGCCAGCATTTTACCACGTGTACGCTTCTCATCCCCAACGCATATTCTCTACGAACAAATCAAACCCGCGATTTGCAGGCAGCTAAATCAAATCAAATCAACTCAACAATATCTCAATTGATTACCACATCACAAACTGAACAGCCTTGAATAATACTAATAATAATGATAATTATAATAAGTAACTCGTCTACTACTCATACTCATCGACGACTCACCGAATGGAGAAACCCTCACGCGTTTCCATGGCGCAACTCGAAGCCGCCTCAATTTCCTGAGACAACACAACACAACAGCAGACTAATTAAGAATGTAAAGAAAACAACACACAAAAACACAAACCCCCAGCAGACGGACGAATTGAAGACCCAAAAGGGGGAGCAAAACCACTGCGAAATCAGGAACTTGAGCAAATAATAAAGTAGGTATTTTACAGAGAGAGAAAGAGAAATTGAAGGCGGTGAAGAAGCCAATTGTAAAGGCAAGCGCACGCACATATGGCGGTGAGGTAGCTAGGTAGCTACTTTAATTGAATTTCTAGAAAGAGAAAGGATTAATTAAAAGGTAGGGTGAGGGTGAGGGTGAGGGTGAGAAGATAAGCAGCAAAGTGGATTCACTACACAGACACAGGGAGTGAGGGAGGGAGTAGTTCACCTTCAATCTTCATATGTTATAATATGGTGTGGTGTGAGATCGGTCATTATATATTTGGTTTCACCATTAATTATATATTTCTGACAGATAGATAGCGACCTGTGAGAGAGAATTAATTAATTGAGAGAGAGAGAGAAAGGGAGAATGGCCATCCCATCTCCATCTCATGTAGTAGAAGATATATAATAAATATATAACTATATTATATATATAAGTATGATATATGGATAGATGTGTGTAGTGTGGTGCGTGTGTATATATATATATATATATGTGTGTGAAGTAGTGTAAGCATATGTATATAGATATATGTATATAATATATAGTCAGTGGCTAAACTAGAATTATTAAGTTGGAGGTGTTGGAGATTAAAATTAAAAAAAAACAATTATAGTATAAAATTTAAATATCCAACAAATTATTCTACTATCAGAATAAATTATCTTTAATCAAATATGCATAAGCAATATTGTCACTGTAAAGACAAAAAAAAAAAAAAAAAACAATCCGATTAATAAAATTCCAATTTCGTCCAAACTGAAATCTGAATCCAGTTGTTGTCCTTGAACAAAACAAAATATTATTTAGTCAACTAAATAAAAATAAACTATTAAATATATTTTTTATAATTATTATTTACCTTAGTGATGTCGCGATAGTTGTATTCTTCGTGTAGCCATATTTTGAAATCGTTGCAAAATTGCTTCAGTTTCTATAGTGACAAAAATGTCTTTCTCAATGTAACACACTAGACAATCTATAAGATATTCATCTCTCGTTGTGTTTCGCAAATCATTTTTGACAATTTTCATTGCCGAAAAAGATATTTTAAATGTGGCTGTCGTGACAGGTAAAATCAATGCTAACTCGATTAGTCGATAAATCAAATAAAAAGTACTCTTACAATTCATTTGAATCATCTTCTGTGCAAGATCTCCAATATCACAAAGGCCAATAAAAGCTGGTTCTGATCTCACATAACGAATGAATGTTTGAAGCTGCGGTTTTAAATCTGATAGATCGTGCATAGAAAAAATCCTTCGAATATAACTCAGCAAGATGAATAATCCGTTCTTGATCAAAAGCAGCAAACAAATTTTTAGGATTAAGACATGATATTCCCATCAAAATCTTCGAGTTTGATTCAGTAAACCGATGATTTATTTCTTGAGAAATAATATCGATCACCTAACATTATAAAAAGAAAAATTAATATTTCATATAATGTAAACTAATACTCTAATAATTTTCATAATAAATTAGAAAAGAATAATATACATTATAAAAATATCCACCCGAAAATAATGAAGATGTGTTTTTCTTTGGGCATCAACAAGTATTCTTAATCATCCGGGGATGATATCATTTATATTGGGAACACTAATTCCATGATCCAAACAAAAATTAATTACTTCTTAAAAAAAGTCATCCCAACCATTTGTTCTAAAGTCTTGCAATTTATCTTTCAAAATTGCAATTAATTGTACAACAAGACCTATATTCTGATTCTTGTGTTGAAGAGCTTGAGACAGTGCATTTGTTTTACCTAATATATGCCTCATCAATTGACCTACAAACACAAATTCAAAATTTTCCATCTTGTCAAACAACCCCACAGCAAGTCCTCGAATTTTCACATCACTGTCATATGTAGCTATAATTTCAATCATTTCTTTCACTAGATTTCACAAATTAAAAAGTCGAGTGATTGTTTTGAAATGAGAACCCCAACGAGTATCACCGGCTCGAGCCAAACTCATTTCTTGATTGATTCATTCCCTTTCTTGTAGCAATATCACCCAATTCTACATGTCTTGCAAGATCATCAAATTGTCGTTGTCTCAATTCATCTCTCCTTTTACACGAAGCTCCAACAATATTTACAATCATAGAGAGATATTCAAAAAAATTGCTTACGAGCCCATTCTGACTGACACTAGAAATAATAACTAATTGAAGTTGATGCGCTAAACAATGAACATAATATGCATTTTCATTTTCTTTCAAAATGAGGGCTTTAAGCCCGTTAAACTGTCCACGCATATTAGAAGTCTCATCATAACCTTGACCTCTAACCATTGATAGTGATAATCCATTTATTGCAAGAAATTCATCAATAGAATTTTTCAAAGATTTTGAAGTGTCAGTAACCTGTACAACACCAAAAAATCGTTATTTAACTTCTCCAAGATCAGTCACAAACCTTACATTTAAAGACATTTGTTCCTTGATAGAACTATCTCGAGCCTCATCAATCAAAAGAGAAAACCATTTATCCTCAATCTCTGCCAAAATAAAACTCCTCACTTCTGAACTACAAGCATTGATAATTTGTTTTTGAATATATGGAGACGTCAATTGGTTATTTCCTGGAGCATTTATATCAATTACCTTTCCAACTTTGTCATTGTTATCACCATACCACTTATAAAGCTCAAGAAAATTTCCACGGCATATGGATTGTGTTGACTCATCATGGCCACGGAAAGCTAAGCCCTGCTTTAAAATATATCGAATCACTTTTACAACTGCGGTCAATCGAATCCGATAAGTATCCTCCATTTCAGAACTTTTTTGCATCATAACATAATCCACATTGCTTCTTTGATCTTTATATCCAACACACATAGTTCTAGCAAAATTGTGAGAACTAGTTATTGATACTTAATGATTATTGAATTTTTCTTTAGCTTTATTCCAATTCCTAAAACCAATTTCAGTAAATGCAGTATCTCCATGCTTATGCCCATTAGAAAACAAATAGCACCATAAACAATATGCAGCATCTTTAGATACACTGTACTCTAACCAATCATATGTTTTGAACCACTGATCTTGAAATGATCTCCGAATCTCACCAAACTTTGTAGCGGGAAAATTATGACCGCGAGGCTGACAAGGACCCTTAACCAAATATTTTCTTCTCAATTCATCTCTAAGTCCAACAGGATAACTGTCAATCGATTTACGCAATCCAGGATCCACAATAATATCATCATCTGAAATATCAACTTCTCGTGCTCTATTGTTCTTTTCATTATAATTGTCGATCATGTCTTTTGCACCAGATGTTTCAATATTTGAGTTGAAACTTTTAGGAGCTTTAGAAAAAAATCTCTCCATTGTATTTTTCCTAAATAATGACAAAATATTTTGATCAAACTATTTTACTATATTCACACATTAACTTCAATTAAATTAAAGAATAGGCAAAATAGCGTAAAATCTCCTTGTGGTTTCCCAAATTTGCTGAAAACCCCATGTGGTCCAAAAATTCCATAAAACCTACTTGTGGTTTTTAAAACGTTGCACACTCGCCCCTTCTTTCTAAATTGCATTAACGGTGTTAAATTTTTACACAGAGTGACCGTTATACCCCTGTCTAAATTCTCTTTCTCTCTCTACTCTATCACTTTTTTCTCTCATTCCCCTTCCCATTCTCTTTCAACGCCTCATCTTTTCTTCCCCTCACAACCCATACCATCCACCATCGTTTTCTTCCTCCACCACTCTCTTCTCCTTGCCCAACTACTTTTCTTCTCTATTTCCCCTCCTTAGACATCTTCTTCTTCTTCTTTTTTTTTTTTTTTTAAAAAAAACCCTAAGTTTCCAAATTAATTTCTCCCTTTTTCCAAAAACCTGATCTATAATCACCTTGACCAGCCAGGTTGCCACACACGACCAGACGCCACACCGCAGTAGCGCCGCCGTCGACAACCGCTGGCCACCCACGCTCCCAGGCCAGCGCGGCCACAGTTTTTTTTTTTTTTTTTGGTTTAATTCAACCCTTAATTTTAGTTTTCGCCATTGATGGTGAAGAAAAATCATCCCGTTCTTGATTCTTCCCAACACAAAAACACAATTGCAAACCCACTTTGATGAGTGTATTGATTTTTTTAATTTTTTTAATTTTTTAGTTTGGTATTTTTTGTTTGGTACCTTGTTTATTTATTTTTTTTTTTTTATCAAAAGAGAAAGAATTTGTTCCAGTTTGACAGCCACTGCCGACCACCGCTCATCGCCATCCAGTTTCCGCTGTCTATATTCACCTCGGTCTTCCACAGCCTATCGCCCAGAGCATCAATCATTTGTCCTCTGCTGTTTAGGAGAAGAAAAGGGTGAAGGAGATTAATATAGGTGTATTAATATCTAAGGGTATTTTTGTAATTTCACACAGTAATATATCAATTTTCGTACAAAAAATTGCAATAGGAGCGCGTGAGATGCAATCGCCGTTAAATCCTAACGGAGGGAGAATTTTTTGCAACATTTTAGAAACCACAAGTAGGTTTTATGGAATTTTAGGACCACAGAGGGTTTTCAACAAATTCGGGAAATCACAGGGGGTTTTATGCTATTTTGCCTAAAAAGTATACTATCACAATTTAATTAAATTAAAATATATCTAAATAAAAAATTTATCAAAAAATTTTCACCTAAGAAAAAAAAAAAAAAAAAAGTAGAGATGCAGAGACATAGAAAAATAGATGAACATCTAATTAAATTAACTTAATATACATTTATAAATTCTAAAAAAAAAACATTAGGAAGAAAATAAATATGATAACAATTACAAGAATAGAACTGAATACTCATAATATATATTATATATACATAGCATACCAACAAATCAACCTCAATTTCAATCTAATGAAAGTGCGAAGAAGTGGCAAGCCTCGGGCGACGAGCTCGGCGGTGCCGTGGTGGGCCGGTGCCGGCGGTGGGCTGCAGAAGGCGACAAGACAAGCACGGGCAGTAGGTAGCAGCAACAAACACGCAGCAAGAGAGAACAGAATGCTAATCGATTTTTACTTTTTTTTTTCCTTTAGCCCTAGATTTATATTTTATCACAAATTTTTTAATTAAATTATCAATATTGGTTAGGCCAAATTAAAATATAAATACAAGCCCAAAACCATAATTTAATTCAATTGGCCCAATTTCATCATAATATTATTCTTCTTCAAATAGAATTACACGCAGACGGACGACACAAGGGAAGCCGGGAAGTTGTGAGGCCGACTGCGATTACCATCGAACCGAGGGGCCTGCGGAGAAAGAATTGAGGGGGCTGAAAGCTAAAATGTAAGATATAATGCTTACTCATAGCGATTTTCTTGTTGGCTCGGGGGGGCTCCAGCCTCCCCGAGCCCCTTGTTAAATCCGCCCCTGTATATGGTGCAGAGACAAATATGAATGAGTAAATTTTTAATTCTATGCATATCATTACCGTGACTAAAAACTCATATTTATAGTAGATACATTGGTGAATGCATGACTTTCAATCATGCCACGTCGCCCGTCCATTCCAATATACATCGACATGATGTGTATCATTCGTTTACAACACTCCCTCTTGGACGGGCATTCTTATACAAAGAATGTGCCTTGTTAAAATCTTACTATGAAAAAAACCCTGTGGGAAAAAATCATAGTGAAGGAAAAATAGTATATCATTCTTGTATTAATGCGCTCTATCTGTTTGGACTTTATATGATGTCTTTCATCCGACGCATTTCCTTTGCACCAGTTTGTTGAATATTGCAGTCGATAGCGCCTTCGTAAATAAATCTGCAGAATTTTCGGACGATCAAATTTGTTGCATATTAATTTCACAATTTTTCTGAAGATCGTGAGTGAAAAAGAACTTCGGAGATATGTGCTTTGTCCGATCGCCTTTAATATATCCTCCCTTTAATTGAGCTATATAAGCTGCATTATCTTCGAATAATGTTGTAGGAGGTAATATATCATCGGTAATCAAGCCACAATTTTTCTGAATATGGTGAATCATAGACCTCAACCAAACGCATTCACGACTGGCTTCGTGAATTGCTAAAACCTCAGCATGGTTTGAAGAAGTTATTATCGTCTGTTTAGCAGATCTTCAAGAGATTGCGGTTCCACCACAAGTAAATAAATAGCCAATTTGAGATTTTGCTTTGTGTGGAATCAGACAGTTAACCAACATCAGCATAACAAATTAATTTATTTCGAGATTCACTCGAATAAAATAGACCGAGGTCATGAGTCCTTTGAAGATAATGAAAAATATGTTTGATACCATTCCAATGGCGTTTTGTGGGGGATGCGCTAAACCTGGCCAGTAGATTTACTAAAAAATATATATTTGGCTTGGTATAATTTGTAAGGTACATTAATGCGCCAATTGCGCTGAGATATGGTATCTTGGGGCCAAATATTTCTTCATTTTATTCCCTTGGCCTAAATGGATCTTTACTGGGATCAAGGGATCTGACCGCTATTCATGTACTCAGAAAATGAGATTTATCCATATAAAATTGCTTTAATACCTTTTGAGTATATGCGGATTGATGAATAAATAGTCTATTATTAACATGATCCACTTGTAATCCCAGAAAATATTGTCTTTTCAAAATCTTTGATCTCAAATTCTTTCTTTACATATTAAACTGCAATTTCAATCTCTTCAGGAGTTCCAATTAAATTGAGATCATCAACATATATTGCAATAATGACAAAATTTGATCCATTTTTCTTATAAAGACGCATGGGCATATTGGATCATTAGTATAACTTTCTTTTATTAAACATTCACTAAGACGGTTATACCACATTCGCTCTGATTGTTTAAGTTCATACAATGACTTTTCCAATTTGATGGAATATGATTCCCTTGGATTTATTTTGTATGCTTTCACTCAGGAACTTTCATATAAATATCAATTTCGATTTTGATTATCTGTTGATGAAATCAATAAATTTACCTGAATTGTAAAAACAAACAGAAGAAGACAAGCAACAATCCGATAAAAATGTGAGGAAAAAAAAAAACAAAAAACTTTTGAGTTGATTTAGAAGGAAATCACAAACAAACATAGAAAAAGAGAAAGAAGAAAAATAATAAGATTTTTGTGATTTATCGAAACTTTGTTTTAAAATAAAGAAAATGAGTTACTAAAACACCCATACGTTGGCCCCTTAAATAAGATGGAACTATAACGTGGTTTATATAGAAATAGATTGTTGAGAAGTGATGTATCGAACAAATCTCCTTCGAACACCAACAAATGGCCAATTTCCGAAACGCGGACGATTCACAATTAAAACAATGTTCTAACAACAAATAACAAAGAAGAATACAAAACAACATATGAGATTATGTTTTGTTGACCCAGTTCGATTATCAACGAATCTACATTCGGGGATTCCAATTCATGAGAGATTCTACTAGTCACAACTCCTTCAACCCCAAACTCCTATCATGATTTACCTTGGAAAACACTTCACAAATTTACGTTGTCACAAACGCGTACTAACAACAACCATATAGGAGAGACGTTCAGAGTCTGATCATCCTCTCCGGTTGGAACTCCTTTAACTCCGATCACCGTCAAACTCTCCGGCGGATTTTAGTATCAAACACTCATTCAAACATAGGTGAATCTATATGGATAAATGATAAGAACTTCACTCAATATTCTTTTTTCTAAAATATGCTCTTAAATTCACTCACCACTAATTTTCAACCATATCCAATTGAGTAAATCACTCACCTTTCTTAAAATAAAAAATCCCTCATTAAATTCTCTTTGTACTGAAATGGAAAGAGTGAGTTTCCTTGGTTTGATTTTTCCTCAAATATAACTTTTGTCTTTTGTTAAATCTTTGGTGCAAGAATTAAGGCACCATTTGTACTTAACTACTACATTTGCTCTAAGGCGAAGGCTTCAACAACAACAAATAATAATAATAACTAAAAAATAAAAACCTTCAAAGCCGGCTCCTGATCCATCTGCCACACCTGATTCACCTAGTGTGATTTGCTTTTTTCGGACGAACACCTCCCGATTCACCTGCCACACGTGGTTCGCCTAGTATAATTTGTCTTGTCGAACCTATTATGCAGGGTATTAACTGAAAAATAAGATAGATAGAAACTCATATTATCTAAACTAATAGTTGAACACTTTAGAATTATTGCTTTCATGATAATTATGTGGAGGGTGAAAATCAAATACAATATTGACCAATTGGCAGGATTAATGAATTGATGTGAATCTAAATTAAAGTTAAGTGCACTATGTTAGCTTTAATTATCTTAGGATAAGTAGCCAATATAATTTAAAATTTATTACTTATAGGTTGAATTTAAATCGTAATTTGTAAACCGGAATCTTTAAAACAGGGACCAGCAAAAATAGGTGAGAAAAAATCGAACTGCTGGAGCCCAAACTCGTCAAATAAGAGCCATTTTTCCCGGGTATCTCCGGCGAACTTGTAACTATCCTATTTATTTATTATATATAAAAAATTTATTTTTTCGATAAAAATACACACACACACAAACCATTTCAGAGTTTGTGTATATATATATATATGATAAATTGAATGTAATAATTTATAAAACGAAAAAAAATGACAACTGATAAAAAAAAAAAAAAAAAAAAAAAAAAACAGAGAACTCCACACAAACAGATGCAATAATTTGGCAATTCAATTTCAATATGGCACTTGAACAAATTTTAACATCAGCAGCTTTGAGATGGAAAGTAGTCACTTCAATAATTATTTGAACAAATCCAACTGGATGTGATGTTTTTCAGAAATAAATATCTTTGCATATAACTTTTGCAAGTATTGCCACACTTTATCAAACAAATTAAACATCAACATTAACACTTCAGCACAATTATTCAATTTTATTTTTTAAAAATGTACATTTTTTCATACAAAACATCTTATCATATACTAAGATACTTTTGCAATAAAGATGTATAAAGAGACTTGCAAGTATGAAGAGTAGAAAAACAGAAGGTATATAATGATAGAGCAGAGCAACATATGCTTTCAACCATGAAGTTTCAATACATAACAACATATTTGCAATTCAGAGTTCCGTTCCGTTGTCGCTCGAAAGTTAGCACAAAACAAATATCTGACGCAACAATGGCATGTATTGCTAATGGATTGTATCACCAAGAAAGAAAATGTCAGTAAGTTCATTTACACACACACTCTCTCTAACCTTCATCGCCCAAAACTTGCCGAAAACATATTCTCCAAAGGTATGTATGTATGTCAGATTCATATCGACATGGTCCAGACCAGATTGAAAATGCCGAAATTTCACCAAGATTAAGCAATATATCAAAACCAGGCTCTACAGCTTTGCAAGGAAGAACTTACTGCATATCCAGAATAATAAAATTATAAAAATCATACAATCTCTGCAACATATTCATTCAGACAAAGTTAGTTACAGTGCCATGCCATACCGGGAAATGGAGTTTACGAATTTGTGTCATAACACAAGGCGGGAACCTCAGAATGCTTGGAATCTATTACTGCAGGGCATATAGGAACTTCTGTTAGCAACTCGTCGAAATGGTGTCCATAAATCAATGGAAAAGATGTACCTTCTAATTCGCTGCGCAACCAATCTTGTGAGCACATCAAAGCTTGCACTGTATCTGGCTTCAACGAGCGCCAGCAATCCTCAAGAGTTCTATCTCCGGTGTCGTACAGGGATTCCAGCGCCATTTTAGATATTGGAATCCCGAGTATATTCCGGGCCATCATTGAGAGCACAGGATACCGAGGCTCGTGAACTTTCCACCAGTTGAGTATGTCGAAATCAACACTGCGTGGAAAGAGGGGTTCTTCCAAATACTTGTCTAAGTCTGACTTTGTGTTTTGGCTAATCGAACTTTCATGGAGGAATTTGTCAAATCCGGTAAGTCTATCCTTCACTGCACCTCTACCTTCAGAGGAGAAGCTCTGCCCATGATCAGCTAACGGTGAATATATGGCATGACCATTGTAAAGAACTTTCATACAATTCGAAACAATTTCTATGCACCCGGGGGCACTGTCTCCATAAATCTGAGGGTAGTAATACTCCACCAATTTCATCTTGAATCGTGGATCCAAAATGGCAGCAATTGCCATAATCAAGCCGCACTTTTTCCAGTACTCATCGAACTTTCCTTTCAACTCTAACGCCAAACCCTTTATGAAGTCATCCGACTTTTGACACCACTCAATCAGTTGCAAATGAATATCACATATTTCAGCAAAGTACGAATTTGCAGTGATATGCTTGCGGCCGAGAAAGGCATTAGAAACTTCATAAAAGAACTTCAAGATTCCCGTAATGGCTCTCAGTCTGTCCCACTCTATATTAGAGGGACATATTGTGCACCCAGCAGGGTCATGTTCTTGCAGTTGAGGAAATGCTTCTTTGTGCTCTAAAGCAGCTTCAAGCATCATGTATGTTGAGTTCCATCGAAAGGGATTATCAACCAACAAACATTTCTGCCCGTTGATGCCGGCTAACTGCACTATCTCGCTGAACTTCTCTTGTATCTCTCGAGAGCCTCTCACATACCGGATGGTCTCACGGACTTTATTAATTATCTCGCGGGATGTTTCAAGGACAATTTGGACAAACAATCTGACTGTACTCGCTGCACATCGTACATCAAATAAACTGCCTTCACACATGAGAAACCTGTGCTGGCAGAGCTGTTGGTTCACTCTAACGGTGATTTTGTCATAGGTCGAACAATTATCAACTGTCAATGAGAACAACTTTCGATCAATATCCCAACTCCTAAGACTTGCTATGATTAATTCTGAAAGTGAGTCTTCCGCTTGAGAAGGATCAACAGCCAAAAAGTTTAAAATCTTCTTTTTCAATTCCCAAGAATCATCAATATAGTGTGCTATCAGGCATAAATACTCTGTACCATCACAAGTACCCCACCGATCGGCACTAAGACTGACCTTTCCAGGTAACTTATCCAACCCCTCGTACACTTTTTGCTTCTCCTTTCTATAGATTTCCATACAGTCAGCCTCAATTCCAGTAATCGTCACGAGATCAAACAAAGGTTGAAGGTTCCGAACAAATGACTTGAACCCGATATCCTCAACCATACCTAGCGGATACCTGTGCAATATGATCATTCGTGCAAGATCCAGCTGACTCCTCCTCTGATCAAAATTGTAAATTCCAGCATTCATACTTCCAAATTTTAGCCCCTGATCCGAATTAGTGCTAGCAACTGTGACCAACTCATTCTTTATCGAAGCTTGATTGTAACTGAAACTAGCAACAGAAAGAGTGCTCTGCTTCTTCTTCCCTCTTGTTAACAACTGCGCTACGTCGTGGTTCGATCTCCTCCTACACCTGATCAAGTGATTCCTCAAATGAGATGTCCCACTGGTACTCGACCCACTAAGGATTCTTTTACAGTGCCGACAGACAGCAGAAAACGATTCACCCCTTTTAATTCTGTCGAAATCATTCCACACAACCGATTTTAATCTACTAGAATTCACTATCACCGCTTCTTCCGATATCTCCATCAGCTCATCAACAAATATTATACATACACGCCAAATCTGTCAAAACAGGTTCCAACTATGTAAGGATATGAAGAAAGAACCCAATCAAGTGCAATCTAACATTTCATTAGCAGATAGAAGATGCAAGTTTTGTAAGCAAATACCACATTAGACGAACAACCAGAATTTAAATTTGATGCAAGCCAAACAAACATATAACAAAACCGGAAACCCGAACCCTCCAGCCTGTGAAACCCGAAACATCGACACATCAAGAAACCGACCCGAAATGGTAGGGATTATCGGGGCAAATCGTGACTACTTAAAAAACCCTAACGTGGTATCCGATCTGACCCAATACACTACTCCCGCATTCTCTCCAAACACAAAAGCGTAAAAAATCCGTTCGAACTTCGGGTTTAACCATTTACAGCACTCAAAACACATGAACGACGACACCGCGCCCAATAATCCGGCGTATTCACTAAGCATAAAAGCGACTGACCTATAACGGAGCATGCGTTGGAAATCTCCCAATATCTCAGCAATTTAGGGTTTCTTCAGGAGGAGGACCAGCTGCGATCCATGGAAGAGGCGAAAAAATCATTTTAATTTTACTTTTGATATATATGTCGGGGAAAATAGATTGGATGGTTGTATGTATGTACTCAGGGAAGGAAGGCGCCATTCCAAACGGAGGAACAAATCATTGTGGGCTTTGTGATTTCTCTGCATTGGGCTTTGGCCGCGCCTTAAGCTTATTGGAGTATTTCTTTTGCATCTGTTTTTTGGGCGTGATTTCTTTTTTTTTTTTACCCCTTTTTCATAACAAATACTTGCATTGTCCATGTAAAAATGAAGTCATTTGATTGGACACAAAAATGTAGGCAATATAAATTTGTTCCTTTCTAAGTCCAATAATTAAAAATATATTAGTGAAAATAATTATGATAAAATAAAAATAATTATAAATTAAAATTAAAATAATTAATTAGTATAATTAGAATTAAAAAATATATATATTAAATTTTTTAAAATAAAATTAAAATGTATAATTATTTTTCAAAAATTAAAAGTGACAAAATAAATTGGACGAATGAAAATGAAAATGTGGACATGAAAAGTGGGAATGAGGGAGTATTTAAATAATAGAGATCACTTATTTAATAATTAAAAAATTAAAATATATGTTTAAATATTTGTAATATTATATTAAAAACATATATACAATACGTATATTATTTTATAGAGAATAAAATTTTATATAATACAAATAAATAAAAAATATACTGTATTTATTGTTATAAATTTAATAAAATTAAATTACATTTGTTAAATTTGTTTAAAATAGATAAATTTATTAAAAATATAAACTAGTTTAGACGGACAAAAAAAGAAAAAAAAGTTATATGTGTCTAGACATAAGTACAAAAATGATATATTTTATATTTGATAAAATTTATTAATTCAAAATATACTTAACAAATTTAAATCAATTTAATTAGGTTATGTTAATTATAAATAAATAAATATTTTTTTATTTACCTGTATTATATAAAATTTTATTAAATTAAAAAATAATATCTATATTATATATATTTTATTTAAAATATTTAAATATATATCCTATTTTTTTCATATATATATATTAATTTTTATTTTAGAATAACTAATAATATCACTTATATTTTATTATTAATTAATTAATTATATATTATCATCATAAATACTAGTCTCAATACAATAGTCATATTTACTATTTTTGTCCGTCTCAATACAATAGTCTTGTTTACTATTTTTGTCCGTTTCAAAACAATAGTCTCATTTTCATAAATAACCATCGCTACTTTTTACACTAATTCATTCACAAGTACAACTTTTATCTATACTTTTTATCCCTACCAATATAATATCAATATTTTTTAAATCTCGTATCGAATACAATTCAAACTATAGTTTTGAGACGGAGAGATATATCACAAATCAAATTTATTATTTGAAATGAGATAAAGGAGTATTTAATGTATTATTAGTAAAATTATACTCCATCTCTTCTAGCTGCATTTGACTTCCGAATTTACACGAGTAATATTAAATAAAATAAATTGACAACTAGGCGATGCAATGAGTATATATATTTATTTGAGTAATATGATAAGATATAATGTGGTTAATTATTTTTTATTTTAGAAACATTATATTTTAAATTTTAATATAAATATTTTAAGTTAAAACAAAAATCAAATAATATTTGTGGAATTTTGATTTTCAACTTTATTTTGAATACTACAATTTTAAATTAAATAATTATTTGATGTAAAATAAATTCGTATTAACACGATATTTTAAATAATAAATAGATTTTATTATAATATAATGAATAAAAAATATATATAAAAATATAAAATACCAATATTTCTTAATTTATTTTTAAATGAATAGAGAAAGTACAATATAAATACTCTCAATTCATTCAAAATACAAATTTTCTATTTTAGTAATAATTATATATTAATAACAAAATACTTTTAAATTTTTACTTAAATTATAATAATATCATTACACTACAATTAGTTTATACATAAAATCAAAAGGAAAAAAAATGAGTAAGCACATAATCCAGAGTTTTTTTTTTTTTTTGGTAAGCCAAGTAAGGTCCTATATTTTTGTTCATTTTATATTCTTAAAAATAGATGCTGAACCGTCGGTTTAACAAGAACTGCCGGTTCGAAACCGGTCGGGCGAGCTGAACCGTGGTCGTCGTCTTCCCTTCAATAATTTTTTTTTACAGAATTCAATATTAATTGAAAATTTTCAAATGGTCGCGAATCACAAACCAAACAAACCGCGCTTCCGCACTTCTTCTTTAAATTGTCGTCGTCGCCTACTCGCCTTCGTCCTCGATTCTTCTTGTACTGTTTATTGTTCGTTCTCAGACCGAGGATCTGGGCGGGAGTTGGAGGTCTTCCTCCGGCATAGCTTCTGGCGAAGTCAGCGGGCTGGTAGGCGGGAGAATTTAATTTTAAAACCATATATTTTTATTTTTTTTAATTCTCCCTTTTAATCTGATTCAGCGTGCGGTCGCTTTCCTCTCTCTTCCCATCCCGATTCCATTCGCCATCTTCACCTCTTGGATCGGAAATGGCTTTCTTGTAAAACCCTAGCCTGCATTCGATTCTCTAGTTGGTTTGTTACGCTTCCTCTTGGGTGACAGTACTCCTTTGTTATCGCTTTTATCGATTTCAGTTCGAGTCTATGCATTTGCTTTGTATATCTCTCTAGTATCTTTACATGTTTGTGTTATGTGTTGTGATGCAGTTTCGCTCAAAGAGGATGACTAAGGTTGCTGCAGCTGGTCAATTGCCCATGTCCAGTGCTCTTCATTTTGGCCTTGGGCCAGACGGTGGCGATTCAAAGATTTCTGCCACCAATTTGAAGCGGAAAACACCTTCGGAGCTGCGGGTGAGTTTTCATCCTCAGGTCTTGGGGTTCCGTGTACTTCTATTATGGCGATACTTTCTAGTCATTCTGCAAACACATCTGTTCTTTTATGTGCTTGTGCATAGCTCCAAATGCACCCTTGTATATTTTTAAGCTATAATTTCAATTAATTTTGATGCAAAATTATCAGCATAAACTCTATAATAGTCTAATGTGACCTGATTGCATGATTCAAACTTATGGTGTATGTAGTTCATCCAATAGTTGTTTTCATAAAATACCGCTTACACATGGCCTCGCAGTATTTATGAACTGATACATTTTTATCACAATTTTGATGAAAACAAAGCATCCAACATCTGATGTCACTGGCAAAGCGTTAAAACTTTATTCTTTATTTGACAGGTAGAACTACTGCAACAAAAGAATCTAATGGAGTTTTTACATGAATCTCCACCTGTTTCTGGTTTCATGAGGTATTTTAGAAAAAACTTCTCTCCTTGCACTACAATGGGTTTACTTCACTGAAAATTTCTTGTCTTTCAGAAAGGCGGATGGAATGGTTTCTGAACCCAAAAAGTCTGATTCATCAAAAGAACCTCGATTCACACGAATAGACGAGCATTATCCTGTTACGAAGACCGGTCGGCTGCCTTCTAGAAAGAAAATTCCTAAGGTTGTAAAGCTATCTTTTACATGAATCCTTTATAACATCCATGTCTTGTGCCCCTTCCTATAGATTTTGTGATATGTATTGGACAAATGTTAGGGAGTTGTTCCTAGTAAATGCCCTGACAATCTGGATATCTCTGGCCTTTGCTCGGATTCAAATGCAAAACATCAACTGCAAAATTCCTGGTACTATTTATTTTGTAGTTTGTACATATCTTGGTTCAACTATACCTCCAGTATTTTGATTGTGGCTATTAATTTCCCATGAGTGCTTGAAGCCTGGATGAAACTGTTGCTTCCAAAGGTTGCTACGACACTTCTGACCAAACTAACGACACAAGTGAAAAATGCACTTACAGTACATTCAAGAGTGTTAGAGATTTATCATTGGGTGGTGCAAAGTTGAATGGCTCCACACTCATGGATATGGTATTCTTTTTCTTTAACTTTCACATTGATGAGGTTTGTGTTGAGTTCTAAATGTTTTATTCTTCATTCCTGCAGGGTAAAGCTTTAAAGGGTCTTGTTTCATGTGAACCGCATACTACTTCAGCTCCTAATGCTGACGACGTTACTAAAGCAGGAAATACAGTGCCTCAAAGTTTTTGTCCGGAACTCCAAATACCTGGCCAAAATGTTCCTCTGGACTTGACTCTAAAAACTAACATGAGGTTGCTGTGTTCATCCTCTGTGGATTGGTATGTCTGCTTATCTGATGTTTCTCTTGTTCAAGTGATAGCATTGTCTAGATGGTTTAAGTTGTTAAAGACATAGTAAAGTATAATCTTCTATTCTTCTGAGTGATGGCATTGAAGGTTGGTGGTTTGTAATATGATTATATTATGCTTATCTGGTATTTTGATTGGGCCTTGACTTAACATTGGTTATCCAAGGTTGTATTTACCTTCTTTCCGTAGTCATTTTAGTTGAAAGTTTCCTCTCCTTTTTCTTATTTTGCAACAAGGTGATGCTCTTATAAGTCTCTATTTAATCATTGTGATTTGTGCCACTCATAGTCACAAATATTATAGTGCCTAATTCTATCTCTGGTTAACTGCTGCACTCAGGTTCTTGGATATCATTGTATTTATTATGTTTATGATTTTATAGGCTTCATAGGCGGACAAATTGTGCTACCTCAAATATCTTGGGCCTATCTTCTCTAGTTGGTTGTGCAAATGAAGCTGTGGCCTGCTCATCAGAACCCACCTCCACTACTCAAGTAACAAAGTCTGCGACTTTCCATTCTTGGGTGCATCCTCAATCTAGTTTACCCACTGCAGTTATATCAGCACTGATCTCTGCACCAGGAGGTGTTACTATAATTCTTTTGTTGCATCCTTTTATTTTATTTTATGTAATGTTATTTTTTTACCTCTAGTTTTTCTCCTGCTAATGTTTAGCATCTCTTAAGGGCAAGGGGACTTCCTAAGTAAGCGGCAACAAGCTTGGGAGGATTCATTTAGAAGTCTCTATTACATGCTGCGCAAGAAACATTGTAAAATATTTTATGGTAATGATCTTTTTTCATAAAACTTTGGTGTATAACTGCATGTCATCCCAGTACTGATCTCAGTTTCCATGTTATCATACACAGCTATTGTTCAAAACTTGTACCGTAGATCCCTGTTTTTCAGCATTTAACATATGGTAGTCATAGTTGATTGAGTAGTCATGCATTAGACATTGATACAGCTTCAGTCCAACTGTAAACATTTTTTGTACTATAAGTTTATAATAACTAGAATGATTACAATCTGTTATTGTAGACAATGGTTTGACAGTGCTATCAATTTTTCTTTGTATTTTTCTCTTGCACAATGCTTTAATATTTCTTAGCCTTTGTAATAATCATACAAGGTTGATTTGCTTTATCTGTACTTTTTGTGGAATTTTGGCAGTGTGCACCATGCAATTTGTAGCTATGTTCACTGCATCAAATGGACCACAAAAAATCAGGTGCAATGCGTATATATCTCAGTCAACAAGGAATTTAAGGTCACATCTCAAAGAGCATGTAAGCCTTACTTGTTTTTTAATATGGTAATTTTTGTAGAAACAACTGTGCAATCAGTGACAATGCACAAGTTAATCAATATGTTCATTTCTACGTTAATGTATTTTAGATGTCCTTTTTTGTGAATTTATGTGGTCGATCATTGTACAATACCTTTGTTGTTGGTTGACAAGACAATTTCCTTTCTTGATTTTTAACATTTATCACAGGATATTCCTTTCTCAATGCCTCTTTGCAACTCTAAATTTGAAGATATTACTGCAGAAGACCTTGCTGAGCTTTCAGAAATTGAAAAATGCAATCTTGGCCAGGTTTGAAATTTATCAAATCCTTGCATCTTGAAAGCAGGTTAAGCCCATGGGGCTTATATTTGTTGTAAAGAAAAAAGGTTTTGGATAAGACATTTACAGTTCCATCCTGCAAGAAGGTTTTTCCTTTTTGCTCATCTTTTCATGTATCTTACATTATTGGATGTTGTGGGGTACCCAAAGAAATGATTATATTATTTCATATTTCACAAGATTATGGAGTTCACTGAAAATGTGGAATATCTTGTGTGTTATGTTCTGAGGATGATTCTTTCTTCTTAACTAGCGGAACATTTAGCTGAATTCATTTTCTTTGTTTTTTTAAAAATTATATGGGGCATATTAAGTCATAAGACTCTGGTTCTTTTAAATTGATTGTTTGTTATCATTTCTGCATTTATTTCACTTTATCTTTCAACTAATTGATGCAGGCTCGAGCTTTGGAGTCCTTGTTTGGAATTGACAGCACACCTCAATCTTTATTGATGTTTAGTGGGAACAAAAGTGTACACGCATTGTACGATTTTCTGTTAAATTATAGGTTGGTATCTGTCACTTGTTTCTCAAACTACAAATGTTTTTGCTAATGTTATGAAAGAAGGTTGCGATATGGATATTTACTACCTTCTATATGATATTATCCTTCTGATAATATTCCCTGTTTCATTTGTATTTTCCTTTCCTTCCAGATCCTTTTTTACCTCGTTAACTAGTGATGATGTTCCTGTGCTGTATTCACCGGTCCCTTTTGAAAATGCTGCTCTTACTTCTCCTGAGGTAGGCCCTCGAAAAGTTTATATTTAAACTAATGCACATTGATTGTGTGACAAAAACAAACATGTTAAATTATGTGCTATATAATGCATTAGTTTGAAATGTTAGCTTTGGCTTGCTAAGCTGTAGAGAATCACAAGTTTTGAATTGTGGTGACCGCTGGGGATTTTAGTCATATTACCACTGGTCACCATGTCTTACCTGACCTTTCAGCTTACTGAGTAGAGAGTATTACAATTGAAAATGGTAGACTGAAGCTGTGAATAAAGATAAGAATTTCTGTAGGATATTCACGGCATCACATGATTAATTAGATATGTGCCATGTATACTTCATTATAATTTTTTTATATATATCATTTCCAGGTCAGATGCAAACAGGTTTTGAGAGTTGACAGCATGGCTTCCCAATTGAAGGGCTCAAATACAGATGTCAACTCTGGCATCTGTTATAGTGTTGAAATCAAAGATGCCTATCTTCCACCATGGATAATTTCTGGCATTTGCAATGCTGTGTGTTCTAAAGGGAGTGAGTTTCAAGCCAGGTATCCCAGTTTCCCACACATCACTTATTCTTGATTTCTGCTGATAATACTATCTTTGTACAATTTTTGTAATCCTGTTTCTGTTAACTTGTCTCCAGTCTTGTCATTTCTTGGACTCAGCTGATAATTATTATCTTATATTATTATTTTCTTTCCCATTATATCCCAAGAGTTGTCATGTGCATGTCTTAGAACTGGTCTGGAGAGTTGTTATTTTCATTCTTCCCTACTCATGCAGATGCATAGTAGTTTTGTAAAGCCGTGGTTTCAGTCCTGTGAGAAGTTTGATCCAAGCATGCAGGGGATTAGATTTGATATGTGATGAAAATGTGTTGTAGGAGCAATACCAAACCATGTAGCTAGAGATGCATCTTGTATATAAACTTATATTAGTAATAATAATAATAGTAGTAGCCTTGGAATATTTGTTCACCAGTTAACTAACTGCATATCGCTTCTTTATTTACATTGCATTGCAGCTTTGCAACAGAGCCCACATCAATGGGGTTGAATTTGGGTCTAGATAAGAATGGCTATTGTTTTGACATTTCAAACACAGCAAGTCTTGATTCCCTCCAACAACACCCTGCCTTTCTGAGAGGATTGAAGTATGGAGATAGTTCTTACACAGGCTTTCTATCAGAGATAGGAAGGTCTGGTAGGTAAGTGTTGTTGTCTCCATTCCAGATGAGATGCTTGCTTGGCCTGCCTGGGAGGGGGGAGGGACGATTTTGGCTTTCTTATTAACAACTGTCACTGTCACTGTCACTGTGACGGGTGGTGTGGTGAGATGATGGTATGTAATATAAGTATAATATAATACACGGTGAAATGTTGAATTTGAATCTGAATTTGAATGTTGGGACTTTTATTACTGAACATGAGAAGAAGGTATCCACCACCACACCACACCACACCATTCCACTTGTGTGAAATTTTGCTTCAAATGTGGACTGGGGCCACATCAATGAATTGATGTTGTGTCAAGTTTGGTGGATCCAGAAATTATAGTGTAAAGGATTTTTGCATTAAATGGAGTGGCCTGCCATCTCTGTTCTGAATTGATGTGATGTAATTTTTGCTCATTGGTGGTTGATTTTGGAATTATGGTGAGAAGTGGCTGTCACTTTGTCTCGTTGCTTTGCTGCTTCTATTGATCTCTCTCAGGTGGAGGGAGGTATGTTATGTTTTCTTTCGATCTTAGGGAATTCTTCCCCCTTCATTCTTTTGATTGAATTTTAGAGGTTTTAATTTAATAATCTGCTGGCTGAGTTATGCTGTGATGGTTGGCTATATTGAGTGTTGGGGTGTGGTATTCTATTAATTTTGTTTTTATTTTGGGTTTTCTATGTTGGGCTGCTTGGTGTGGTGTGGATTTAGTTGGGTTTAGGGTTGTCTATTTATGGGCTCTTGATCGAGCCCATCTCGGGATTGGGTTTTGAGATAGATCATTGGTTGGGCCTTGTTCGTTGGACCTTACTGTTGAGCTTGAGGTGATTGACTGATTTTTTAATTGCAAAAGATCCTCACTGGGCCCATTCTGTTTGGGCTAATTTAATTTTTGGCACATTGTATTTGGGCCTCTTAATTTTGTTTTATATCCGGATGAGGCCTTGGAAGGGGAGGGCTATCAACTACTACCAATATAGGCTCTAATTTTAATATGTACACAGCCGGCCATGTAATTTGATATTTTGATTCAATATGGACATATTTTATAGAGTAATTTTTTGTTTATTTATTTATATCAAGAAAAAAATTGATATATTTTGATTATATTATAATTAATATTGATTTTTTTTCCTTTTTTAATTATATAAATATATATTAATTTTAATAATTATTCCTTAATATATCTTTGAATTCATTTGAGTTTAAAATTTAAAATTCAGGAATACTTCTTTATTTTATGGTCATAAAAAAAAAAAAAAAAAAAAAATTTCTCGTGAATACAACGAGTTTGATGTATTTATTTGTATGTTTGTGTTAATTTGAGTGTAGTGGTACGCTGCAGACAAGCTTGATTTAGAAAATAGTGGGATAATAATGCATACTTTACAAACATGGTGATAAGTAATTTTGACCCAGGAAATGATTTGAAAAGAGTACAAAAGGATTTGTAGGAAGAAATACGAGATTGATCATTGATTCGCATTGCTTTCTTTAACTATTTTACCCACAATCTATTTAATCTAACCCAGATCAATATTCTAAACTCAAGGTCCTAATTTGATTCAGGTCCGCGGAAATTCTGATCTAGATCGCTGAGTTCCTCCGGCGTAACCTATAATCTAACTCTGCCTCCAGGTACAAGTAATAATCAGTTCAGTATCTTTGCTTGAATTCATTACCTTTATAGCACCAGTAGATTTGAATTTGATCATCCTCACCGGGCATTATTACCAACGGTGCAAAGTGAATCGATTTTGACCCTTACTTTCATTCCCGCTATTATTCGAGGTTGAGTCTCTCGCCCCTTTGTGAATTGAATTGTTGACGTAGAAATGTCACGAATCTTAAAATGCTGTCTGAATCACGAATTTCTCCTTAAATTAGTGTAACTAAACTTTCTTAGATATGTGGTATCAGTTGGTTCTGTAATTCTGTTTGTTCTGTGTTTTCTTTCTGTATCCCCATGATTTGCTCTTCATTAGTTCAAGAATTAGGTTTTTCTGTTGTTGCCCGTTGGAGGTTTGGTAACTATTTGTTTAAGAGATGAAGAACTGAAATTGAGCTTGGAACTGTATTAGTTGAAGCTTATAAATAGAGAAGAAAATAAAAGTGAATCCTGTATATGTTGGATCCTGGAAGGCTGTCTTTGACAAAGGCTTTGACATTATTTCACGCTATCAATTCTTGGGCGGGTAACAATTGTACGACATTGTGGTTGTTTATTGTGTTTTACAAAATGTGTTTCGTGCTGTCCAGGCATGTCTTGGGGCAGAACCAGTTTAATGAAGCAGTCCAACTCCAGGAGTAAAAGACATGTTCAATTTCGAGCTATCTTGACAACTCTGGTTCTGATAATGATTGTACTGGTGCTATGGTTTGGAAGGAAGGGCAAGAAATACAGTCCGATGTCTGATCTGGCGAACCAAAAATGGAATAGCTTGAACCCTTTGGTTAGCTTTGATCCATTTGTGGAGCACCGGAACGGGACTGATGTGATCTGGCAGATACCGGACTCACCAAAGGCTGTTCTCTTCTTGGCACATGGCTGCAATGGTAGAGCAGCCAATTTTTGGGATAAGTCTCCTAAATGCCTCCATTGTGTTGGTTTGCCTGAGGAAAGGCTCATCGTGCTTCATGCACTAGCTAGGAATTTTGCTGTAGTTGTAGTGTCAAGCAGAAAGACATGCTGGTCACTTGGGGAGGAGAGATGGATTGTTAAAGACATAATCCAGTGGTGGATTACCGAGAGAAAACTAGACAAGCTGCCTGTATTTGCATTGGGTGCCTCATCTGGTGGATACTTTGTCTCCGTCCTCGCTACAGAGCTTCAGTTCCAAGCCATTGTTGTCATGATTGCTGAAGGAGTTTATAGTCACTTGAATATAAGTGGAGATTATCCACCTACACTATTTGTCCACATGCCAAAAGATGAAACCCGGAAACAGAAAATAGAACGGTATCTTGTTGTTATGCGGGAGAGAGGAATCGATGCTGCAGAAATTAGATGCATGGAATTCCCATTGACACCTGAACTATTTGCCAACAGAATCCCAGGTCTTGATCTAACCTTGTCGGTAAAGTTGTTCAATCTTTTCAAGGAAAAGGGCTTTATTGATCAGAATGGTTACATGAGGGATGATGGACGTGCAATTCCATGGAAGACAGCCCTTGAAGAAAAGGGTATTCATCTGCCAGATAAATCGCTGGTGAATCATATTCAAGAGGAAATGAATCTTGCATTTGCTTATCATGAAATGACCAGCTTGCAATCTCAACAAATTTTTGACTGGTTTGAATCTCATATGACCTCAATCCATTGACCAGCTTTTATTTTTGATTCTTCATTCTTCGAAACAAATTTGTCCTTGATGAACTGAAACTGAGAATTTATTAAAGCACAATGGTAACAGCTCAAATTTGCAGTACCGTAATCTTAACAATTCCATTGGCCTGTCTAATATGGCTTGTTAAGAACATAGAAGTTCAGCCAGTTAGGCGATACAAGTTGATGAGTACATCTATACAGCATCAGGCTTGAGGAGCTTCTTGTTTCATTTCTCATTCAACCGAGTTTGGTGAAAGCTCCAAGATTGTGCTTTTATGCTCAGATGGATTTATATTCTTATTGACAACGAGAGAAATTTGATCAAGTACCGACAATTTTCTTAGCAGTTAGCTGTATCCTGTGTAATTTCTCTGGTAGTAAATGTGGTGTGTTGGTGTGCATACATGGTGGCATGTTTTTCTATTATCTCTTGAAATTGAAGATGTATCCAATTTATTGACTTGTGATACTTGTTTTCCTGTTTCATTTTGATGTTCAACTCATTAGAACGATAATTATTTTTTCAACTTGTCTTCTCAATTAGTGTGGTGCAAAAGCTCTTGAGTTATGCTCAGAAACTGCATCTAGGATGCAAGCCTGAATATTAGCTAATTGTACCGAGCACTGCAGACTATTAATCTGTTATGAAATATATAAATCCGTTTCTTCTGTTTGTGATGTGGATCTGTATGGAAGTTTTGAGTACTGCTCCATATTTGTTCTTGGTTCAATTAATGCGTTGAAATTTACTGATGACTACTGGTGAAATGAGCAGAATATTGTCTTGCCATATTCCTACATCTTTAGTCTATAGATTGCATGCCCCTGCAATTTGAAACCTTTCTTTCTACTTTGAGCATGCTGAACCAATCAATGTGATGAGAAGCTAGATTCCAAACTCGTGTGTTGTACAACTCCCCTCCCCCACCCCACCCCTTGGAGTATACTAACTTCTTTGTTCACGCTTCTGATCCAGGATTGAGCACTACATTTAGTATGAGCTTCTAAGATTTTAGAAGCTGGTGACCTTCTGAATGTACTGCACAGATGCTTATCAAAGTTTGACTACAGTGAGTTTATTCAATTTTACATTATGGTGTCACCATGATGAATTGGAGTCCAAGTAAAATTTCAGTTATATATTAGTTTCAATCCTAGGTTGGTGCTTATAACTAACCCTTAAACATTAGGAAATCAGTATGTGTATAATCACATTATCCTTTATTTTGCAGTTATAATTGCCTTGATGGTGTCGATGCGATAATATCTTTTTATTCTTGCTTCTAATATTAGCCAAGTCATCACTGATGCATGAGGGTAACCATTGCTAAGCCTCCTCTTATGACATCTTTCATATATGTGTTCATTTTGTTAAAATAAGCATGCAGGCAAGCAAAAGCTTTGCATTTTGAGCTACAACAAAATCTTCCATTAGTGCATGTGGTTGGTGAAGCAATTAAAAGGATTTTATTTTTTATTTTTTATAGAAGTATTAGCATATTTACTGCCTTATCTAGATCATGGTGTTGGTGTGCTTAGTTGTTGTTGTGTCCACTGCAAAGAATCCAAAGAGGTATAGTGCCATTGAATATTGATGCTGGGGTCTTGAATGTTTGGTAGTTGTAGGTAATAAATGTGTTATTGCACACATTGTATTCTAATTATTTCAAGGGCACATAAAAGAAGTAATATATCTTTTATTTTTAATTCGTCTGATGAAAATTTAATATCCCAACTGGCTGGTAAGTAGGAGCACTTGCTGTCAATTAATATTTGCCACATGACATGTATAGTAAATAGTCTCACTTCTGACCCTAGCTTCCCACTTTATGACTACTTACAATATCCACCCATCATACTGCTGCTGGTTAAGTCCATACTTGAATGCACTGAACAATATGTTACCCTTAGCAATTGCAGTGGTTGCAGTGTGTCTTCTTGCAATGCTGTATTGACTGAAGTTTCTCTTCTTGGACTTAAATTTAAGGGAACTCAAAATGGTTTAGGGAAACAGGTTAATCTAAAATTTTATAATATGTGCCTGTGCACTTTTGGCTATAGTTTGTGTACTGTCCTTTCATTAAACCACTTAATTTTTTTTGTGTTTACCTTGATCTTGATTAGTGAATACAGGAATCAAGAATGTGAGTTGGTGGAAGGGCAGGGAATAGCGCAAACAAATCACAAATATTATTAAAAATGACAGAAACAAAAGGTTGCTGCTATCCTTCTGAATATGTAACATTACAGTGAAATGAACATATAATGTCATCCTGAAAGACCTCACACAAGTTGAAGAAGAAGAGAACTGAAAGCAGGGCAAACTTGATATGAAACATTAGTGATTTTTTTTTTGATAAAGAATACAGGTGGTGATGTTTCAAGCCCTAGGCAGGGCTCTGCCCTCATTAGCCAGCTTGAAGAGCTGTGCCTGAGCTGCTGCAGCATTGTTCGAGCTAAGCGCCGCGACGAACCTGTCGCGAACTTGGCTGGTCGAGTAAGGGAACTTGTTGTACGCCATGGAGTTTAGCAGAGCAGCTGTGCCTTCCCTGTAGAGCTGTCCAAGCCCATCTGCTCTAGAATTCGAAAGCGCCTGTAATAAGTTCATGTTGGCCCCTAACCCCGGGGGTGCATTGTTAGGCACGCCAAGCGCATTGCCGACCGTTCCCCACCAACCAATCAGCCCCCATATCAATGTCGGATGATTTCTCCAGAAGCTGCAAATAACCAGTAAGAAGTAGCAAAGGTTAGCTTTTTAATTTTATTGCATTCATTCTCTAGCCATTGACATTGTTCATCTTGATATGAATCTCCTACTCACATGCAAGTGAAAGGTGGAGTGACAGGAACCGGCGGCGTAGGAATCGTGCCGCCGGGTGGAGTGATCGGAGTTCCGGGATCAACCGGAGTGGTCGGCGGACTTACAACGGTTGGCGGAGTTGGAGTAGGGACCGACGGAGTTGGCGGCACGGTTGGTGTAGTCGGCGGGGAATGGTAATAGCCACCTCCAGGGGAGGAGGGTGTATGGTGGTGATGGCCTCCTCCATGGCCACTTGGGGGGGTCCCACAGTTGGCAGGGGGGCTACCTCCTCCATGCGAGGGCGTCGGAGTCGGTGTCACAGAGCCACCTCCAGAACCAGACGGCGGAGGATTGTAAGAACCACCACCTGCCACAATAAAAACTACATTACACTGTGAGTAACTCTTTTCTTGTGCAATTAATTCAAGAAGTGAAAATGAGTGAGGTGACCTGTGGGGGGTGTTCCGGCATGAGGGTCTGGGGGGTAGTAGTTCTTCTGCTGCTCGAAATCTAGATGTTGTGCAGAAACTACTAGGACAGGAACATACAACAGGCTGTGGTGCAGGAGCAATGCTGCCCACAGCAGGAGCCATAGCTGGTTGCTACTTGTGGTAGTTGTCATCTGAAAACCAAAGCCAGAAATGGAGTTTTTGTTGAGAGATGAGGATGAAGATGAAGATGGTGGATTGAGAGGTTAAGGTTAAGGCTGTTTATATAATAAGAGGAGGAGGGGAGAGAGATGGAGGATGAAATAGTAATTAATAGAAACAGGTGGAGTATTGAGGTTAGTTGTGTGTGCATTTAAATCTCACAATGCATGCTTTTTTTCTTCTATGCTCAGAATTTACACTTTAAAATTTCATGCATTCTCTCTCTCTCTCTCTCTCTCTCTCTCTCTCTAAAAAGATTGTGTACAACACAACAAAACACTGTTTGGTATGTGTTTTGGGATAGAGTAAAATGTGTAATTTTTGTAGTCATTTTTAGCTAACTACTGTCATACCACCTTAATTTGATCAAAATTTTGCATGCCTTTAATGGTATTTGTTATTGCCACGTGGTGTTTGTGCTGGGTCGTTTTGCTGGCACTCTTTTATGTAATGATGATACTTTTTTCAGAGGTGGGCTTTGGATTGGACACAACGACTCTAATGGCAAAGGGTAATGTCGTAATTTTATTGCTGCCATGGTAATTGACTGTCCTTAAATAAAATAAAATAATTTATTCATTTGAATTGGATATGAAATTTATTATATGTAACATTAATAAGATAGATGAGGCCAATATTAATAATTTCAATATGGGATACTGAACATATTGATGTAGACACATCCACCTGTGATTCATTCATTCATTTTACATTTTTACTTCACCATTATGGCTTTAATTTTAGATGCTTGGGTATTATTCTTAAGGGCATAGATATATATATATATATATATGTGCAATTTCACATTTGGGAGACGGAGATTGGTATGCACTCGCAATTACAGAAAATATTTAGAGATCAGGTAATAGACAAAGAATCGATAGGGATATCTTTCTCACAACGTAACTATTTCAAACCCAAAGTAGCTTTTCTTAACAAAGGTTATGTTTAGGGATGCGGCAATTAAGTATTACTCCCACCGTCCCATATAATATAATATGGGTGTATTATTGTAGACACAGAAATTTAGGTAAAGTATAATTAGTAAGTAATTAAGAAGTGTATCAGTAAAAATAATTATTATTTAGTAAAAATAATTATAGATTAAGATTAAGATAAGTAAATAGTTTAATTAAAATTAAGAAAATTATAAAATTTAAAATTTAAAATGCGATTAAAGTGTATAATTATATTTCCAAAAATAGAAAGGACAAGTTACGTGGACGGACGAAAATAGAAAATAGAGACAAATTATATGGGACGGAGGGAGTATTATCTTTTCCCATGGCACTTAAAAGTAAGAATTCATAAAACTTTTTCAAAGTTATATACTCTTTTTGTTTCACATAAAACATCTATTTTTGAAAATTTTATTTACTCTTAATTAAACTATTTAATTATCTTAATCTTAATTTTTATACACCTTTTAATTACTTACCAATTATATTTTACTAAATTTCTGTATAATTTAGCCGGGACTACCGGAGCTCCCCCTCATATATTATAGAGTTATTACTGTAGATACGAGAATTTAGGTAAAGTATAATTAGTAAGTAATTAAGAGGTGTATTAGTAAAAATAATTATGATATAGTAAAAATAATTATAGATTAAGATAACTAAATAGTTTAATTAAGATTAAAAAATTATAAAATTTAAAATATAATTAAAGTGTATAATTATATTTCCAAAAAAGAAAATGACAAATTACGTGGGACGGACGAAAATAGATTATATGGACAAATTATGTGGAACGGAGGGAATGTGTTCTATAATTTTGTTACACAACAATAAGGAGTGATGTTCACACATTTCCTAATTGGATCTGTTTGAAAAACTTCCATTTGCATGCACTATAAGAAATTATCAATTTTGTAACAAAATTTTTTCGTTCCTAAATTCACTTTTTCTGTTACTAATGATATTCGAGACGAAATTAGAGATGAAATTACGTTAGCTACGTGAACTTTAGGAACAGAATTCTGTTACAAATATACTATTTTTTTTTGTAGTGATGTGTGTTTGTTCGAGGGATTGAATTTTGAGTTGAGATTTGAATAGTAAAAATTTTGAATTGTAATAGTTGTATGATGTGATATAAATAGGTGTTTATGTGATAATGTTTTGATTTTTGAATGTAAAATTAATTTTTAGTATAATATAAAAAATAAAAAATAGTTGTTTGATTTAATGTTTTTGGGAAAAAAGAATGGATAAATAGGAAAATTTGGAACAAATCCTTTAAACGAACACACCCAGACTCCCTAAATATTTCTTAGATTAATATTTTTGGTCAAATGATTGAATTTTGATAAAGTTTTTAATATAATTTTGTCTTGCAAAAGTTTTAGGTACAAAGTTAAAAAAATAAAGTTTGAAAAAAAAAAAGATTTTCGATTTGGGTTGGTGTATGTTGATTTGGATTAAAAGTATAAGTAGGGACAATTAGAATGCCACTTCTTGGAGCTGCTACGACGGATATTTTCTAAGATTTAGGAGTTATACACATGCGCGGGACATTTGGGGTAAAATTACGGTTGTTTGTCTATTTTTCATGGACATATTTGTTTCGGCTACAAAACTTTTTATTTTTATCTTTTTTTTTAAAATTACTAATTTTGTCTCCAATATATATATATATATGTGTTCAACTATCATGTATGTTCTGTGGTGGCGGTGGTGAATTTTAAAATAATATTGTGATTCTATTATTACGTAGTATACACACCTTATAAATATGAACATTTTTATTTCACATAGAATACATAACATATGTTGTTTAAGACAAAGATATGTGCCGTTTATATACACAAGTCAAATCAGCACCTTGTGTATATATATTGCCAAATAATTCAATATCGTAATTTCAATTGTATCCAACTTTGTGATAAGTCCTAATCACATAATGATACAATAACACAGTTGATATTCACATGGTCAATGAACAAAAACTAGGAATAGTTGAAACTTATATATATATATGACCAGATTACAAGTGTAAAAACTATATAAAACATGATCAATTTGTCTCAGGTTCCACTCGAAATGTAATAAAACAACACAAATTCTCCTCCCAAACATGAAAAATTATCCCTATATATTTTACTGATTGTTCGATTTTTCTAGAGATCGACGTGGCAGAAAACAATTCGAAATTAACAAACAGAAAGATCAAGTTTTTAGGACAGCAGGAAATCAAACAGCTCTCTATTACAAATATTGTCCATAGGCAGCAGCACAAGTTGAACACATAATTAGTTAGAGCTGCTTTTACAATGAAAATCCAAAGTAAGTGCAGTTACCTTTTACATTGAAAATTGCTCAAAATAACTCCTGAAACTTCACACAAGATTCAATAAAGAAGATACTGTTTTTCATTATATTTTTGCATCTCAGACGTTCGATCCGTCGATGAAGCGCCATTGGTATGGTCTTTGAAGTTGTTAGCTGCAGAAAAAAGAATTGCAATTTAACCCATTTATAATAAACCATATTTTACTTTCGAATGACATTCATTTAAACAAATAAGGTAGTAAATTAGAAGCTACACCTGTATGATAAAAATGTCCAAAACTTCCTTATGTTGAAATAAATAAACAATTCATCAATATTGTGTAAAATTTTGAGAACCCACAAAAAGACCCTTATAATATCATTTACACTTATTCCAGAACTGGTCATCAATATTGTATTGTATTTCTTGAGTTATCATCATCATTTACTCAAAAATTAGACTTAAAAGGGCCTTATTGTTTAGATTCAAAGGCATTGTAAATAGCATGCATGTTCATTACCCCTAGTTAGTTTATGCATATTCTGGTGTGTACTATTATAATAAAGATTAAATTTTGCATGTTATTATTTAGAAAACTAATAGATTTTAGCAATAGAAAAAAATAGGGTATATATAGAGACTGAAAAAATAATATCTATAGAGAGGAGCAGAGAATTAGTTTTAGGGTATCTATAAGTGCTCCAAGGCCAATAGGTGATTGATCAATATATATTCAATCCTACAGCTACAATTAATATAATACACTTCCCTAAAGATGTACAATGAAACTATATACTCCCTCCGACCCATATTTATATATCCATTTGTTTTTTGTACGGAGTTTTTAAAGTACAAATAAAGATAAAAAGACTAAATTACCCTATTAGTATTGTATGATATAAAGATAATGATATTTGTGCAATATATTGTAAATTGGAAAGGTATTTGTAATGTTAAGTAGATGGTACAATTACTTAAAAAAAATAAAAATGGATACTTTATTATAGGATGGACCAAAATGGAAAAATGAATAAATTGTTAAGGAACAGAGGGACTATATATTTGAAAACTACATTTTACTCTCCTACATTTATTCAATTTTTGTTGGAGCTGGAAGATCAATAATTATATATGATGGTTCTTCTTTCTTTCTTTCTTTCTTTTTTTTTTTTTTTTTTTTTTTTTTTTTAATGTGGAGTAATCGAAGACTACGCAAGAATGGATGAGTAAATAAAGAGACATTGATAATATATATTCTTACACTAGTTGGAGAGGAGTGTGGTCATGGCTGCGGGGGTAGTCGTGCTCGTTGGTTTCCATAAGTGTCATCGGGAGGAAATTCCGGACGTCGTTGTAGGACTGCGAAGTAGTCATCGGCTGGTATTGTTCAGACGATCCTGCCGATGGCATCAAGTTCATTTGCTGCTGTGCTCTTTCACTCTCAGCTATCTGCTTCATATCATATGTATGATTAATAAATGCATCTTTATTAGCGGATTCCTACTGATTGGATCAAATCAATATCATGATCGGTCAACATACATATAATAAAAAAATATATATAGCACATGTTTCGGGAATTATAAATATGACACTCTACTGATTTGACTCAATCAATAGATATCCACGTCATTCTACATATGAAGGTTGAAATAGATTTGTTAAGTGGTTTTCGGACAACCTTTGCTCGTAGAAACATGTTAGCGTTGTGTAGCTCCACCTCCTGATCATCAGCCATATTGATCCATCAGATTCATTTGCTTAAGTGCATTGGTTATTATTATTATTAAGAAAATACATATCGAACAAACAAATTAAATTAAATTGCTTGAGCTTATATATATGCATAATTAGTTACGTACCCTCTTTTGCATGAGCTCTATCTCGGCAAACAACAACTCATTCTGGGAAAAAACAAAACAAAAAATTCCAACGTATATATTATTAAAAAATAAGTCAGGAACCTAATTAACAAACTCTCTCCCTTAGGGTTTTTTATTAAAATTACCTTCTTACAACGGATTCTGCTGATTGCTTTCTCTATTTTTCCTTCCATGCTCTTGAGATCCTTCAAAGCCATGCTGCCTACTCCCTCTCCAAGAATTTGCCTGCACCATCATCGCCAATTAATTTTTCTCTCTCTCTCTCTCTCTCTCTCTCTCTCTCTCTATATATATATATATGTATGTATATGTATATATGTAATACCTGTTAGTAGTCTGGATCTCACGTATTTGCCTGCGCAGCTTGTTTGCTTCTTGCTGGTAAAACTGATAAAGTTGATCGTGTAAAGATTTTTACTAAGGATTTTTACAGTAGTATAGTTTTCATCAATTCAATTTCATATAATTAAACTCATGAATTGCCAACATATATGCAAGTCTTATGGTATTTCCTAGCTATTGATTGGACTTGTCATGAGTCAAGCAGCTAGCTGTGTTTTCCAAAGGTGAAATCAAATATATATTCCAAAGATAAATTAATAAAATAAAATAATTACCTGAGTGTTAGCTTCAGATGTGGAGACAGAAGTAGAGGAATCAGCACTTGCTTTCTTGTACCTGTCTATAGTTGCCCTAACACTACACCCACAAGTCAACTTTAGTCCCATCAAATTATATATATGTACACACATTAAGACCACAACTGAGAAACTTATATTCAATTTTCTTACTCTAACTCTGGTTATTTCTTGAATGTAATACTTTTAATTGAAAATATATATTCAAAATATCATACCAATCAATATAGTTTAACTTTAACTAACTAACCATCAATCAATATATTATTATTGCAAAAACTAACTTACAACTAAACATCAACAACATCCCAGTTAAAAAAAATTCAAATCCTCCAAACAAAAAAACCTAACCTAATTCAAAAATTCCAATTTACAACCAAAGCCACACATAGTGTAAAATAAACAATATAAAAAATGCAAACAAATGATTGTGTTCTTTAGTGTTCTAGGAATAGTAAAATTTTGTTGTCAATTATTGGAAAGTGCTAGTCTTTTGGAGAATGAATGTTTATTTGTGAGATTTTGATTTTGAATTTTGGTTTTGAATAGTAAAATTTTGAATTGAAATAGTTGTTTGATGTTATATAAATATGTATTAATGTGATGTTTTGAATGTAAAATTAAATTTTAGAGTTTAGGTGTTTGATTTCATGTTTTTTTTAGAGAAAAAAAATATTATAAATAATAAAATCAAAATCAAAGTTGCACAAGTAAACAAACCCCCGTCATGATTTTTATTATTAAAAAATATGATTATTCAATATCTAAAAAGAACAAAGTAGTTGTCCTAGAGATTTCTTGATCTTGCAAATTAAAAATCAATAACAAGGATATATAGTAATGGTAAATTCAACTTCAAAGTTGATATGTTATTACTTTGTAAAAATGTTAAATATGTGCATTTATGTAAAATTTTAGATTATATTTTGAATGGATTCCATTTGAAGAAGTGAATACCATTCATAGTCTTGTGTTTTAGAACTTTTATATGTATCACTGTATATCCTTAAAAAACTGAAGAAAATAAATTCTATGAATTTCACTTTTCGAAAACATATACAATTAAATATGAAGAATAATTTCTTAAAGAGATTTTTAAGTTTCTACTACTTTTAGACAATGAAGCATAAGCAATTATCAGTATTCACATTTAAATTCTACTGTAATTAGGGTTTCTCTACTTTAATATATATATATGTATATATTTTCACGAAAAACTGTAGACAGATAAAATAAATACATAAATAAATGTAGTGGAATATTGCTTTTCCAGCCTCAAAGCAAATAATCACAGTGAAAACACACACATCCACTTTCAGATAGAGATACACACAGGACAAGCTAAATATGAAACCTTAATTTCGTCGACACACTGATTGGTTGCCTTCTGCCACGCTGGCACAAGATCCCACAACATGATTGGTTTAACTGTCCCTGTTCTGGGTCCGTGCCACGTGTCCCTATCCCACACCCTTTTCACCAAGGGTTAATACCCCAAAACTTACAGCACCCCTCTTTACCCCACCCCTCGATTCTTTCAAAATCCCGATAATGCTCTCCATACTCTCAGCATTTGATTCGTGGGTTATTACAAACCAGTAAAGATTAATTTTTTACTTTATTTTATTATAATCTTTGCAGAATGTGTGTATAAAAATAGAAAGTCTTGTTTGTCTGTGAAGTTGAGTGTATCAGTGAAACAGTTTGCTCAGAGCAGCCATTTTCGTCATTGACATCGCTTTTTTCCTATGCATATTTTCTTATTCAGACTCAGAAAAATGCTACCCTATTGGCTCTACTATTACAGATTGTATTGAAACTATAAATTGATTAATTAGGTAATAAATTAACATTTTCATGGGTAGGGTTTTGGTCGAACTAAGAGAAATTTTCAAAACGGCTATAGAAAATGAGGAACTAAAAACTAAAACTTTTATGATCAAAATAGTGACAAATGAAATTATACAGAAGTAATAGGTAAGCATATATATAATTTATCTGACAAAAATAGCAAAATAATGCATATATGGTTGGCAAGGTCTTCTGGAAAAATAATAATTGTAGTATTAAAATTGCATCCAAACACATTGAAGGCTTTTACTACATTTTGTAGTTTTTTGGGAACCTTTATTGTTTTTATTTCTTCACACCCTTTTTAAGAGAAAAACCAAACTGGAGAAAATAGTGAGCCTAGCTAGTACTTTTAGCTATGATATATTTCCTTGCTTTAGCCCTTTCTCCAATTTGATTTACAAAAGCACTTTTTTTTATTTTTCTTTATTTTATTTTATTTTTTCAGGTTAAAAAGAAAAGAAAAGATAATTTTTTATCTACTGTATGTTAAAGGGTAGTAATATATAAACTTTTAGATTGTAGGAAAAGGTAATTTGGCCAAAAGGGAGTTTGAATAAGAGATATAAATTTGATTTTGAAACCCTAACCTAACCTTACTGGCCTTGATTTTACTACAGTAGATCTACAGAGGGGTAAAAAGGTAATTAGGAGTAATTTGACAAGTTCCTACCCTAAGTTAACCTAATCATGTATTACGAATTTACACTTAGATTTGTTCATGATTTAGCCATGGAGTATGGAGTATTCCTTGAGGTACAATAATCAGTTGTGCTAATGGAAGCATGACAGCTATCAGAAGAGTTTTCTTGAGCTGACAGATGACATGTGAAGAATGGAGAGAGAGAGAGAGAGAGAGAAAGAGAGAGAGGACTGGAAAGGTAAGAAAAACTGTAGATTCCAAGAGAGGAGAACAGATGTTTCATGACCTTCAAATATTTTTTTATTTCTCAACCCTATTGATTCCTTGACAAAATTAACTAGATCTTATATATATATATATATGTATATATACATATATATATTATCACATCAAATTAGGAGTTAAGGTTAAAGCAATCTTATGCAAGGGAATCCATGGAAGTCTTCCTTGATAAAAACCCTCAAAACGAATCACTATTCTATATCCACGACGAGATTTGGTTTTCAAAACAGTAGATTCAAGGAATTTGAGAAACCAAAGCAGATAAATCTGACCTGTTGTTTGCATATTCGTAGAGCCTTCCACGGCTGGAAAACACAATTAGGGCAACCTCGGCATCGCAGAGGACGGAGAGTTCATAGGCTTTCTTAAGGAGACCGTTGCGGCGCTTGCAGAAGGTGACCTGGCGATTTGTGGTGTTCTCGATCCTCTTGATCTCAATCTTCCCCCTTCCATTCCTCCTCATCGACTCCGAGTCTTGATTGTTAGGAAACCCCATGTCTGAAAAACGAACAAACAAACCAAGAACAACCTAAATCGGACGGCTCCGATCGAAAGTTGAGCCAGACAGTTCCCTGATTTAGGGATTCGGTACCAAAAGCAGATAAAAGAGATGGAAGCAGATATTGTAGAAGCCCAAAATAAGCTAAACAAACTTGGAGTAATTTTTATTTTTCAGTTTTTTATTTGTCAAGATTTGGAGTTGAAATAAATTTGTAATTTGGTGACGACGACTAACCTTAACCTACCTGGTAACGAAACTGTGGAAGGATTGGGGATGGGGATGGGGTTGGGGAGAAGATAAAAAGGAAAACAGAAGAAAGAAACAAGAAAATCTCTTAGAGAGAATAGGAGAGAGTATTGCAGAAAATGGTAGTATTGTGCAGTCTTGCTTGACCAGAGGCTCACTGTATTTATACATATATCATAGATGATGATGATGATGATACATCCTTGTACTAAATCCAACAATCAAGAAAATCTTCTACTTATAACAACACATTTATATTTTGCATTCATAATATGATTAATGTTCTTTATTATTTGCAAAACTCCCTCCATCCCAACCCAATGAAAGGTTATTATTTTATATTTTCGTCGTTCTAAATTAAGGTTATCATTTTTTAGTTTACTAATTGTACTACCTACTAACATAATAAATACCCTTTCAACTTACAATATATTACACAAATGATATTACTTTTATATTACACCAAACTAATTGGGATATTTTTGTCTTTTTTATTTCAATCAATATAATACTAATATTAAAAAATTTATGTTAAAAAACAAATGTCACCCTTCCAATGGGATGGAGGAAGTATTTTTAAAAAATAATTCTTAACTGTACAATAATATATTTATACATCTATATATATAGGCAACAACTACAATGTTCAATATTGCATTCAACACTGTGCTGAACAACATACACATAGCTAACAAATAACACACAATAATGTTAGTGACAACACATCATTTATATTAATATAATACAAATACAACATATGAACTAACAACACATACATAGCTAGCAAACAAACACACAGTAATGTTAGTGACAACACATCGTTTATATTCCTATAATTAATACAAACACAATATATGAATTAACAGCACATGATATAGTCTCACAGAACATTTGCGACAGTTCATTTTAGTACATGACGTACACTTGTACAATATACGTGTAATTATAAATAAATAGCACATATCATTATTACAAACAACACATATTGTTTTTAATATAGATTTATGCTGTTTTTGTGTTTTATGGTGCTAATTTGGAAAATTGGTGTATTATTGATTTTTTCAAATAAGAGCAGTAACCTTCCCCATATATATATATATATATATATATAATATAGTATAGGTGAATTGAAGTAAAATGTCCATCGAGTAATTTTCGTTTGCAAACTGATATTTCTTATCACCCATTCCTACTTTTATTCAATTCGTTACATTCATTTCACACCCCATACTTCTTAGAAAGAAAATTAATGGGTTTGTTCACTTGAGTTTATGGATGAACTTTTCTATCATCGTTAAATATAAAAAATTGTATCAGTAATATAAAAATAATATTTTATATTAAAAAATTATTTATTTGAAAGTGAATAATTTATATATATATTATATTATGTTTATGTATATATATTGTATCTTTTAAAATAATATTTATAAAAAATTATGTCACTTATAAATGCAATGTGAACAAATCCAATAATAATAATAATAATAATAATAAGAATAGGGCCGTTTGAATTTAAATACATGTGAGCTAAATATTATATGGACCTCTCTAAAATTTCTATCATACGGTAGGATAGCTCCTTTATGATAATTTTATCTCTCATGTAATGAAAAAGTGTAAGTATTATACTTCGTTTGGCTTTAAAGATCTCATATAAATTAAGAAAAAATTACAAAATATTTTTATTAGTGTCTTATAATAATAATAGAAGGATATTTATACAAAAACATATACAAACATAATGATATTTTTAATATTAAGTACAATGACTCAAAACGTAAATGTGACCGCTAAAGGCGGACGGATGAAGTATTATTTACTCTTGTTGGTATTATATATACCTTTTTTTAACAATTTATATACTCTCTTAAGCTCTGGCTTACATTAGTTATTTGTAAGTGATATACTTCAATATATTTATTTGTGTACTGTAAAAGTAAAAATAAATAACCAATAACATCCGGCTTTTGCGACTACTGCATCGGCCCTCTATAAGTGAATCTATTTTTCAATATCAATCTTATATTCACTCTTTCAATGACATTTTTTAAATTTAAGATATTGTGACAATGCAATTAAATAGATCATTTGTTTGTGTATTTACTAATGATCAATGAAGTAGGGGGTATACATTCATGTTATATTAGGCGTAATGTATTAATACTAATGTCGCTAAAAGTATATACTTTTATTTATGTATAATAGAAGTATTTACCCATAATATATATGTCGTAAATCCTCTAAAATCTAAACCCTAAAGCACTCAACAAATATGTATATAAGATTGCCGTATTTGGGTTGTGCAAAGAGTATTCATTGGATAAACTAGAGAGTCCACAACTGTTATTCTTCGAGTGCGTTCTTGATAAACTCTTGGCCGAGAGAAACTCAAAAATATCGAGGATCTGAACTTATGATCTCACGGTCACGGGTCCACCTCTACACTATAGGTCATTTTTTACGAGACTATATCAACATATGTTGTATACAAACCTAATGTAATTTTACATATACCTCCCCTAATAGTAAAAAAATAAAAATAAAAAAGTAAAAAGTAGAAAATAAAATACACCTTATTAATATAGTACATTCCCTTTAATATGATTGATATAGCTACAAAAGTATGTAAATAAACACGGTTAGATACATATACTATTCTAGATGAACATGTTGTTCGTATAATATAATCACGTATCTTTAAACCTAATGTGGCCGTATCATATTAGTTTAATTTGATCTGAGATTGTTAATATAAGGGAAATTCATCCATGTCGAACAATGGAGTTAATCAAATTGAACATAAGAGTAAAAAACTTATTGAGTTTAACTTCGAAAAAAATCAATTCAAGTTATTATCGTTTTTGACACTCATCGTCACAATACAATTAAATATAGTATTTTTTAAACAATGAAAGCAAATGAAAATAACAAGGGTGTTTATTAAGCTGCGGGTAGTATTAAGCTGCAATCACGAACCACAATATTCATCTTCATAATTTTTTGCATTATTTGTTTAATGTCGAAAACAGAAATATACAATGAAGAAAAATAAATTATCCCAATCAAAAATTGTTGGAAGAAGTTAAAAGTTAAAGTAAATACAAAATAGAGTAAACATAAATGATATAAACATATACAGAAGCGGGCAAGGACAATATATGTGCACACTAGCAAGAAGTAAAGTCATTACTCAAAAATAGACTTTTAAAAAAAAAATTATTACTCCCTCCGTCTCACTTATTTTGTCTCATTTAGCGTAGACAATGTTTTAGGTATTATATAATTAGTAAATAATTAAGAAGTATATTAGTGAAAATAATTATGATTTAATAAAAATAATTATAGGTTAAAATTAAAATGACTAAATAATATAATTATAATAAAAAACTCATAAATTATGAAATTTAAAATATAAATAAAATATATAATTATATTTTCAAAAAAGAAAAAAACAAATCATGTAGGACGGATGAAAATAAAAAAAATAGACAAATTAAGTGAGACGTATAAAATATTTTTTTTATTTTTTTTTTACACTAGTGTGTCTAATGGGGTTAAACCCCAACCTTCAAGGATGTGAGGAAGGTAACTCAATTTGAGCTACAATCTCTTTACATTACACAAAAATAAACTTATATACTTTTTATTCAAATGAAAAAACAAAGGAGAAGACGATTTTTTTTTTTTTTTTTAAAAGAAGTAAAGAGTGAAATATCAAAACATTAGAATTTAGATAAAATGAAAACAATAATATTTGAATTTTATTACGATTCTAAAAACTCATATTTGTTTTCATCTTACATAAATCCAAATGAATTTCCGGCAAGATCCATTGAAGGAGAGTTGGTCGTCAAATGGAGAGGATTAACTTTAGCGCGAGGAAGATAAAATCCGGAGAAACAAATATAAGTAGTAGTGGGAATGACGATAAAATTACATTTTACATATATTAAAGATAGAAATGAAAAAATATATATAGATAAAGAGTAAAGTCTAAAGTGTAAATTTATATATATATATATATAAATTGTTTTATATAGTTAATAAAGTAATACTCTCTAAGTCAGCGCCAGCGGTGCTTATGTCGATCACTTTGCAAATAATAATATTTTAATATAAAAGTAAGATATGAAAAAAAAAAGTTTTATAGAAAATTTATTGAAAAAATTGTAATGTGATAAGTAAAAAAAAATAGTAAAAAAATGATTATTATGTATTAAAATAGACATAATAAAATTGTGAATAAATAAGATTGTTTTCTATAAATGAATTGCGTATAAATTTAACGGACAAAAAATAATCTAACATAATTATACAGAATAGAGAGAGTGGTATTTTATTTTATTTTATTTTATTATGCAAAATTTTATTTTCTAAAATATAGTATACATATTTATTATATTTGCATTAATATTTTTAAAAAATTTAAAAAATATTTCTACAAATATATAATATTAATATTTTAGTTTCACATTGTTAATTATATCATTTATTGTATAAAAATATTACAACCCAAAAAATATACCAAAAAACTTTTATCTAAACATATTTCAAAATCTAATATTATTTTTCAATTTTACAAAAAATGAAATTCAAAACTCTCTAAATAAAATAAATCCCAAAACTCTTGTCTAAACAGCTTAATATTGGTATGATAAAAAATTGTTTGGATTTGAATGAACCTTCTATTGTATGAAATATATGGATTGGTAACCTAATATATATGATGACGAAACTAGCATCTAAATTTCGGGGGATAAAATGTTATAATTTATTTAATATTCAACTAATAAATTTAAATAAATAATTTTGACAGAATTATATATGAATTTAGATAATTTTGGAAGGACAAATTGTATATAAATAAATAAAAATGAATATTTTTAATACTACAAAAATTATAACAAATTTGGCTTGGAAGTTTAGGGTTGACCCCAAACTTCTAGTGTAGTTCCGTCTATATAAAAGCAACAAAACTGTGGTAATCGATTGAGTTAGTTTTCTATACTAGTATAATTAGTACCTACACTTATTGTTCATTAAATATTTTTAGGAGTCAATTAATACATTAAACAATAAGTTCTATCTTATAATGTGCTTAAAACATTCGGACATAAAAATTAAGAAAAATAGTATTCCCTCCGTTCCAAAAAGAAGTATCCATTTGCTTTTTGCACATAGTTTTAGAAATATTAATATTATATTCAGATATAGTATAAATAAAGTAGAAATAACTAAAATAACCTTGTTAGTATATGTGATATAAAGGTAATAATGACATTTGTGTAATATACTGTAAATTGTAAGGGTATTTGTAATACTAGGTAGATAGTACAGTTACTGAAAAACAAGAAATATGACAAATTAAAATGGAAAAATGAATACTTTGTCGTATGATAGATGAAGTATTTATTTTTGTATTTTTTATGAAGGTAGATTTAAAATTTGTATAGTGTTAATAATATTTGTTAATAAATTTGATAAATTTGTTAATAATACATTTACATAAAAAACAATATAATAAAGTAATACTTTTTCAACTAATTTGTCCATTTTAACTAAAACACATCATATCATAATTACTAAGTAATTGTATATTATTAAAAATAATTATAATATAATATAAATTATAGATTAATATAAGATGCTTAAATAATTTAATTAAAAATTTTTTATAAATAATAAATCTTAAAATATGATTAAATGATAAAATTATAATTCATTATTATTAATTACTCAATTAAATCTAAAGTATAAAAAATCAAGATATTTTATTCCGGGAAGTATATTCAATTGAGTACATGGTCGGAACGCGTGGACGCCACACGATTCCTAATACGAATCAGCATATTCCATTTCCATATCAATATTTACCGAGACAAGAAGCAAATGGATGCTTTTGAAAAGTTTGTTATAATTTTTAAAATAATAAAAAAATAAAAAATTCAATATAGTCTAAAATAGTTGAAATCAAAATACGTTAAAAAAAAAAAATAAAAATAGAAATAAAAAATAGTTGAAATCAAAATCCGTTAAAATAAATCGCAGCCTCATTTTTACGACTTCGAATTCCTACCGTCCGATCTTCCAAGTTCTTAATCAACCTTCTAGAACTGTAGCACAATCCATATCAATATTATCTTCTAGAACCTCATTTTTAACGAAGGTTATCTCTATATCATACTTGGAAGATTTTATTTTATTGAATTTTTTTTAAAAATATTATATTAAATGTTTTTTTTAATTTTTTTATGAAGTGAAAATCTGCTGCCGCAGTCCGAAAATCCGAACCTAATATATTTTGTGAAATAAAACAAACTCCATAATATTAAATATTTAATTTTTATTATTTTAAAAATTTAATAGATTGTGAAGATGGAGCTCCCCCACCCGGGGTAGGGTAGGGTAGGGTTTTGGGGTGCGTTTGGATTGGGCTGAAAATTTCATTTCAGACACGCACTGAAATATCTTTATAATTTTGATCGTCATGTGCATATCCACCTACCTTTCTTCCTCGTCTGCGCTGCTGTCCTCGTCAAAATCAATTTTGAGAAATACCCGGGGAGGAGGAACTTTTGCTTCCACTTTCTCTTCTTCTTCCGTGAGTTTCATCCGCCATTCGCGTAATTTCTCGCTGGTTTCTGCTCCTCGGTGGAGATACGGAGTTGACTGGCGATCTCCGGTTAGTCTTAGAGCTCAGATCAGAATAGCATCTCCCGTTCCAGAGCGCAAGATCGCTACCATGGGTAGGATGAGATTCGTTTTTCGTTGATCTTTTGACTTTATTATTTTTTACTGTGTTTTGATTCGTGTGTTTTTCTGTTTTTGAGCCTGGATGCTGTTTTCTGTTTGTGATTCGGTTTTATGGATCATTTTTGTATGATTTTAGAAGTCTAGCTGGAAAGTGTGATTCTGTTCTTAGGTATATTGTAGTAATGCTGTTATGTTAATTGATGGTGAGTGGCATCGTAAAGTGACAGAAGTGTCATTGTGACGATGCGTATTTCTTTTTGTGATTTATTGAGAATCTTGGGATTCTTTTTGAGAATCAATGCCTATTTGCTTATTAATATATTTACTGGTGAATAATTGATAATGCTCTGTGTTAATGGATCAATGTAACATCTACTTGTGTTACAAATTATATTTGCCGTGGGAATTGTTGATAGATATAACGAGGGGTGAGTATTTTTGCTTTGATAGATTGATGACCAAAACGAGAAGACTTTTTGTGTTGAAATGAAATTAATTGCAATATAAGTTACTTTGTTTTTATTTTAATTTTAAACAATTCAAATATTCAATATGACATTAGTCACAATCTTGATAATTATTTTTGAAAATCAAGTGCCACAACTGCTTGGCAAATTTAGTTATGGCTCTTGCCAGGTTGATGACACAAATCTCAAAACTGATTTAAGTTATGGGGAATTGGTGATATCATGTTCAACTCATGTTTTAATTGTTTTTTCTTTCAGACGAATGCAGCAAACGCTGAACAAGATATGTGTCTAGCACATCTTCATCTTAAAAATGCAGATCTTCATTGAGTTTCTTCTACTTAGTATATTAATTTTGGGATGACATTCCAGAGTTTTAATGAGTGAAGGGCCTTCTGCCATTCACGTCTGTAGTGTTCCATTTTATGGGGAAACTTGTTTTGAGAAATAAATTGTATGTACCTTGAAATGCTTAATTTTCTTTTCATTTATTTGCTGCATTGTTGATCTTTAGTTGACTGACTTATTTTTCTGCTGCTTCTGCAGCTATTTGAATACTCAATGTAAGATCACAGCTTTCTTTAATTGTTTTATTGTCATGTTTTTAATGAGCTTACCATTTTATGCAGCTTCTGAAAATCCATTCAACGGAATTTTATCTGGTCTCCCCAAGCCTGGAGGTGGTGAATATGGAAAGTTCTATAGCATGCCTTCCCTGAATGATCCCAGAATCGGTATGTATTTTTCTTTTGTGAAATTTTCGGAGACTAAAAATACACTTGGTAATTTACTGATGTTATGATAAGATGATGCCTGAACAATATTTGTATCTTGTATTTTTGTTTATAGTACAACGAATAGATGGTTTGAGATTGTTCATTTGGCATATTGGAATATGGATGGTAGTAGACCTTTAGGATGGAAGATATTTACTTCTAAACGAATACCTCACTTTCCTTCTACTTATTATGATTTTCCGCAGATGAGCTTCCATATTCTATTAGAATACTCTTGGAATCAGCTATACGGAATTGTGACAACTTTCAAGTGACGAAGGAGGATGTAGAAAAGATTATTGATTGGAAAAATTCTGCACCTAAGCAAGTAGAGATACCTTTTAAGCCCGCTCGTGTGCTGCTACAGGTGAGACAAGTGATGAATGCTTCTGTTGAATGCTATACTTTTAACTTCCACTTTCTTGTAAAATTCTATTATATGATATTTTTATATCATTTATAAATAGGATTTTACTGGAGTTCCAGCTGTTGTTGACCTTGCTTCTATGCGCGAGGCTATCAAGGACCTTGGCAGTAACCCAGACAAAATCAACCCTTTGGTATACAACTTTTTTTTTTTTATCTGATTGGTATACAACTTTTTCCTTGTTGAATAAGGTGTTGATGTTGTAGTTGCTTTTGTGCATTGGGATTTTCACAATAAAATGTGATTATAATAAGTTTTCTCTGATTTATGGTTAAGAGAAACAATAAATATACGAGAGGTTAACTTATTTAAATTTGTTTTCCATGTGAGATATTAGTTGGCTGGTTAAGCATTGGCACTGTCAAAGATTCTACTTCTGGTGTTACTCTAACATTTACTCTTGTTTTCAATTGTGTCCAGGTTCCTGTTGACCTTGTCATTGACCACTCTGTTCAGGTTGATGTAACTAGATCAGAAAATGCTGTACAGGCCAACATGGACCTTGAATTCAAGAGAAACAAAGAGAGATTTGCTTTTCTTAAATGGGGGTCCAGTGCCTTCGACAATATGCTTGTTGTTCCTCCGGGTTCTGGTATTGTTCATCAGGTATGATTTTGGAGGTTTTATGTTGTTTTTCCGAGTGAAAATGCATAATCGGTAGTTCGGTACAGTGTGTGATTGTCCAAAATGTATATGGGAACAATGTTGTGAAAAATATCTGCAGACTCATATTGAATGCCATTCACAAAATTTTCAGGTGAATTTGGAATATCTTGGGCGAGTTGTTTTTAACACCAAGGGCATTTTGTATCCTGATAGTGTTGTTGGAACTGATTCTCATACAACCATGATTGATGGATTGGGTGTTGCTGGATGGGGTGTTGGGGGAATTGAAGCAGAGGCAACGATGCTTGGCCAGGTATCCTATGACTTGTGAGACTTTATAGATATAGCTTTTATATTTGTAATTTCTATTAGTTAATCCATAAAGATATTGTTTAATAATTTTAATGAGCATGATTACTAAAAATGGTTGTTGATGTATCTGATGTTTAATGGTGTGCTAACTTGTGCTTTGGATTGGATTGGGTACTTTGAGAACTCAATGAAAAATAGCTGATGTATGTAATAGTTTGATAGGTTTTGGATGTAATATCTTTGGGTGGGAAAAATGTATTTTACTTTAGATGGCATAATGTAAAAATGAGGATAAAACACAAGGAAATACACCCTTAGATATCCGTAAAGTGATATTTGTGTAACTTTTCCCCTTAGAAGAGCTATTTGTTATCCATGTGTGTGAATTACATGATTTAACTGGATTGTTGTTGTGGAACTAATTGGATTCCTTCTAGCTTACTTCTTGTGAACCTTTTGTTGCAAATGTCTCTTTTCCTCTCTCCCCCTTTCAGCAATCCTTGTGTTTAATTTCTCTTCTTTTTTCTTGCCCTGCAAATGTGTAGCCAATGAGCATGGTTCTCCCTGGTGTTGTTGGTTTTAAGCTGTCTGGGAAGTTGCGTGATGGGGTGACAGCAACTGATTTGGTTTTAACTGTAACCCAAATGTTGAGAAAACATGGTGTGGTTGGCAAGTTTGTTGAATTTTACGGTAATTCAGATTTTAATTTAAATGCTCAATAAGGTCTATATATTTCTCTTATGGATTGAATGATCTCTCAAGCTATTTGCCTATTTCTATCATGCACAGGTGAGGGTATGGGTCAATTATCCCTGGCAGATAGAGCAACTATTGCAAATATGTCTCCTGAGTATGGTGCTACCATGGGATTCTTCCCTGTAGATCATGTTACTCTGCAATACCTGAAATTGACTGGAAGGAGTGATGAGACGGTTGATTACTCATTTCATAACTTCTCAATTGGTTTGTTAGTAATTTCTCCACTGATTGACAGCAAGGTTCATGTACTAATTTACTTCAAATTATAGGTGGCAATGATTGAAGCGTACTTGAGGGCCAACAAAATGTTTGTTGATTACAGTGAGGTATGTAGTTTAATCTTTCTGTTTGTTATTTTGTATCTTATTTGTAAGGATGTCAAATCATATGAACATGGACTCACTAGAATGCCATCATACAGCCTCAACAAGAGAGAGCTTACTCATCTTATCTGGAGTTGGATCTTGCTGATGTTGAACCTTGTATTTCAGGGCCTAAAAGGTAGAACCTTTCTTGGCGTTTAACCATCAGCGTCATAATTGTTTCATTTTGTCTCATCATATAATCATATATATGAAATCTTGAATCAATGAGGTCTTGTTATGTGATATAGGCCTCATGATCGAGTCCCATTAAAGGAAATGAAGGTTGATTGGCATTCATGTCTTGACAATAAAGTTGGGTTCAAGGTATACTGCGAAGTTCTTAGTTAATAATGTGCAATTAGTAAAATGTGGAAAGTGCAGTAGTTCTATTTAAGTTTATCCACCTTATCTTGGTTTCTATGTTATTTCATGGTCTTTGAATTTAACTTGAACTTGTCCTTTTTTATTTTAATATCTTTAAAATACAGGGCTTTGCGGTACCAAAAGAGCAACAAGATAAAGTAGTTAAATTTTCATTCCACGGGCAGCCTGCAGAACTCAAGCATGGAAGTGTCGTCATAGCAGCCATTACAAGTTGCACAAACACATCAAACCCAAGTGTGATGCTTGGTGCTGGACTTGTTGCAAAGAAAGCATGTGAACTTGGGTTAGAGGTTTGTGTCGCACTATCAGCTGGTTCTTTTAATTTGTTGGGCCTTTGCATGCCTTTCTCTTCTTTTCTTTTTTTAATCTCTCAATATTCAGTAGTTATGTATCATCTTTATGCGATTCTGAAATCTTCTTTGATGTTTGTCAAACAGGTAAAACCATGGGTAAAGACTAGTCTTGCTCCTGGATCTGGGGTTGTAACAAAATACTTGCTCCAGAGGTATTGTAGGATTCTAGCAAGAGTTTGATTAAATTTCTTTTTCTCCTCCTCTGGCTTTGGAGGCATGCTGCAAAAGATACCTAAGTTGTGGTGTTGAGTTTGTTTTTTCAATTGTTGTAGTGGGCTACAAAAGTACTTGAACCAGCAAGGCTTTAGTATTGTCGGATATGGTTGCACAACTTGTATCGGCAATTCTGGAGATCTCGATGAATCAGTTGCTTCTGCTATTTCTGATAATGGTATTTTTTCCTTTAAAAACTTTCATTCTGGTCTATTAATTCATGGCATATGGGTTTTTTTAGAGCCCCTTTCATCCAATTTAAGCTATGGATATCAAAATCCTATATTTTAGTTTAAAGGGGACCTAAATATTTTTTTGATTGACTTTGCTCTGCTGCGGATATATAAATCCGGTTCTGAGAGAGGTGTAAACTAATAAAAATTTTGGCTGGATAGAAGAAAATGCAAATTATATACTCCCTCCGTCCCGGAACTAAATATCCATTTGCTTTTTGCACGTAGTTTTAAAAATATTAGTATTATATTGGGATATAGTAGGAATAAAGTAGAAATGACTAAAATAACCTTATTAGTATGTGTGATATAAATGTAATGGCATTTGTATAATATATTGTAAGTTGTAAGGGTATTTGTAATGTTAGGTAGATAGTACATTTACTTAAAAAAAGAAACGGATACTTTGTTATGGGACGGACTAAAATGGAAAAATAGATACTTTGTTATGGGATGGAGGGAGTATATTATTTGGCATATTTTTATTTTTATTTGAAATTTTGGTTTAAGATAAAAAGCATTTCTTTCTTATATAATTTTGAAATGAGTAAAGAACATTCTCTTAGCATCAGTATTTCATAGTATTTCAGTTCAATATGTAGAAGTTATTCTTCCTTACCCATTGCTTTTGTACTACTGAAGTCATTTGTTTGGATACACACTTCAGATCTTGTTGCTGCTGCTGTTCTCTCTGGAAATAGGAACTTTGAAGGTCGTGTTCATCCATTGACAAGAGCTAACTATCTTGCTTCACCTCCCTTAGTTGTAGCTTATGCACTTGCTGGCACGGTATGCCTTAGATACAATACAATACATATTTCACTCTAAAATTATAAATGGTGGCGCAAATTAATTTGACTCATTCTATTTAAAACATGGATTTGGCAATCTGACTACACTTATGGGCAAGTATTTCATCAGGAGTCCCTTTATTCTACTTTGGTTAAATTTTCTCAGTGGTGCTGTATTCTAGGTTGATATTGACTTTGAGAAAGAGCCGATCGGGACTGGGAAAGATGGAAAAAGTGTTTACTTCAAGGATATTTGGCCTACCAGTGAAGAGATTGCACAGGCAACTTTTATTCCTTCACTTATTTTCTCTAGAAACAAAGCTGGATTATGTTATGCTCAAATCAAATTCGCACAATCCTTGTAGGTTGTTCAATCTAGTGTTCTCCCTGATATGTTCAAGAGTACTTATGAAGCAATTACAAAAGGTAACGAATTCTGGAATCAGTTGTCTGTGCCCTCATCTAGCCTTTACCAGTGGGACTCAAACTCAACATATATCCACAAGCCTCCATATTTTGATGGCATGACAATGGACCCACCCGGTTCCCGTGGAGTGAAGGATGCCTATTGCTTGCTGTTGTTTGGAGACAGTATCACTACCGATCATATCTCCCCTGCCGGAAGCATCCACAAAGACAGTCCTGCTGCAAAGTACTTGATGGATCATGGAGTGGAGAGGAAAGATTTTAATTCTTATGGTAGTCGTCGTGGCAATGATGAGGTGATGGCTAGGGGTACCTTCGCTAATATCCGTATTGTAAACAAGCTGCTGAATGGTGAAGTAGGCCCAAAAACTGTTCACATTCCTTCAGGGGAGAAACTCTATGTGTATGATGCTGCAATGGTAAGATTTTACGTATCTAGGTTTACTCTCTCAAGAGCACACACAAAGAAACATTTATAGCCTACGCTGTCTGCAGTTCTTGTACTGACTTAAAATATGTATTATATCAGAGATACAAATCAGCAGGGCAAGATACTATTGTTATTGCTGGAGCAGAATATGGGAGTGGCAGTTCTCGGGACTGGGCTGCCAAGGGACCAATGTTACAGGTTAGTGGCTTTCTTCTTCTGATTATGTCGATATGTGATGTCAAGCTACACATCGGGCTGCCTGTGTTTTGTGTTCTTAAGTTTGGCTATCTTTTCGTGATTAATTAGGGAGTGAAAGCAGTGATTTCCAAAAGTTTTGAGAGGATTCATCGTAGTAACTTAGTTGGAATGGGTATCATCCCACTTTGCTTCAAGGCTGGAGAGGATGCAGAAACACTTGGCTTGACAGGTCACGAACGCTATACCATAGACCTCCCAACAAAGACAAGTGATATCAGGCCCGGACAGAATATTGTTGTGACTACAGACAGTGGAAAATCTTTTACATGTACCTTACGATTTGATACAGAGGTATGCGGTTGGCACCTTGTCCCTAAAAGTTGAGATTTCAATTGCACCAAATATTAGGGGTTTACGTAATATGACAAGTATATATTCTACAACATATATTTCCAAAGGCATATAGAAAAAAATTGATGTTACAGCTTGTATGGCGTTTAATCATGTTTTTCTATTGCTTCGTCTCAGGTGGAGTTGGAATACTTCAACCATGGAGGCATCCTTCAGTATGTCATTAGGAATTTGGCCAAAAAATGAGGTCAGTACAGACAGACAATAAGCATCTTATCTTGGTGGTGTTGTTTCAATCTGCGCAAGTGTTGTTTGTTTGTTTATCCCTTCTGGATGCTGTTTTTCGACTTGATGAATAATTGTTGTTTCCTTGACAAATCACAAGAAACCAAACCAAACCAAATCAAAGCTTTGTTATCGATTCATAAATGCACCTCCGCACGTACCTGTTATCTACTATCGTTTTGCCCAGATGAATTTGCTGTGCTGCGCTGCGCAGTATTTAACACTTTATGTGTTGTTGGCAGTTATCTGTATTAAGTAAAGGGTAGCAGATATCTATATTTACTGTCACATGAATTGCTGAATAAAAACACCTACCTATGCTTTATGAATGCATGTTATAGGCTGAAATCAAAGGTAGGTTATTTTGTCTTTGAGTATGACATGTGTTGTCAATTTTGTGTTAGTATAATAAAAATACAACACATAAACGACCAATATATGTAATAATCAAAGACAACATAATTTACCGTTGATTTCAGCGTGTTAAAGTGCATTCATACAACACAATTACATGTTTATTTAACACAACTCGTGATGTGTTATATAAAAGCTTATGTTGTTTTTATTGTTCGAATGTGCTAAATTGGGCAAATCAAACATGGTGTTTATAAAAGCATTGTAATTATAGGTTTCTGCACACCCTTACTGGCTTTGAAGTTTATAAAAGCAGATATACATTTGATGATGACGATGACCAGTTGAATTGAATTGAATGTTTTTTTTTTTTTTTTAGCAGTTCTTTATTTTATTTTATTTTTTATTTTTCATTGTGATGCAATTTCTCAGTTTTCAAAATTTCCTCCAATGTATAACTCAGATAACCAAAAACTCATAATCTAAGTAAAAAAAAAAAAAGAAATCAACAAAACTTCCAAGAGCAAAACAAAATTCAATTGACAGTGCCTCACTATGCAATATTATTATTCCAAATCAACAAGGGTATAACACCAAAAGGGTTTTTTTCTTTACCAAAAAATAAAAAATAAAAAATAAAAAATAAAAATTATAATATATATTTATTATTTTTATATTATTTATACAATTTTTTATATTTCATATAAAATTTTATTTTCAAACCCAATTGCAAAACAAACACACAATTACAGTTGAAGCAGTCATATGTAGAAATAATACCAAAAAAAAGACACTGGAAGAGGTATGGCTGAAGGAGGCAGCCATTGTGAGGGTAATTATTATGATTAATAATTTTTTTACTTTTTACTTTTCATTGTTTAAAAAATATCAAATATTTATTTTCTACTTCATCTAAATAAAATAAATCACATAGTAAAAATAAATAGACAATCCACACATGTTCATGTTACTTTCAGTTCCCTCTAACCTTTTTTTTTTTTTTTTTTAATAATTGTTTCCTAGTGTTAGTTCGTGAATCAATTCCTTGCCAACATTTGCAGTTCACATCCATATGGATATATACTTTTCTTGCATGAAATGCTAAACCCTACGTACATTTAAATACACACAGAGACACGAACAGAGAAAGTATTTGGAGAACAGAGGAAGAATTGAAGAGGGAGGCAACCATGGGATTTCTTGCAACCATCGCCAGACATTTGGACACACTTGTTGGGTACGTACGTAAACTTGCCGCTGGGGAGATCAAATGTTTAGATGTGTTTTGAATGTGATATTATAATTCATTAATATATTTGTTTGTTTGTTTGTTTATTAATTATATTACTTTTGGATGTTTTCTTTTTATTATGTATTAGGATCTATTAAATTCCAAACACGAATGGTTGTTTAACTTCTTTGTACATTAACTATGCACCTTTATATTTCACATATATAATGTCCTTTTCGTTTTATAATTTTATTTTTTAATATAATATTTTTAAAAAAGAAAATTAGAAAATTGAAGAAAAATTGTAAAAATAATAAACTCACACAATAATATATGTTGAGGAATATACTGTGAAAATAAGATAAATCTTTAATACTAAAATAATATAGAAAATTAAAAACATACTATTTACGTAATTCGAAATAAATTTCTATGTTCACCGAAAAAGCTGTTAGAATTTTACTAACTAAAATAGTCCCGAGTACAATATTCAACACCTAAGGAATCCATAAGTACTAAACCACTAACCAAACGGCAAGATTTATGTATACGGCTGAGTTGATGTGAAAATTGATAGATATTTAATTTGATGTTTTTGAAAAAAATATTTATGAATAATAGAAATAAAAACAAACACACCCTTATATGCGATCACTGTTGTTATTTATTTATCTACTTATTATTACTTGATGAAATTAATTGATATATATTTCTTGTTCTTCTATTGCTTGGGGAAACTGCCAAATGATTCCTTACTTGTTATTGAACAGGCCTGGAGTAATGCTTCTGTATCCCCTGTAAGAACATCATCATCATGCTTTAATTCTTTAATCGAATATACATATGAATATATATATATATATATAATACATACAGATATGCATCGATGAGAGCGATAGAGAGCCCTTCAACACTAGACGACCAACAATGGCTGACCTATTGGGTCCTCTATTCTTTCATTACACTATTTGAGCTTTCTTTTTGGAAGATCCTTCAATGGTACGTAATTCCTTCTCTTCCTACTATTATTATTATTATTATTATTATTATTAAATGTTTTTTCTTTTTTTGGTTATTAATATGTGGATTATAAGTGTGTAATGATATATTTGTAATTTAAGTAAAAGTTAAAAGACAGGGAAAAAATCATTTTTGTCCCAATATAACCAAAATTCATTAATTTTGGTCTCAATATAAAAATCTTATCAATTTTGCTCCAAATATAACCAAAACTCATCATTTTTGTCCCAATATAACCAAAACTCATCATTTTTGTCCCAATATAACCAAAACTCATCATTTTTATCCCAATATAACCAAAACTCATCAATTTTGATTCCAATATAAAATTTTTATCAATTTTAGTCCCAATATAACCAAAACTCATCATTTTTGGTCCAAATATAATCAAACCCTATCTTTTTTGGTCTCACTGTCAACAAACCGACGGAAAATGCTAACGTAAAAAGAAATCAAACCTTATATTTATATTTGAAGAAATTACACAATCTTGCAAGTTCAAGTCAGCATTTTTCATCAGTTTGTTGACGGTGGGACCAAAAAAGGATAAAACTTGATTATATTGAGACCAAAAGTGATGAGTTTTGGTTATATTTGGACTAAAATTGATAAAATTTTTATATTGAGACAAAAACTGATGAGTTTTGGTTATATTGGAATCAAAATTAATAAAATTTTTATATTGGAATCAAAATTGATAAATTTTGATTATATTGAGACCAAAAATGATTTTTTTAGTATTAGTGTATGATTATTTTACTAAAGTAGGAAAAAATAAACCAACGAAAATAGTAAAAAAAATATTTTGAATTGAGATCAAGAGAGAGTACTATTTTGTCCATAATAAAAGTATGACGGTAGTTACTAGAGCTAGCAATGAATCGATTTGGGTTGAATTTTTAAATGAATGAAATTATTCAATCTTAACTCAAACGGTTTAGTATCGTGTTATATTTGTGTTGATCGATCCATATATATATAATTGAGTTGAAATATTTTATCCAAACTCAATTATTTCATGTGAGATTATGGCGTCATATTAAGCTATAATGTAATATGTAGCTAATTAGTTTAGATTATTTAAATTTTGCTGAATTTAAATTAATCTATGGCTCTTTTTTTTTTAAATAAAAAATAAAAATTATTAGTTTAAAATTATTTTATATATAAAATTAATATATTATAATCAGGTGTCAGTGTTGTGGTCGAGTTAATGACCTCAATCTTAACCTGATCCATTGGATTCCTGTTGATCCGTAAATATAATTGAGTTAAAATTCTTGATTCAAACACAACTATTTCGATCAAATTCGTGTCAGGTTGTCATATGATATTTAATTTTTGCAATGCAGGCTTCCGTTTTGGGCTTACGTGAAGCTGTTATTTTGCGTTTGGTTAGTGTTGCCGAGCTTCAACGGGGCAGCTTACATATACGAAAACTTTGTAAGGAAATATGTAAAGATTGGCAGTTATGTGAGCACAGATCATCCTCAAGGCCAGAGGAAAGTTCTTCAGATGATGAGCCTCGACGCAAGGAAGTCGGTCGAGAGGTACATCGAAAAGTACGGTCCAGAAGCCTTCGACCGAGTTGTCAAAGCGGTAATATATATATTAATTTTTTCGATTCGATTATATATATAGAACAAGTTAGTAATTGTGATGAGGAAGTAATTTGTGTGTTTAATTTGCAGGCAGAGAAAGAAGCAAGAAAGCAATCATAAAACCATGGTAGCTTAGTGAAAGATGCATGGGGCATATGAAGAAGTTCTTTCATTACAATATATATATATATATATATATATATATATTTGATTGAATTTCTTAATTATTTCTAAAATTAATGGCTGGCTTGTAAGACCGTATTGTTATTTCATGCCTTGAATTTTTATTTGGCTATTCCATCTTATAATATAAAGCATGCTCGTCTTTAATTTATGTGGGCTCGATTATTCGAGAATAATAGTATATAGGGTAAACTAGTCCCATAAGTGAAAATTTTTTGCTGTTTTAGTCCTCCGGCGTCGGAGACGCCCGCGTGGCTCGCCAGAGGTGACGTGTCCGCCAGGTCAGCGACACCTGGCGGACACGTGGATTTTTATTTTTTTTTTTTCATTTTTTTATTTTGTTAATTTTATTTTTTTAATTAGACAAAATAAAAAAATACACAAAAATTTAAAAAAAAAATTAAAAATAAGTTTTAAAAAAAATAAAAAAAATTAAAAAATACACGTGTCCGCCAGATCAGCGACACTTGGCGGACACGTCATCTCCGGCGAGCCACGTAGGCGTCTCTGGCGCCGGAGCACTAAAACAGTGAAAATCTTTCACTTATGAGACTAGTTTGCGACATGCTCCACTTACAGGACTAAAGTAATAAGAGGGTCCAGTTACGGGACTAAAAAAACAGTTTACCTATTATATATTAAGCACGTTCACAATCAGGCAACAAGCTTATCAAAAATTTATTTTATTTTGGATTAACTTGGAGAAAATGACTTGCATCAAAAAATTACTCTCCTCGTCTCGCAAATAAGACAACATTTGCTTTTTGCACAAAAATAAAGAATTAATAATATTGATATAATAAGTGTAAATTTAAGGATATTTATAATATCTAGTATGATTAAATTAATTTAATAAAAAAATGTATAACTAACGTAGGACAATCGAAAATGATAAAATGTAGATGTAGTTGCAGGTTAGAGGGAGCATCTTTTTATTACGACTAGCTAAATATGGAATTTTGGACAGAACTATCAAGCCATATTCCCCTATGTATACATTAAAACTAAATAATTTGTATATATAAATATATTATATTACTTCCTCTATTCCAATACAATAGTCCAGTTTACTATTTTTGTCCGTCATAAAACAATAGTCGTATTTTCATAAATAATCATATCACTATAAAACTGTCCTACTACAAAGGGCAAAAAAGTCTTTTACCCACTACCAATATAATATCAATATTTCTTAAATTTCGTGTCAAACCCAACCCAGACTATAGTTCTAAGATGGAGGGAGTATATAATATAAATAAATAATAGGCACCTATTTAAATTAAGTTTTGGGTGAGCTTTTGTTTCGCCCGATCCAGGGCCGGCCTGCGTTGATGGCTTTATTAACCTAACCTTGTTTTCTTATAATACTTTCAACAATTTGGTGTTGGGTAAATTTCCGGCCGAACCTAAAACTCATGATCTCACCGTCACAAGTTCAACCCCTACACCACCGGGCCATCCCTTAGGGGACTAGAACATGATATTCTTCATCTACCGAAGTGTATAAAAGAAAGTTGAGAAATGAATAATATATAAGTGTACAAGACTGGGGTAAGTTGGAACTTTTGTGGGCATTTTCCTTGTTAAATTGTTATAATTTATAATTTAGACCTTTAACAAAATTGAAAACAACATTTACATATAGACATATATTAAACATACAAACATGACCACCAAACTAAATATAATATAATATATTATATATATTATATATATATATATATATATATATAAAAGAATTAGTGAAACAAGTGTCAATAAGAATCGACGTGCCTCAATAAACACTGGCTGCTGCCATACGTGATCTCATATAAATAAAAACGCGTTTTCCAGTCTGAATCAATCAATAATTCCAATTGGCAGCTACCTGAAAACACGTTTATTTATATACATACTTCACCAACCATGGTTTTGACAAAACTGAAAAATAAAAAAGTTTCCACTGATACATAAATACATTCTACCTAGAACTAAAAAATCTTCCATTCTCCCAGCTGTTTGCAGTTGTAATGATAATAATAAAACATACATAGTTTAATGTAAAGTGTCAACCATGACCAACTCCATATGCTTTCCTCTCTCCTCTCTCTCTCTCTCTCTCTCTAATATATGTATATATATCGACAAACATTCCCTCCCACCATCAAATTAATGTTGAAGATCCCATCAAAATTTAGATATTCCCCACCAAGCCAATCATACTTAAATTTTTTTTTTTCTTGATAGATAGGGCAAGATCGATCTAAAATTAAGAATGATGCACAAGATTTTAATTCTAGTGACCTTGATCATGGCTGTTGTTACATCACCAGCTGTAGCCGATTTCAATACGGATGTATCCATATCGTGGGGTGGAGGGCGAGCCAAGATCGAGCCGGGTGGCCAAGTCCTTACCCTCACTCTAGATCAATTCTCGGGCTCCGGCTTTGAGTCGAAGAACTCCTATTTGTACGCCAGGTTCGACATGCAACTTAAGCTCGTGCCGGGTAACTCTGCTGGCACCGTTACAACATTCTTTGTAAGCAAAACATGCACCAATACTATATATATAAACAATTAATCAATATATATATATAGATGGGGATGGATTCTTTGTTGATCAGGTCAAATCAACACTATTCTCATTTAATTACAACATATGTTTCTAACGTAGAACTGCATATATATATATATATTATAGACATGGATTCTTTGCTTATTAGGTCAAATCAGCACGATGTTCATTTGATTACAACATATGTTTCTAATGTAGAACGGTAGATTTTTTGCTGATTAAGTCAAATCAACATTATGTTCATTTGATTACAAAATATATTTCTATCATAGAACTATATATACATATATATATATATAGATTTTTTACTGATTAGATCAAATAAGTACTATGCTCATTTGACTACAATATATGTTTCTAACATAGAACTGTCCGGATCAAATCAGTATGGTGCTGATCACTAATCTAATAATTCAGAGGATCCTCTCCATACATAAATATATTTGATTTGATCATGTAATTCTTTGATGATTAAGAATATTGTTTAATTTGTTTGTAGTTAACATCTCAAGGCCCCGGGCACGATGAGATTGATTTCGAGTTCTTGGGGAATTCGTCGGGGCAACCTTACACGGTGCACACGAACATATATGTGCAAGGAGTTGGCAATAGAGAACAACAGTTTCGGCTGTGGTTCAATCCGACCGAGTCTTTCCATACTTACACCATTCTTTGGAACCCTCAACGGATAATGTACGTAAACAAACTCGTCGATATCTTCGATATAATATTATTAATTAGTTAGCTATACAAGACAATACAATATAATTAAATGCATTTACTTATATCCATCCTATTAATCATAAAAATTAATGAAGTATATTTTATATTCCTTCATTAATTTTTATCACTTTTACCTTCCTAGTTGAAATTATATGTGTAAACTAACGCCTCAAGATTTTAAAAAATTCTCAAACTTTTGATCCATAACATATTTCAATTTGATCAAGTATCAAATTGATATTGGAATTTTTTTACTTGCTTTTATTTTAATAAATGAAAATTGCATAAAACTTTTTGAATCATGACACCAAATTTTTTGATCAATGTTTGAATATAGTCGCCATTGTGTGTGTATAAATATGAATGCATATACTGGTTTCACATACAGATCTTGATCATAATTCTTTTCTCAAAATCTTAACATTTTAGGCTTAATTTGTTGATTTGACAATTTTTTATTTTTTTATTTTTAAAATATTAGCAGTATATTTTATATATAGCAAAATAGAAAAGATTGATAAAAAAATATATTATTTTTCCATAGTTTTTCTTTTTTTTATAAAAAATTATTTTTTCATAGTTAATTTCTATATAAAATATTGCATTCAAACACTACTTTTAAATTTATAAAATTTATATATTAAGGAACCAGAACCAAAAGCAATACATATTTCCTATTTAAAACAATATTTTATATAATATTTTGTGAAAAAATAATATTTTTACTAGGTTTTGATTTGAATTTTATTTTGAATAATATTTTATAAAAATTAATTACTTTTATTGAAAATCATATAAATTAAATAGTGATAATTTTGATTTCAAATATAAATTGAACACATTTACTATTTACTCTTATGAAGCATCTTGTTAAAATACTGTTTAAAATTAAAATAAAAAATTCAAATTCAAATTTAAATTAAAGTATTGACCAAACAAATTCCACTCAACTTTTGTTGTCACTATTTTCAAGCCTAACCTAAACCAAAGCATAGGCTATTCTAAAAATTAAATGTTTTTATAGATAACAATGTAGTAAATTGATTAAAATTATGATACACTTTGTAGTATACTTTTCAATATTGAATTAATGAACAGTACTATGGGATACTAAGGTTCGTAAATATTAACTAGTCTATGTCGACAATGTTACAAATTAACAGCAGACATTTACTATATGCACATAAATTATTAAATTAACCAAGTACCAATATTTAAGCTGTGTATTAAAAATATGAAATTAGGATGAAGAAATAACTATCATTCTATTCAAAAATGAATTAAAATAGATTATGACATATTGCAAAAAAGATTGTAAACAAACATACATTGAATTAATTAAAATATTATTAACACTTTCATGTATTAATTTTTATCTTTGTTTTTTATGTTCCATTATATAAGCTTGTCCCTCCGTTTGACAAATTTATTCTCTTTCATTTTATTTTACTCGTTAAATTTATCTTATTACTAATTTTGACAAAATCATTATTCAACACTTATTTTGCAATTCACTACCTTAGTTACTTTCTTTTTCCTTATTTATTTAATTTCTAACTAAATGTTAAAAAATACCCACACTTTTTTTTCTTCTTTTTTTTTTTTACTTTTATCACATTGTAAATAAAATATTCATTTTCTCTTAATATCCGTGCCGGATACAAATATTCTAATATACCGGTAGGAGGGAGTATAAAAGCGAAATTAAATAAATATATTTACTAAAGTTGTTACTGATTGTGCTGATTAATTACTTAACATAAAATAAATTTTGGGTGTGTTTGTTTTGGGGATTGGATTTTAAATACACTTTTATCCCATTTTTTTTTCAAAAATATCAAATCAAACACCTATTTTTATTTTTTATATTATACTAAAAATCAATTTTATATTCAAAACATCATATCAACACCTATATATTTATATCACACCATGCCACTATTCAAATTCAAAATTTTTACTATTCAAATCTCAACTCAAAATCCAAATCCCCGAACAAACACACCTAAGAACAATTTTAACCTATTTGTTGAAAATAGAAGATACTATTATTAAACTAAATCTCACATTTATCTTTTGAGTCCTAAAATATTCTTATAGTTTATTTTTTTACAAATATCATTTTATTACTATTATAAGACATTAAAGTATTTTTCCAATTTTTATTACTTTTGATATAATAATTAATATTCAAAGATCAACATGCAAACTGTTAGATTGGATGGAGATACCGCTAATTAAAACAGTAAAAATAATATATATATATATATATATATATATGAGCAGGTACATGGTGGACAACATCCCAATTAGGGTTTTCAACAACAATGCAAACCAGGGCATCCCATTCCCGACGAAACAGCCGATGAAGATGCTGGCCAGCCTATGGAATGCTGACGATTGGGCAACCCAGGGCGGGCGGGTGAAGACTGACTGGACCATGGCGCCATTCACAGCCACCTACAGGAACTACAATGCCCAGGGCTGTGTCGTCAACGGGACCTGGAATTCCTGCGGGGGCAATATGAACAGCATGCCATGGCAGACGCAGGGATTGGACAGCAATGGCAGGAACCGTATCCGATGGGTGCAGGAGAAGTACATGATCTACAACTATTGCACTGACTACAAGAGGTTTCCCCAGGGGCTCCCTAAGGAGTGCAAGCTCCCCAGGTTTTGATTTTAATTTAATTTATATATGATCGATCCATGGATTCATGTGCAGCTGGTTTTGGAGCTAGCTGTATAGCTTCTGGTTTTTAATTTTTGATTCATTCATTTTTCTCTGCACCTTTCTTTCATGTTTTGTTTTTTGAATTTTATCATGTTGGGAAATAAATAAAACTGGATATGGTTTGATGGAAGGGAGATTGTGATTATTGTGTATTCTGGTCAAGTTGGTTTTATACAAATATTAAATCAAAAGTGTGCTTGTGTATTAGTTACTATATATGTATATTATTTGATGGAGGGCATTTACAATTCATTTCAATGTGATCAAGAAATTAAAAGCAATCAAGAAATTAAAAGCAACCTTTAGTGTCGTCTCAAGATCCTATGGTCAAATATGGGCATGGATCAACATATGATATACAGGTGACCAATATATATTTATATATATTTCAGCATATTTATAATACAATCTATATATTATAACTCAACATATGTTATTTTGTAATACAACTATGCTGGTCATCCATATGATATATCACTACAAGAAAATATCATTTTTGTAACGAGATTTTTTCGTTTTTAAATTCACTTTTTCCGTTACTAATGATATTAGAAATGAAATTAATGATGGAATTACGTTAGCTACGTGATCTTTAGAGACATAATTCCGTTACAAATATACTATTTTTTTGTAGTGTATGCTCTTCCAATCAAATTAGCACATGCTGACTTGACCGGACCAACACAGGATCTGAAATATAGTCTTAATGATTAATCAAAATTTTAGGAAAAAATAAGGTTAGTGGATTGCTACACAACCCACAATAGAAGATGTCCGAATGCGTTGCACAGGATTATTCGAAGATGCCAAAATTGGATCATAAATTTATCGAGCATAGACAACCCTCCATCAATACAGGGTGCAAACCTTCCAAACAAGTGCCTAGAAGGATCAACTAAAAGTTGATGCCACAAATTAAAGATTAAAAAGAAAATGTTAGATGCTAAATTTATCAGGCCTTGTAGATATAGGAAGACGAAGAGTGGGGGCTGCAAGAAGAAAAGGCCCATCATCTGTTAGGTGTACGCCGTTGCCAACAGCCTATATGACTTTGAATACCTAAATTGGGCTTGGACCTTAAATTACTTTCATTTTTATTGTTATTATTATTATTATTATTATTTTTTTTTTTTTGAGAGATATTTGGAAATGAGATAAGATTGGAAGTTAAAATAATATTGATGGTGAAATATTTGGGGGATTAGATGAGATTAGGAATTAATAATATTGATGGAGGAGAATTTTGGAGATTGGATATAATTAGGAATTAATATGGAGATTTTGGGAATTAGAGTATTGGATGTTAATATATATTTGAAAAAATTGACAGATCTTTGGTTTCGAAACTCTGTGTAATTTTTTATATGTTTTAAAAATTGCGTGACACCCTTTCACATTTTAAAAAAGATTGCATAAAATTATCGGTCATTTACACTTAACAGAGCATCATGATCACGTGCCAATAATACGAAATTATATGAGAAAGTAAGATAATAACCAACCGATTTCCCTATTCTACCCTTGTATGATGTGTGTTACAAATTTATCTCCTTAAATAAAAAAAATAAAAATAAAAAAAAAAATTCTCCACTCTTGATTGAACTGAATCGATAATTTCTCTATGACGAAGAATACCCATTATTAATCCAAGTTTGTACCCATTAAATTTCGATATTTCTAAACTCTTTCTAGGTGTGGATTTTGTATTTTTATTTCAAAATTTCGTTATTGGCCCCAGTTGGTCGGACTAGTAGGGTTCGATATTTTCGTCGTTTATAGGAGCCAATCGAAATCACTATATTTTTGGGTTGCCATATAACGAGTTTTGCTTTTTTTGTTTTAGGCTATTTCTTACTGCAGTAAGAAATAAACTTTGGTTTCTATATAAATATTGAATTAGAATATGTGTCATTGCTTACTCTACATCAGAACAATTGCGGTTACATTGGTTATTGATCTAGGTGTGCTTTAGTTGTCCACTGCACTTCATTGTGATAATCAAAGTGTTATAAAGATGACATATAATGATATATTTTATAAACGTAGTTGTTGAATATATTATACATTGAAAGAAATATTGAGACTTACCTAATTTACAAGTGTGAATTTATTACTCCACTTAATATAACCGTTAATTTTGAATTGAAATCTTGGATCATTTCTTAACATCATTAAACATATTGAATTTAACTGTCATTTCATTCATTAACATATTGCTCATAGAAATGTATAATTAATTCCAAACTCCTCCGCAAATTAAGCTGCAGATATATTCACTAAATTTCTTCTTTCTGACTGCAAATTTGAAGAGGTGTTAGTTATATTGTTATTTTATTGTTATTATTATTGTTACAAAAATATTATTTCTTGTTTTGACATATGTTACTAACTTTTTAGGGTATCGAAACTCGAAAACAACCTAAATATGGAATGCAGAAGACTGCCGTTGAAGACCTTTTGTATGGTCTATTCGTGCCCCTTTGCACATGTTTTTTTCTGGACATGGATTGTCAAACATAGAGAATGTCAAGGACAAGACAAAACAATGTTGCAGGTTTGTAGTGGCGCATTTAATATCCCAACGTTGGTTAGTCAAACACTAAAGCAGTGTATTTGTTTGTATACGCAGACTGTGAAACAGTCTTATAAGAAGAGTGAAAACAGATTGAAAAATGTGTTTGAATCTAGATAGAAAAAAAAAAAATGTATTTTCTCTCCATCTTTTCGTGTTTATTACTCGTTCATCTGAAAAAGAATCTAAAATGTTATGAAGATTTGAAGTTCATCTCAAGAAAGAGAAAATAGATTTTTAATAGGAGAAAAAAATCAACCTGTACCCCGCTTACTCTCAGTTAGACTATAGTCTTCTAGGATTAGAACTGTGGCTTAATCCCTAATTTCTTATACATTGCGATGTAAAGAAGAATGTAGGAGGGGATAACTTTGAGGGTCTGTGTTTGTTTGAGTCATTGGGTCTCTTGTATAGCTGATGATAAATTTAGTGGTAGTCTCCTGGATTGGAATCCTCTAAATGTAGGTAGTTACACCTAACTGGGTTAACAAATCTTGTGTGCTGTTTGTTTTATGTTTGATCTGTGACACGTACAAGAGTTATAACTACCACGTGTTTTTGATGTGCAAACTTTTTGTGATTTTCTATTTTCGCTGCCATTAAAGTCAGATGAGTTGGCTCTTACGTGTACGTGTTCCAGACCATGTCCCAATTATTTTAGGCCCAACCAATCAAGTTCCATTTTATATTTATATTTGTGTGTATACATATATATATATATATATATATTCATTTACAATTGATAGTTTTCACTCCAAAAATTCACTAGTACTAATACGTAAATTGAGTCCGAATGGAAACGTTTATAACGTGATAATATTGATATATAACAACGCATATGACATTGTGTTGGAATTAATTATGGAGATGCAGAAGCAGAGTTGGTGTGGTTGGACTATTCAAAGGTGGTGCGTTGCATGCAAAATTCATGCAGACATCTTTCATTTTTTTTAAAAATTTTGATTGGAATGATGAATGCATTATGAAAATTCATTCATGCATTCTGTTCTATATATCATTTATAAATCCATTCACCAAACTCCCTTAGACAACATTTGCATGATCCCAACATATCTAACGCATACAAATCTTGTTCACCAAATTGTTTGATTGTTGTTTGAAATTTATTTAAAATAATGTGTTGATTTAATATTTTATTTAAATAGTATATTTATGTGATATTTTGTAAAAAAAAAAATATTGTATTTTTTATTGAAATTTGTACATAATTAAATAATATTGATTTTAATTTGAAATCATAACGGAATTGTCTTCTAATTAATTACATTATTATAGTACTATATATTAATTAGTAGGGGATAGTTATTTTTTATTTTTATTTATGGTTTGTATGCGTATGTCACTATAAGAAAAAATTATTTTTGTAACAAAACTTTTTTTTTTTCTCTAAATCTACTTTTTCCGTTACTAATGACATTAGAGCCAGAATTAGGAATAGAATTACGTTAGCTACGTGGACTTTAGGGATGGAATTGTGTTACAAATATATTATTTTTTTTTATAATGGTCTTTTGAGTTTTGCTATTTTTTAAACACAATAGTTGTGTTATATAGATGCTATCACGGTGTCTTGTTTGAAAAATAAATATTGTATGATGTAATTTTGAAAAAAAAAAAAAAAAGAAGGAAAAACTCATTAATAAATTAAATAATAAAAAGTACTTGGTATGATCTATATTATGATTGAAAATCAGTATATTTTGACTGTTTTGGGATTAAAAAATCAGGTAAAAATAGTTTTTTTTTTTTTATAAAAAAATATGATATTTGAAGAATATTAAATTAAATATAATAAAATATATTTTAATTTAAAATTAAAACCATACATTTGAAATAAAAATATATATATATATATACAACGTAACAGACAAGCAGACCTTCATTTACTGCAGGCCATAAAAAGAAATTGTCGCGAATAACAATAAAGATATACTATTATGCATTGCATGCATGTTTGGTTTTCAGAGCATTTATTGATTTTAAACTAAGGAAAAAAAAGTCAACGGTTGAGCAGTAGCAGTAATTCTTTCGTTAAACCTGTGTCTTGGCTTGTCTGGCACACGTATATCCTCCCTCCTCCTCCGTCGTCCAAATTTATGCTCACTTTCTTTTTTGAATTGTCATAAAAAATAAAATTCTTATTTTTTTTAATAAAAAATCATTATACTTTTGTATTTTTTTACTATAAAAGAAAAAATAGCAATTATTATTTACTTTTATTAAAACTCGTGTCTGATGAAGTAAACACATATTTGCATGACGGATGGAGTATAATTTATCTATTAATTATTATTCCAAATAAGCCACATTTTATTTTTTATTTTTATTTTTGTTTTTCCTTTATAATAAAATAATAAAATTAATGGCAATTGCATATATATATATATATATATATATATATATAAGGGCATTGAATTTGATTTCGCGTTTCTGAGATGAACTGATCACACAATATCAGAGGTTCCCGAGATATATATGTAGTTGCCCTGCTGTCCACTCGCCTATCTAGAACTTTCTATTAATTTTATATTATGGAAAATTAACAATAATATTTATTTTAATTTAATCTCCACCAAAATCTATATATAATAATCATATTTCCACCAATCTATATATTATTTGGCGGCTGTTATTTGTTTGAATAAAATAAATCTAACACTATATTGACATTAGATAGTGTATTAATACAAATAACACATAACATATTAAACAAAAGTATATAATTGTTGTGGGATAGTTTGATGATGTAAGGATTGGACTTGTAACCATGAGGTTATGCATTCAATAAATATTTTAATTGAATATAATTGTAATTTTTAACCACACTCGATTTGAAGCCGAATTAAACTCATTCACTTTTATTATTCATGATTTTTTTTTTCTATAACCTAAAAATATTATTATTGTTATTTTTTTTCAGTAAAATATTATACTACTACTTTCTATATATATATACTCCCTCAATCCCAAAACTATAGTCTTATTGTGTTGGACACTAGATTTTTAAGAAATATTGATATTATATTGGTGGTCGGTAAAAAATATAGATAAATGATTTTTTTGCTCTTATGAGTATATTAGTGTAAAAAGTAGTGACAATTGTGTAATAATAATGAAAAAATAAGGATAATTTTATGGTGATATGGTTATTTAGAGAAATGAGACTATTGTTTTAGGACGGACAAAAATGGTAAATAAGACTATTGTATTGAGACGGATAGAGTAATATATATGAATAACAAAAAAATAACTAAAAGTACTCATAAAGAAAAATTCGAACACATTTTTAGGCTAAGGGGTGAGTATTAAAACTTAAAAAGGTGTCGGAGATGCTAACCTTAAATTCATCTATTTATTTGATTGTTTTGTGGGGCCTAACAAAGTTTGTCTGCAACGGATTGAGTTTGAACTTTCAGATGGAAAAATGAGGTTAGATAAAAAATATATCAACGACACACCAATTTGTTGAAAAGTAAAAAGAAAGAGAAAAAAAAAAAAAAAAAAAACAACTTACTTTGAATTTTTTAAAATAATATTAAATATATATATTATATCAAACACTTATGTTTTTAAATTAAAAATATTATATTTTGAATTTTGTCTTTGACTATTTACAAAAATCCATGAAACTCCAATCTTTGAAACTGTTAGTATAAAAAGAGCCTAAGTCAGTGAACAACATTTAACCTACCAACACTGCTCACCTATACATGGATCAGAAAGAAAAAGAATTACAATATATATAATTTTTTGGTTTATTCGTATAAATATGATCACACGCATCATATACGCGTGAATTAAATAAAATTAGTAAAAAAAAGACAAGAAAAAACAACAAATAATTTGAAAATATACATTAATTTACATATCTATACATGCTGTATTCATTTTGCACCTCATTTTATCTTCCTTTTCAAAAATATTATATCTTTTTATATATAATAAATAATCAAGAAACACACAAAACAAGAAACCCATGGATTTGAAATTAGTATCATATGTGGTGCAATTAATGCAAGCAGTGTCGCTAACCAAATGTGCACGGTCAACCTAGCCCCCACCCCACCCCCCAATGAACCCATCCCACCCCATCCCCCCCCTCCCCCCCCACTCACTTAATTGCTTCTGCTTCTCCCCATAAATCCATGTCCCCAACAGCTTCATTCCATCTTCCCCCCAATTTCAAGTAATTCCTGATCTATTCTATTCTATTGTATGTATGTAATAAGATCGATGATGACTGTAATGAAATCCATGGAGTTTCCCATGGTGCTGCTCAGGCTATCCCACTGGTTCCTCTACAACTTCGTCGCCAACTCGTGCTCCAGGATCAAGAACCATGGAGTCTTCTCCCTCAGAAACCCCCCCTGGATCAAGTCTTCTTCCTCGTCATCCCAACAGTGTCCGTACCCCAGCCTCACCAACTCCAACCTCCAGGACCTTAAAGCTCGTCCCCCAACAGCCCTTGTCTGCGACCTCCATGGCGGGCTTCTGAGGTCCCGGACCTTCTTCCCTTACTTCATGCTGGTCGCCTTCGAAGGCGGGAGCATGCTCCGGGCCCTCCTGCTCCTCCTCTCGTGCCCCCTCCTCTGGATTCTCCACTTCCATCTTCAACTGCGGATTATGATCTTCATCAGCTTCTGTGGGCTTAGGGTTAAGGACATGGACAGCGTGGCCAGAGCTGTCCTCCCAAAGTTCTACCTTGAGAACATCAATCTCTTCGCCTATGAAGCTTTGGAATCTGCTCAGCACAAAGTCGTCGTTACAAATCTCCCCAGGGTTATGGTCGAAGGGTTTCTTAAAGAGTATTTGGGAGTCCATCTGGTCCTCGGCACTGACCTCCATACTGTCGGAGGATTCTTCACTGGCTTCCTGTCTGAATCGGGCCTCCTCGTCAAGCACAGAGCTGTTAAGGAACTGTTTGGGGATAAAAAACCTGATGTCGGGATTTCCACTTGTTCCTTGCTCGACCATTTGTTCCTCTCCCTCTGCAAGGTCTGATTAATCAATCAATCAATTAATTAATTAATATCGTTTAATTAATGATTGGATTTGGTGCAGGAAGGGTTCGTGATCACCAAAGAAGAAATGAAATCCATTCCGGCGATGCCTAGGGATCGGTACCCGAAGCCACTGATATTCCACGACGGCCGTTTAGCGTTCTTCCCGACGCCGGCGGCGGTTCTCGCGATGTTCATCTGGATTCCGATCGGCGTAATTCTAGCTATCTTCCGGCTCCTCGTCGGAATCTGCCTGCCGTACAAGGTAGCCATCCCCATCGGAACTGCCAGCGGGGTGGAGCTAAAGTTACAGGGCTGTGCTCCGGCGAGGTCACAGACGGGGAAAGGCGTGCTCTACGTGTGCACCCACCGGACCCTCCTGGACCCGGTCTTCCTAAGCACCGCCCTCAACAAGCCCCTGACCGCCGTGACCTACAGCCTGAGCAAGATGTCGGAGATCATCGCGCCGATCAGGACCGTCCGGCTGAGCCGCGACCGGAGCCAGGACGCGGTGACGATGCAGCGGCTGCTGAGGGAGGGGGACCTGGTGGTGTGCCCGGAGGGGACGACCTGCCGGGAGCCGTACCTGCTCCGGTTCAGCTCGCTGTTCGCGGAGCTCGCCGACGAGATCGTGCCGGTGGCGATGGAGGCGAGCGTGTCGATGTTCTACGGGACAACGGCGAGCGGGCTGAAGTGGCTGGACCCGATCTTCTTCCTGATGAACCCGCGGCCGAGGTACAGCGTACGGGTGCTGGAGAAGGTGCCGAGGGAGCTAACGTGCGCGGGGGGGAGGTCGAGCATTGAAGTGGCGAATCACATACAGAGGCAGCTGGGGATGGCGTTGGGATTCGAGTGCACCAATTTCACGAGGAGGGATAAGTATCTGATGCTGGCGGGGAACGATGGGACTGTGGGGAGTAGGAAGACCAAGATTCGGACCAAATCCAAACCCTAATTATTCACTTGTTCTTTAATTGGTAATGAACTGGGGAAAGGGAATTATATATGTATTTTTGGGTTTTATTTTTATTTATTTATAAATTGTCAGTAAATATATATTTGTTATTTTTCTTTAGAAAATATATATATATTGATATTATTATTTTTTTATTTTTTAATAACCGAGTAAATCACGGCCGAACCTAATATCCTACAAATTAAATCTGACAAGATAACCCACACTAAGCGAACCAATGTGCGACAAGAGACCTATGTCGATGTCTTTTGAATGAGTAGGGTAGGTTTCTTTATCATTCAAATCTCAAATTTCTTTTAGATTTTGTATTTTCTTTTTGAAGAAAATATATATATAATTTTCTACTATAAAATATCTTATCATACATTAATTTTATACCAAATTTAAACAAATATTTTTCAAACCAAATCAAAATTTCCCAAACCTAATAAAAAGAAACACAAATTAGATACACTCAACATCCCTTCTCAAATCACCAAACATGCATGTTTTGCTTGCACACGTTTATATATGGTGTGTTTCTTTTGCCTCAACGTTCAAATTTTTACTAATTAAATTATATACTTTTCAAAAAATATATACTCCCTCCATCCACTTACAATATTTATATTTACTTTTGGCTTTGTGTAAAAGTAATGATGTGATGTAAAGTAAGAGTATTTGTGGAAAAAAAATAGGGTATTTCATGAAATGTTTACTTTGTAATTGAATATCCAAAAATAGAAATATGTAAATATTGTAAGTGGACGAAGGGAGTATATTTTTTCACAAAGTATCTCATAATATATTATTTTAATATAAAGTTCAAACCAAAATTTTTCATACAAATCAAAACAAACACATCTATAATCTCTCTCACAATTTCACATCTTTATCGTGCATATATATATATATTTAAATTTATTTGTTATATGTTAGAAAAAAAAAAATCAGCATAATGTAACATTGTAATTGAAATGAAACAAATCAATCAATAAATAAATACATTGATGGCACCGTATATAGCTTCAAGTTAAATATATAAATTGGGTGGAGTATTGGTACCACATTCTTTGATGACTCTGGCTAGAAGACAGCTCTCTTGGTCCATCCAATGTGTTACAAATTTTGGAGAAAAATAATGAGATTGTCTTATTGATCATTATCAAAATAAGGAGCCTATATATAGGCAATACAAAACAGACTCGATAGACTCAAATCTAAGTAATATAATCGATGAATAAGATCAAATCTAGATATAAATCTACTAAATCTAAAACTGAATATCTAAAATATCTCAACATCCCCCTCAAACTCAAGTGGTATAACAGAAACCAACTTGAGTTTGACGAGAAATTTGAATGTAACCGCAAAAAGAAAACATAAATAAAATTAGCAATTGACTCTCCACCCACCGGAGCAAAAAATGAGATGACTCTCCACCGGAGTAAAAAACAAGATGACTCTCCACCGGAGCAAAAAACGACAGGATTCCACCGGAGCCGAAAACGAGATGACTCCACCGGAGCCGAAAACGACAGGACTCCACCGGAGCCGAAAACGACATGACTCCACCGGAGCCGAAAACGAGATGACTCTCCACCGGAGCCGAAAACGACATGACTCCACCGGAGCCGTAAAAAAAGAGATGACTCTCCACCGGAGCCGAAAATGAGATGACTCCACCGGAACAAAAAACCACGTAACTCCACTGGAGGCGAAAACGAGATGACTCCACCGGAGCCGAAAACGACAGCACTCCACCGGAGCCGAAAGTGAGATGATTCCATCGGAACAAAAAACGAGATGACTCTCCACTAGAGTCAAATTCGAGATAACTCTCCACCATAGCCTAAAATGAGATGACTCCACCGGAGCCGAAAAAGAAGATGACTCCACCGGAGCCGAGAACTAGATGACTCCACCAGAGCCGAAAACTAGATAACTCCACCGGAGCCGAAAACGAAGTGAGGCCAAAAACAGATAGATCCCAACACCAAACATATCGCGCATGCAGACAACAGACAAGTAGAGGACATATGACATATCGTAGACATAATCAGGACTTAAGATAAAATCAAAATCAGAAAAAGAAAGGGCTAGAAATTATAGAAAAAATTTCAAAATTGAGAGATCTCCGGGTACATCCCATGCTGAATGTACCCGGAGAAACACAGGTTGGTTATATCTACGACATGAGAAAAGTAGACTCTGATACCATGTTAAAAATTTTGAAGGAAAATAACGAGATTGTCTTATTGATCATCATCAAAATAAGGAGCCTATATATAGGCAATACAAAACAGACTCGATAGACTCAAATTTAAGTAATATAATTTATGAATAAGATCAAATCTAGATATAAATCTACTAAATCTAAAACTGAATATCTAAAATATCTCAACACAATAGAAGAAAGGATTGAGACAAGTTTTCGGAATGGTATCGATATTTGAAGAAGGATCAAAAGAGAAAAGAATTTGAGATAAATGATCGATGAGAATGAAAGGTGAGATCTCACAAAAGGAGACGTCTTAAAGAAGACATTGTCATTATAGAAACACCTCAACTCATAAACCGGAAATTTGTAATGATTAATTCATTTGATTGCCGCTAAAGAGATTGTTGGTTTGAGGGGAGGGGACCTTTGTTATCACTTATAGCATTCAAATTTGATAATTAGATATGTTTTATGACCCGAAGTTGGATTCATTTATTGATGAGGTTCCGAATGACCTACCATTTTTCTTTTTCAAGTTGACTCATAGCTTAGGTTCAATCTCAAAGACAATAATTATTACAAAAGTATATTATTTATATCAATATAATATAAATACAGAAGAATACAAGAATTATAAGCATATGATATATTGCTGCATAGCATATATAACATATTCTTATAAAATAAATGATCTACTTTGATATGACACAGTATTTTAAATATGAACATATAAATATTTGTTCTTATTTTATAGAAAATGTGTCATCATAATTATGAACATATGATATACTTTTATAGAACATATGTAACATACTACTGTAAGATACATAAATATAAACATATACTTCTTCCGTCCCATATAATTTGTCCATATTTTTTATTTTCCTCCATCCCACATAATTTATCAATTTCTTTTTTAAAAATATAATTATACACTTTAATTTCATTTTACACTATTAGTAAATTTACTAATCACACTTTACACTTTGGTAATAGGCTAGGCATCCGGATTTTGTAGCAGTTGAAGCCCACATGTAAGATTACACGATTTTTGTAATGTAAAAGAAATACATACCTATTTCTCTAAGCAGCGGCCGACGTACGTGGGGCAAGGAGGGCTTGCAGCCCACCTTACCCCACCCCAGTTTTGTTCTGTTTTTTTATTTTATTTTATTTTATTTTATTTATTTAAAATATATATAAATATATATATTTATAAATATAATATACAAAAAATTTTAACAATTGCTAAAATTTTATATTGTATTTTTTTTGAAGATTTATTTTTGAATAATATAAATTTTAATTTTAAATAATTATTTAATATGAATATGATATTTTGAATACAAATTTAATTTTTAAAAGATAATAATTTGATTTTTTTTTTTCAGGAGAAAGTAAAAAATAGTATTAAAAAAAAACAACTTTCAAAAAACTTCTAACATAACACAGTAAATTTTTTTAAAAGTGAAATTTTTTTCTAGTAAATTTTTTTTATGGCTTATCAATTTAATAATACTAATAAAAGAATCCTGCAATATGTAGTTTTAATAGTTTATTATTTTGCAAAATTTTTAAAATATGAGGAATCAATTAATAAAATTATTTGACAATAAAAATATGTATTATTTTGACAATTTTAAAAATAATCTCTTAATAAAATTCTAATTCCGCCAGTGGCTTTAAGTTTAAGGTTGTGTTTGGTAATTAGCTATAATTCAATTAGATGGTTGTATTAAAGCGTTTGGTAAAATAACTGTTTGACATTAGCTGTTTATACATAAAATAACTATTAAGGATATTGATATGTTATTTTTTAAAATATTTAATTTTGTTCATCTTAATTTGAAATTTATGAGAATTTTTGTTATTAAATATTGAAAATTATAAAATATTTATTTTTATTTTTATTATTTAGATTTGAAAAAATTATTTTTAATGGAAATTTTATAAAATATAAAATAATAAAATTTTTGTATATATATTTTTTTTATGTTAATTATTGTTTTAATATATATAAATAAATTAATAACCTATTTTTTTTCTATTTGATTTAGTTTTAAAAATTTATATATTTTACAAATAAAATAATTTATATGTAATAATTAATAATAGTAATTATTTTAAATTTATACAAATAAAAATATAATTTAATAAATTAAATATATTAAAAATAAATAATAAATACTTCTATAAAAATATATTTATATGTATAAAATAAATAATTAAGTTTTAAGGGTAAATAAGGAATAACCAAAATTAAAATGAAAAAGTTCTTTCAAAACGTTGGGTAAATAAGCTTTTCAGAAATTAGATTTTTGGGTCCAAAAAGCTATTTCAAAAAACTAATTTACAAACACATTAATTAACTTTTTAACCGGTGAAACAGATGTTCTGTTAGCTAAAATTTCTTTAAAAAGTTGTTTCCCAAATTACTGAAGCTAAGTTTCATTGAAGATGTTAAGCATCACAACACACTAAATGCTAATCAATGCTTGAAAATGCAATATCAAGAACAACTTGAATCAAATTCCAAGTTCAAATATCAATCAACCCATTTGATCTTGGCTTGATGATCTCTTGATCTCCATAAGTTCCCTATCAACTGATCTCCACTTGAAAAACCTCCCAAACAACATCTCAATCTCCTCCAATGTCTTCCCCCGCGTCTCGGGGAACAACGTATAAAACATAACCCACGCCACCACGGCAAAGCCTCCGTACAAAAAGAAAGCTCCGCCAATCGTAATAGCTCGCGCAAGCGACAAAAATGTCATGGAAATCACGCCACTTGTAACACGGTTCACAATTATGCCTAAGCTCACGCCTTGCGCTCGAAGTCTTAGTGGAAAAATTTCCGAGCAATAAATGCCATTGATCGGGCCCAATCCAATTGAGAAAAAGGCAACAAAGGATAACACCGAGGTTATGCATAAGGCAATGGCCCATGTAAGCTTGTGATCGACGCTTTGGATCACGGTCAAACCAGCTCCAAGGCCGATCAAAGAAATAATCATTCCTGCGACGCTCGATAAAAGTAGGGGCCGTCGCCCGACCTTGTCCAGTTGCCACGTTGCTATAAGGATGAATATTGTCTTGGTGAATCCCACGGCTACTGTTGCTAGTAACATGTCTGTGTTGCTTGTTATACCTATATGTTGAGCCGTTAGATTGATCAAAATGGTGTATTTTGTAATAAAATTAATTGAACTTACATGCCCTTGATTGAGAAGAGAAAGTTTTGTACAAATTTTTAGTAAGTGTCCTAGACAACAGATCAACCTAAGATATATACATATATATACATAGTAAAACATGCCACATTATTGAATTTAATTAGTAACAAAAATTTGCTTAGAATATAAATTTTTTAGCAAGCGAGTTTCGAATATAGCAAATTCTTCATCGAGTGAATGGTAACAAAGAGGTCATCAACAATAATTCCAAAAAAAAAAAAGAAAAAGAAATTACTTATTTTCGATTTTAAGGGATATTTTGGTATATGTCTAGATTCACATACCTGAACATAGTATTTTGGAAGAAAATTTGAAAGATTGAATAATAATAATAAGTAAACATACTATGCAATTATCTTAATTTTTTCTTCAAAAACATCGAATTCTTCTTTTTCAGTTAATATATATTATTTTGAAATATTCCTTGTCATTAAAGTTTCTAATCGATAATATTTTTTAATATGGTGTTCTGGATGAAATATGTGTTAGGTAATAACGTTATATATGAAAGAATATTTTACTACAACCTACATATATAATATGAAATAATTGCAAAACTTAAAAGAGAAGTAGCTAGGATAGAACACAAGATAAAAATAGATGATACCTGCTTTCTTGAAGATTTCTGGACTATAAAGCACGACAGAGTCGATGCCGCTAGCCTGCTGGAAAAATTGTATCCCAAGAGCACAAAGTAGGATGTGTCGAACCGACAATGTGGGATGGAGAATAAATTCTCGCCAAACGCCTTCTCCATGTCGATTCTTGGTCACAACAACAACATCGTCATTGCAATGCTCGGGTATGCCTGCTGCTTCTTTTATCTCGGAGAGCCTACGTTGGGATTCTTCTAAAGAATCCGAGGTTTTGTCGAGGACTTTCTTGGCCTCACCTAGTCTGCCTTGCATCACCAACCACCGAGGCGACTCGGGCATTGCAAGAACAGCCATAGCAATGAAGAAAGAAGGGATGGCCCCAACCCCAAGCATAAATCGCCATCCCAAGTGTTTTGGAAGTTTTGAGAATCCATAGTTTGATACATAGCCAAGAAGTATGCCTATAAGACAAATCACACGTTACAAAGTGTCCATTACTGTTTTTTGTTACAGATCCTGTGCAGGTCCGACCAAGTGAGCATGTACTAATTTGACCGGGTCATCATTTGTTATACGAGTGACCAACATATATTTATATAGATATCTCAACATATAAAATAACATATGTTGAATTATAATATAATATATGTTGTATTATAATTATGTCGAAATATATATATATATGCTGATCACCTATGTAGCTAGAACTGTTAAATGAATCGAATAGCTCGCGAGCCCAGCACGACTCGGCTCGTTTATAGAGATAAACGAACCGAACTCGAGCTCGAATTTTTTTTTTTTTTTTATAAATGAGCCGAGCAAGCTCGAGCTCGCGAATAGTTCAATTGAATTCGTTAGTGATGATATATTTATATTATTTATATATTAATATAATTATATAATGTTTTATATCAAAATTTACATTCATTATTAAAATTTGAATATTTTATTATAAAGAATTATGAATAAATATAAATATATTTAATTTATATATTAAAAAATATATAGAATATGTATAAAATTCAAAGCAAGCTCAAGCTTGAATTTGAATCTAACGAGCAAAACTCAAGCCACTATTTTGGCTCGAACTCTTAACGAGCCGAGTCGAGCATGTACCGTTAACAAGTTCGAGTCGAGCTTGAATAACCAATACTTAAGCTCACTCAGCTCGTTTAACAGCTCTACTTATAGCATATGATAATTCGGTCAAATCAGCAGCTGATCCATGCTCATTGTTTTTTAAATTGTTTGAAGAATAAGAAATATGTTTGTTGACATTTGAATTAATACTTACCAAAATTGATGAATACCTCCGGGAAAGAGGCAAGCAAACCGCGGGAAGATGCCGGGGCTATCTCAGCTGTGTAAACGGAAGCAATCATGCCAGCAAAGCCAACACCAATGCCAGCCACAAAGCGGCCGACCATTAAAAAGCCGTAGTTTGTTGCGAACCCCATAAGCAAAGCCCCGGCAAAAAATATGGCTCCGGCAAACACAACAGTGTAGCGCCGCCCTATCCAATCGGATGTCCGGCCGGCGGCCGCTGCACCGAGGAGTGAGTACACATTGAGGATTCCCATAATCACTTCCTTCTGCACATAGTTTAAATGGAAGTCTTCCTCGATGAAGATTATAGCTCCACTCATCACCCCAATATCTGTATCCAATCCCATCATTCACAAATCATATATATTAATATCTCATGTAGAATGATATATATATATATCTGTTTGTTACTGTGCTAATCTTTCCAGAAGTACATATTGAATGTCTATGTATCATTAATCTTTAGGGCAGATAGTATCATATTTTGTAAAATAAAAACGTGTCATATTTGTTAATTTTTCAAACTGATGCTTTAAAGAAGTATGGTAATACGCTATAAAAGTATATTTGGTGTTCTATAAAGTTATCTACTCTACAAAAGTAATATCTGGTGCTCTATAAAAATATATCCGATGCTTTATAAAAATATACATTGTGATTTATGTAATATATATTATGTTGTTAGTTTTGCAAATAACATCAATTCAATAGTTCATAATGTGAATAGTGTTTAAATAAATTGAATAAATTACTCATGTATACTTTCTTTTTTAGAAACCCATTTGAGATAATTCTAGAGTTATTCTTTGAGGACAAAGAAAGACTCTTGTTGACATGTAGGTTCAATCTAATTCCGATAATTTTATTTTTTAGTAAATTTATCAATTTTAAATATATTTAACATACATAAATACTTAATTATAATTCTATCAAACTCTTGTAGATTAAATAGTGAAATATCTGTTGAGGTCTATCCTGCAAAGATACTCAAATTAGATCAGTGATCGAAGCCACTTTGTTTCTTTTTGTCACTTGATAATTGGGTTCTATAAATCTTTCTTAGCTGAAACAACAACGAAAAATGCCATTGCCAAGGAATTTGGTAACTTCAACTTCATTAACAATCACTTATGAATCTATTTTTGGTTTACACCCGATATTTATATCATTAAAAGCTTTTTCCTTAGGACAATCTCGGTCTACCAAGAATTAAAAAAGTAGGGATGGCAAAATGAACCCAAAATAAATTCATTTTTAGTAAAAAGATTACAAAAAATAGGAATTAAAAATGCAAGTACAATAAAGAATTCATTTGTTTGAGGGCTAGATCCTTAGTTCGATCTCGAGTGGGTGCGTGTGTAAATAAATAACTAACGTAAGGATGTATAATCACATAGATACATACACAGTGGCGGACCTAGGATTATATTCGAGGGGAGGCTAATTTTGAAATTTATAAAATAATATATTTTATCTATAAATATTTATTTATTATCCGAAAAAATTATCATTGTGATTATTATATTTTAAAAAAAAGGAATACAATTAACGAACTACAACAATAATAATAGTTATACATTGTATTATAAATTTTTTTTTTATTCCTTTCTATTCGGACAAGATATATAATTTTTTAGTATTTTTTTATTTATCCCCTTCTCTATATTACATACATTTAAATAAAAAAAATACATAAATTTAAAAAAAAAACTGGGGTGCGGTAGGGTGGGAAGGGGGGCTGCAGCCCACCCTTGCCCCCACCTCGGTCCGCCCTTGTACATACATACATACCATATCCAAGTATGATGGTGGTCATGCACGCCAACAAAGAACACATCAAGGCATACTTGTTTCTTTTTGATTTCTCATTGCTTGTTGTCGACATCTTTACTGTGCCAAGTTATTAACAAGTACTCATCAATTAAAACTTTTACAATATTGGTAAAAAAAAAAAAAAAAAATAGATATAAAGTATTTTGGTTATATGTTAACTGCGTTAAGTTAGCACAAGTCAAAGAAATCGATAGCACATATTTAATAGGACATCACAATACAATACGTAATATACAATCTGACAGCACATGATATAATTCTATATAACATATTATAATATTGATTTTTAGTAGAGTAAACATATATAATACTCTCTCTGTATCAAATAAGGTGCAACGTTTGCTTTTGGCACGAATTTTCAGGTGGATAGTATTAAGTAGGATAATTTAGAAATTAGGTGATACGATGGAAAGAGAAATATATATTTTTTTTATTTGTACGATGTGAGTGGATAAAGTGTGAGGTAGAGATTAAGTATAATTAATTATTTCCTATTTTGAAAATGTTGCGAAGTGTTTGGACATACCAAAAAATAAATATTGCAAAGTATTTGGGACGGAGGGAGTACAATACTATAAAAAATGCACATTGCATGCTTCTATTTAATAGGATATTGTACTATATATTTACATATACTGTCTATCTTATTAATTTGTGTTAAAAAGTCGAATCCAAATCACGTTAAGACCATCTGCAATGGAGATACCCGTTTTTTGGTATCTCCACTACTTTTTATTATCCACGTAACTTTATCTCTCTCTGTCAATTCGCAACAAAGATACTTGTATTAATTTTTTAATAAATTTTTGCTTTCATATTATACATATTATTTTTTAATTATAATTCTATATTATTTAATTGCTTTAAAATTTATAGTTATATTTTATTTAATAATTTAAATTAAATTTATTAATATTAATTTGTTCAATAGAATTATATAATATTTGTATTTATATATTTTAAATTGATAAAATATATTCAATATTGGTATCATTTTGTAGAATAAAAAATATTATGAATTATAAAAATATTACAAAATTTAAATATAACAATAAATTCAATATAAATTAAAAAAAAAAAACATATATAATATATATCATATATATATACATATATACATAAGAGTGTCATGTGTCTCAATTAAATTGAAACATATGACAATTGAATAAGATCTTCCCAGCATCTATAATTTTTTATTTTTTATTTTTAAAATATAGTGATGTGAATCGTCTAATGATTTAGACTTCATCAGCATGCTAACAGTCGCCGTAAGTAAAGTATAGTGCTTACATAATAACAATACCATTGATTAATTAATTAATGTGAGTTTTCAATTAAATCAATTAAGACGAGTAATTCAATTACTCATTAGAAAAAATAAATAAAAAAATATAAGTACTAGTACACACGTAATAAATTCCAAAATCATTGAAATAAAAATTGAACATTCACAACTATGTGGATTAAAATTTTAAAAGTGGATAACATATATACATATACCTTCTTTCTTTTTTTTTTTTTCCCTTAAAAATTTAAGATATTTTATGTAATATATATTTTTTAAAATTAAATAATTATATCTTCATGAATATCTTGAAATACGAACAAACAATTTTGTTAGAATTAAGATATAAATTAATTGTCATCAGCAGTCAGTTCAAATAGACCTGCCAGTCAACATCGGCTGCACAATACAATTTTATAATTATATGAAATTGACAAAGAAAAAGAAGCATATAATTGACTTGCTAATATAATTTATAATAAAATTGGATAAACAGACAGAAATATTTTGTTCTATACAATTATTGGTGTTTTGTAGAATAGTTGTTTATTTCAAATATTTATATTGGAAAAGAAAGGTATGTATTTTTTTTTTTTTAAGTATTTATAGATATATATATATATATACATATTTCATTATTCATATTTATTAGGTGATTGTTTATTTTTTATTTTTAGTTTAAAAGTGAGATGGAGAGTATTTTATGAAAAATATATATTTTTATTAAGAATCGTAATAAATATATAATAAAAACTTGAAAAAGAAAAATCAAAGTATATAAACAGAGTTAGGTTCTGTTTTCTTTGAGTTGGTTTGTGTCAATTTCTTTCATACAAAATAGGCTATGTTTTGCTTTTTTAAAAAATAAAAAATAAATAAATAGATAAATTGTGCGATCTTATTTTAATAATAATATATATATATAACACTAGGCGAACCATGTGTGGAAAGTGACCTAATCTTACAAGACTATGTTACTATTATTATTATTATTATTATTATTATTATTATTATGGGCTATATCTCTCTCAAATAATTTTCATTTATAGTCAAACATAGAGCAATACTAGTCATTGTTCTATATTTTTTAGATATAACTTAAAAATTGCTTCAAAATTTATAGTAAAAAAGATAATAGTTGAAAGTACCTATAGCAAAAAAATATATGTATCTATGTATATATATATATATATATTTATATAATATTAGGATCGAGATCAAGATAATTCAATACTAATATGATATATTATTGGCTTTGGACTGAACTTATAGAGATTTATTTTTCGAACTTTCCAAACAATTTCATACTAGTGAAATTAAACATGAAATTTATATATATAGTTTGCATTCCAATATATACATTCAAAACAGCCCACTAATAAGTGGTTCTAGGAAACAAGTACTATATCATAACATTTGTTGAGCTTAATTCTATTGTTTATTAGAAATCTAATTCGATTTTTTTTGTATTTTCTTTTATTTATTTATTTATACTTTTATTAGTTCTCTCAGCTTCTACTGCTGCTTCGCTGCGAGAGCAAAGCATGCACAATAGTAGCAAGAAAAACTTTTAAACTTTTAAAATCTATACTAATAATAATAATAATAATAATAATAATAGTTAGATGATGTAAATGACCGACTATCTAAAAATCTTAAGCTAAGCTTTTAGGTGAGTCGGTCATTTACAACATCTAATGGTATCAGAGCCTCGTTTGGTGGGGTTGAAGGGGCGTGTTGGTGGACTCACGTTTGTAAATAAATAATATGAATTTCTAACAGTTTTATCTTTCAGATGAATCGATCATTTATGTCATCTAACAATAATAATATGCATGGAGCATAAACATACACGATACGTACCTTAATCTTTTCCTCGAAAGAAAACCCGGACTACGATGGAGCTAGCTATCCAGGAGGACTAATCGAAGGGGATGATGAAAAAATGGTTGCTTTTGTATAATTAATTTTGAGATAAATATATAAATTTGGGTCTGCCTAAATAATTAATTAATTTGGATGAGGATGACGATGGATTGATGTATATGCATTTGGAAGTTAGCTAGCTAGGCTACCAAATTAAGCATGTGTAGCGAGACCCACAAGTCTCTACACCTCCACTTGCTTTGCTTAATTCTATTTTCAATATTCAAAAAATAATATTTTTTCGTCCAATATTTATCTATCCGTTTGATTTTTGACAAAATTTTTAAAATATTAGTATTATATTATAATATAATAGAAAAAAGATATAAAGATTAAAATGTCTTCAAAGTAAAAATTTACGTAGTGGTATATTTGTAATATAATGGAAGTTTAAGGCTAATTTTAATAGTAGATAGGTTTAGGGTTGCTAAAAAAGAAATAGATAGATAGTTAAGAGACTCCCGAAGTATTTGATTAGATATTTGGTACTCCCTCAGCATCAAAATTTATTCTTACATTCCATTTTTTGCTTCCATCCAAACTTATTCTCGTTTTCTTTTATCATAAAAAAAAAAAAAAAAAAAAAAATCTATTTTTACCTAGTTTTTTTAAAAAACTCGTGTCCGATCAAATTAGCATAAATTTACATAATCAATAAAGTAATAATAGATATTTTTCAAAAAATATAAATAATAAAGTTTGTGTTACCCTAAAAGTTTAGTTATGGAAATTCCATCCACTGATATTAATTCCGACATCCCCAGCCATTTGGAATGCTCATAGCCGTGAAATGAGACTATCCCTATCGATGAAGTCATCATCAAAATGACCTAAAATCAAAGTATAGAAAAGGAAATCAACTTCTATGTATGGAAATTAGAAGTTATTTATTTAAGACTTATCTCATACATTGAACTGGTTTTGATTAAAATCAAAGTATAGAAAAGGAAATCAACTTTCACTATGTTTGGAAATTAAATGTGATTTATGCAAGACTTATCTCATACATTGGATTGGATTTGATTGGATCGGATTGGACTTGCGGCACATCTATTGATTCAATGGAAGCTCGACACATAGAAATTTGTTATCTACCAACCGAGTGTCATTACTAACATTGACCAAAAACTCCAAAATGATTCAATACTAAGGGTGTGTTCTTTTGAGGGTTTGAATTTTGTATTTAGAATTTAGATAGTATTCATATGATATTTAATTTTCAGTATAATATAAAAAAATAAGTATTTGATTTAATAATTTTTTAGAATTTTTTTAATAAATAGTAAAATTTTAGTAAAAACCTACAAAAGAATACAACCTAAAAGTCTAATTTCTTCGAGACCTGGAAGTTTAGTTTATATTACATTATACAACTATTCAAATTCAAAATTTTTACTATTCAAATTCCAACTCAAAATCCAAACCCTCAAACAAACACACCCGAATGCTAAACTAGGGAAATTAGGAATATTCACCAAGGAATCTCTAAAGCTAATGAATTCATTTGCAAAAGAATCGTCTACCAAATTAGCATTTTCATAAATGTTTTGGTTGTTTATGTTATCCTTATGTCATCCCTATAATAGCAATAAATTAGAATTTTGATCTATTCCTTATTATTTCCTTGTATATTTATAGGGTATAGTGCTAAACACAAGGAATTTTTTTGTGCTATCATGTTGCTTCATCTTGTACTTAATTATATTGCTCACCATGTAGTATTTGATGAATCATCTTTTCTTTTTTTACAAACATTGTTCCAAAGAAATTAAGTTGAACAACTATTTCTATTTTAGATATTCCTCTCCATGCACTTCAAGAAACATTGATGTGAGTTGGAAGTGGTTTTTCAAGAAGTATGGTTGGTAGCAAAAGGATTCAATCAAGAGAAGGGTGTCGATTATTTGACACATTCAACCTGGTTATCAAGCCTAACTGTTTAAATGGATCAACCGTATGAATTTGTCTTAGAATAAAAAAATTGTTCCGAAACATTGAGATATGCAGTTTTTTAAAATTAGTTTTTTTTTTTTTTTTTTATATCTAATAAGTTGTTTCTCAAACACTTTCTTAATTTTTGTTCACACGTGTTTTAGTGGTTTTCTGCCGCGGTTACGGTCAACATCGTGCTGATAATAAATATATAACCGATAGCATAATAGATATAAATTTACATAAAACTAATAGTATATACTAAAAATTTATACAGCACGTTGTCTCGTATATTTATTTTCACATATTATTTATAAATTTTTTATATATTGATCGAGACAATCAGCATGGTTCTCATAAATTTTTTTAATCAATATTTTACCCGAGGTACTCATAGGGGTGGCAATTTGTGTCAGTCCGGTCCAACCGAATTTCAAATTGTGCTGGGCCAACACGGCCCGATTTGTAATCGGGCTTGGAAAGGCCAGTGCAACACGCCCGTTTTTTTTTATTATTATTATGTTTACCTTTTAACTTTGAATTAATGTAGAATAAAATATATTTTAATAAGAAAAGTGAAGAATTAAACTCACAATCAAATATATATAAACTAAGGTCTTTAACGGTAAACTATGTTATAATTTTGATATTTATTTAAAACATTAATATATATATAAATTTAAATATCTAAATATTAATTTTAAAAATCGTGCCGGGCCTGACATAGTCTGATTTTCATGAGCCCGGACACGACCCAAAAATTTTTAGGCTATTTTTTTTAAGCTCAAGCACAGTTTTTCGTGCCGTGCTCGGACTGAACTTTTGGGCCGTGCTTATTTTTTTTGTCACCCCAAAGTATTCATTTGCATATTAATTTGTAGAAAACCATCACATAAATCTTGGCACACTAACAAAAACTAGTCTTGCATTCTCCTTACATCCTGACGGAAAACAACCTAAATTACCCAACATTAACACTATGTTTCAATAATTGCTCTCTCTCTCTCTCTCTCTCTCTCTCTCTCTCTATATATATATATATATATATATATATATATGAGGGTTTACATATGTTTAGAGTAATTAGATTGTAACATAGTTTTTATCAACTCTTTACAAGGCATAACGAGATATATCCTCCAATTGTGAGAACTAATAATGTAGTTTGAATAAAATGATCTCGACTTGACCTTGCAGCTGTGGAAGTTGGTCCATCGCCATATACTCTGAACCCACTTGAATTGCTTATATTTAGCACTGATGAACTTGTGCTACATAAATCCAAGTCGCCATTGTATAAGGATCGATAATATCCATTAGAAAGAAAAAGGACATAAGAATATTTATAATTATCATTCAATTAAAAGTTTTTTAGAATTCTTAATAAAGATCAGTTTAAACCATTCACAACTTAAGGATGTGAATTTTGTTGACTGGAATCTGCCACTGCTAGGTCATTTAGTTCCTAAATTTTGATGTATTTAAAGCTTCGACCAAATTAATGTATATATATAACTATTTTTAAACCGTTTTAGAAAAATAAACGGTAAATTGTACAAACTTCACGAAATTGTGCCAAATCCCCAATACTTTTAAAATTACGTCAAACTCTCTTATATTTTATAAACTCTGCGGCTAACCACTCGGTTGTCCTTATTTAACGATGTTTGACCTATAAATCTCAATTTTTAAATCCCTAAAACTAATATTTGTAATTTTAGGTGTTAAAAATTGAGATTTTCAAATTCATTTGCAGATTCGGCGTATTTAGATCAAATACCGTAAATAAAGACTACCAAAGCAATTAGACTCAGAGTTTATAAAAGTGAGGGCATTTAGCGCAATTTTGTGAAACCACAAGTAGATTTTGATACAATTTAGCTAAAAATAAATAAATGTGGGATATACTCAAATGACTTGAAATGCATATTTTCAATTTAATATTCACCTCGTAGATGCAAATTGGCATGCCCCGTAACCTGTATAAAAGTAATAGTTCTCAGTCGACATCCTGCGACGTTAGAACTTTATAAACATAAAAAAAATCAAAAGCCTTTTTTTTTCTTTTGTGTGTGTTGTTGGTATTGTTTTAAGTTGATGTTTTGTAGATTAGGATTTATTATTTTCTCTTGTTAATTTGCATCCATCATTCGATTTACTACATGACCCTGTCCATTTCCCGCTTAAAATACACATATAATTCATTCAAGAAGCTAGCAAACTTACTTGGATCCATGCTCGTGATAATAGCAGCTCCAGTAAAATTGCAGCTGGTCGGGATCGGATTCTTCTGATAGTAACTATTGAATGCATAAGAGGCATGGTCGCGAACCGTGTTCGGGTTGTAACACGCCCCACCGGGCAGGATGGCCGAGCAGTCGACATGACCATAGCCACAGGCGTAGTCCAACGCAGCCTGTAAAGCAGATTGGGACACTGACTGGCTGGCCACGCACCAGCTGCCAGCCGGCGAGTCGGTCACCAGCGGCGCCGTGCGCGGATTGGCCGGATTCATGACTTTTGGAGATTCGCCGGCCGGATTCAGGGCTTGGTTAGAGGGAGGAATTGTTGCCAATGGTGTTGTGATGTCCATATGCGTTGTGGAGATTAGTAATTTCTTCGCCCTTTGCACTTCAATACTCATACCTGAAAATTGTTGCGGAAGTAGGAAATCAAGAAAAGTACGAAAAGCACAAGCAAATAATTGTTTATTCAGTTTGAGTAGGATGATTTATTTGGACGGGTAAGATATACAACTCGCAAAAATAAACACGATTTTAAATTTTGATTCGAAAACGGCACGAAATATAAATTTATTTTTTTTTATGTTTAAATTTTTAATTTTGTTTTTTATTTTTCTAATTTTTTTTAAAAAATTATTTTAAATTATAAAAATTAATTTTTTTTTAAAATAATACGAAAAATTGAATATTCGCAATAATAGAGAAAAATAGAGCTATGATTGAAGCAAAAGTTAAAATCGAATAAATTGAATTGATGGGTTAAAGATGATCTTAATCTCAAATTTAGGCCCAAATAATTTTTGGGTCAGGCCAGACCAACCCAAAATGGTCAAAATTTGGGCTGTGCTTGTGTCTGCAAACTAAACTGTGTCTGGATTTATCAAATAAATTTTAAATTTAAATATTTTAAAAATATATTTAAATACACATAATAAAATTAAAAAAAAAATAGTTATGTATTAATTGTTAAAATTTTTAATTATCAATAAAATATTAATTTTATCATTATTATATTTATTTAAATTCATATAATTTATTTTGAATAAAAAATTATACAAAATATATTTTAAAATAAAATTTTAAAATAAAAATAAAAATTGGGTTGGTCCCTACCGGCATGATTTGAACTGGGCCATGCCCAGCCCAAGGCTTCCGAGCCCCATACAGGCCCGAGATGAAAATAGATCGGACCGACTCAACATGAAAAAAATCAAATTGATCCGAATTGCCACCTCTAGTAAAATTGATCCGTACATGTGATCTTAGTAATTTTGAAATTTATTTGAGAATTAGGACCATCTTGTTAAATATTTTAAATTTGTATATAGAAAAAATGATATTATGTAATATCAATTAAAAATTATTCATCTTAATTTAACAATCGGGAAAAAAAAGTCAGTAGAATCAACTTTGTTTATTTTAATCGATCGAAGAATGAAATATATGGCTCAATTTGGTTAAATTGAGGAGGATACATTTGTCATTTAACACATGCTTGTAAAATCCAAGAACCAGTTTTACTAGAAGCATATTCTAATATAATATAGTTAATCATTTACTGCAAAAATTCCATTCTGTGTACAACTTTTTTCAAACTACAAAGATCACAATAATCAAATTATAACATTTTAAACTTTGTAACCTCAATAATAATTAAATTAAAATTGGAAGAAGGTATGCACCCCAAAAATAAACTCCCTTTGAAATGAAGAAGAAAAAATTTATCAGCACAATTAAGGCTTCAATTCATAACAGAAATAAAGCATGAAAACCCTAAAACTACAGTGATGGACCTGAAGAGAGGACGATGGCAGCAGCAGCCATGTTTGTGAATGTAAAGAATCTTAGAATCCCACTTGACCCCATTTTTGCTGCTTTCTTGCTCCTCATATTTGCTCTCCAATTCTCACTGTTTAGAGATTTGAATCTACCTCTGCAACAACCTCACTATTTTGGCCATGAATGAGTTATCTGTATATATGTGTTGGTGGGAGGGGAGAAACACAATTAAAGTGGCAGAATAAAAGGAATTCAAAGTGGGGTTGAATAAACCAGTCATTGTAATGATTGTATTTTTATTTTATTAATTCTTTTGCTTTATCATTTTGCTTTATGATGTGTGAAGTGTATTTACTGCGTATAGGTAAGAAGCACTTAGATGTTGGGTTGTTTCTCATGATCATATTGATGAGTTTCATATTAATGGATTAAATTAAAGGTATATGATCATTGGATCAGTGTTTTTGTCTCAAGAATCAAGAAAGAGTCGATCAAGATTCAATTAGGAGATGGTCCTCGCTATTAGCCAGCTAAGCTTCATTATTAAACATGGCTTTAAATAGAAAAGGTTATCCGATGAGGATCTTATGTTAGAAGTAGTAATAGTCCTAACTCTTGGACTACAAAATTTTAAGTGTTGCTATACCGGACGGGATCCTCGGTCTCAAAAATCTTCCTATTCCTCTATCCCATCCAATAAAAAAATGACATGTGTGGCAAAAACTAATTTATTTTTTTTATTGATTTAAATTTTGCAAATTATTTCAAATATTGCAATTTATAAATCATTCTCTCGGGACAAAACCGTGCGAAATTCATTTTCTCGGTTCTTTCCACAATCATCGCATCACCCGATTCTCATATCATCCCCGGTGTGCGCTTCATCGTTGAATTGTCGTCATCGCCTGCCAGTCGTCCACACCGACCAATACTTTCGGATAAATAATAAAATAAATTAGTTTTCGCCACATGTCATTTTTTTTTATCGGATGAGATAGACGGTTAGGAAGATTTTTTGGACCGACATGCCCTCCGGATTTATGCTCACTCCCTCCCAATTGAAACTACTTTTTTTCACTCCTTCCTCCTACTTAATTTTTTCACTCTTTTTATTTGTGTTTGTCCCATATGATTTGTTATTTTTTTTAAAAAAAATATAATTATACACTTAGATCACATTTTAAAACTCATAATTTATAATTTTTTTATTTTAATTAATCTATTTAATCATTTTAATTTTAATTTATAATTATTTGTATTAAATTATAATTATTTTTAGTAATACATCTCTTAATTACTTACTGTGAGAATTTAAGTGGGACGGAGTCATGGAGAAAGTATTACTTTTGTACAAAAATATCTATTTAGTAAAATAATCATATATTAATATTAAAATATCGTTAATTTTTACATAAATTACAAATATATTATGTATACGTTAAATACAAAAAAAAAATATATTAAAATCATCTTATACATTTATAATAATCAATAAAATATTTTTTTTCAATTTTGTAAAAATCTAAATACATATTCAGTTCGTGTGGGAGGGATGGAGTTCTAGGTTTTCTATGGAATCAACACTAGAAAATATGAACCATAAGCACATAACTCCGATTAATACAGAGTTATACAAATTATTATTATTATTATTATTATTATTATTATTATTATTATTTTATGATGTGGTGAAATAAAATATAGGATAAAAAATTATTTCCAATTTAAAAAATGTTTGCATGATATTCGGGACATCATTTCAATACTCGTCTCCTCTCCTCTCCTCTCCTCTCCTCTCAAACCTTATCCATCCATCGTCTCTGCAACTTCAGATCGAATCCAATTAAACAAACTTACCAGGCAGCTCAGTTGCAGTAGAGTGGAGTTGATTGGATGCCACCATGTTTATGCTCCTTCAATCCTCCACCCTCACCATCTATCTCAAGCTTCATCTCCTCCCCCGCTCATACTGCAACACTAAACCTCAACCTCCCCCTCCGCGACCTCAGCAAAATCCATGGCCACCTCATCAAAACAGGCCTCATCCACCACCACCCCATCGCCGCTAGCCGCCTCATCCGAGCCTACTCCCGCACCCCCCTCCCTCACCTCGCAATCCACCTCTTCGTCCAACTGCTTCTCGCCGGCGCCGCCTCCGCCCGCCCCGACCGCCTCCCCTACCCCTCCCTCTTCTCCGCCTATTCTCACTCCGCCCCGCCCCACGGCGGAGCTCAGCTCCACGCCACAGTCCTTAAGCTCGGCTTCAGCTCCGACCCTTTTACTCGAAACTCCGTCATCCACATGTACGCCAACTCTGGCCTTTTCGACAGCGCCTGGAAGATCTTCTATCAGGATTCGAACAATGTCGTCGCCTGTAATTCAATGATCTTCAGCCTCGCCAAGCGCGGCCGAATCGACGAATCGTGGAAATTGTTCTGCAACATGCCTTGTCGGAACGAGGTGTCGTGGAACACCATGATCACTTCCTTTGTAAGAAACGGCATGTGGATCGAGGCGTTGGATCTTTTCCGACGAATGCAAAACGAAGACATCACCGTGTCCGAACACACGCTTGTAAGCGCGCTCCACGCCTGCGCGAAACTCGGCGCATTCGAGCAAGGGAAATGGATTCATCGCTACATCGAGAGGAACAGCGTTGAGTCGAATGTTATTCTTGCAACGGCGATCATCGACATGTACTCCAAGTGCGGCGACATCGACGGTGCGCGACGAGCTTTTGCATCCGTCCCGCGTAAGGACAAGGGACTTTCTTGTTGGAACTCGATGGTTTTAGGATTCGCAACCAACGGTTGCGAATCCGAAGCTTTCGACCTGTTTTCAGACCTCGAGTCCTGTTTTCAACCGGACAGCGTAAGCTTCGTCGCTGTCCTAACAGCTTCAAACCACGCAGGCCGTGTCGATAAAGCGAAGGCGTATTTTTGTTTAATGACAGAAACGTATAAAATCGAGCCAACGATTCAACATTACGGGTGTATGGTCGACGCGTTAGGCAGGGCGGGTTTGATTCGAGAAGCAGAGGAGTTTGTTCGAGCAATGCCGGTGATCCCCGACGAGGCAGTTTGGGGATCGTTATTATCCGCAGCCTGCAAGAGCCATGAAAACATCGATGTCGCCGAATGGGCTGCGCAGAATTTGATTCGATTGAATCCCGACGAAACGAGCGCTCATGTCCTGATTTCGAGAGCGCACACGTTGTCGGGAGATTTCGAAACGGCGTTGCGGAAAAGGATGACGATGGAGCGCGCAAAGAAACAGCCCGGATGTAGCCTGATCGAAGTGAACGGCGAAGTCCACGAGTTTGTATCCGGGGGAATCGTATCGCCGGAAAATAAGGGCAAAATCGATACAATATATTTTTAGTTACAATTAAAATTCGTCGACTCAAAAACGCTATACGACACGACTAAACGCATCCGCCGGGCCTCTTTATCCCATAAGAAACTCCGAGAACATTCGAGCATTGAGCCGCGGCCTTGCCTCGCCCGCGGTAGGATAAGTCGATATCGATCAGCTTCACATTCTTACACGGCCGCGATTTACTACACTTCAAATTCACGGCTACTTCGCTGCTCGACGTCCCTCGAATGTTCTGGAACGTTACATTTTCGAGCTGGACGAGCGAATTTCCCTGTAGTAAAACTTTAAGTTTTTACGTGAAACAGTCATTTAATGTCATTTAATACCGAGAAAGAGGCAAGAAGTCGTACTTGCGGGCAAGATTTACTCGGACAATACTGCTGGTCGATCATAATCGGGTTTCGGACATTTTGCATGACGATGTTGTCGTAAAAGATGTTCGAAGCTTGCGACGGGGAAGACGGCGCCCAAGTCTTGATCCGAAGGCCGTTGTCGGTACCGATTAGAGTCGAATTTGTGATACGAATTTTGTCGACGTAATCATGGTCGTGGCCGCGGCCGAGGCTCCCGATGCTAATGCCGTGGCCAGGCCCACAGGTGACGCCGGAAATGTCGACGTCGCGGCTGCCGGAAATTAAGGCGATGCAGTCATCGCCGGTGCCAATGTAGGCGCCGGAGATGACAATGTGGCTCGACACGCCGACGGTTATCCCGTCGGTGTTGGGGCTCTCGCTCGGAGCTGTTATAGACACTTTGGTGATGACGACGTTGGAGCATCCGAAGAGATGCATGTGTGTGCTCTTGCTGTCCGCCGATCGGAGATGGTGAACTCTCGAATTCGTCACATAATCGAGCCTCAACGACTGTATATATAACACAAAAGTAGATCGAATAAATCGATTTAAGGCGGTCGCGCAAAAATAAATCATAGGCCCGGTAATAAATAAATAACTTTTTTTTTTTTTTTTTTTCCTTTTTTGGTGTAGAATAGATTGTCTGGCATAATTTGCTATTATAATTTATTAGAATTATAGTTAGATTTTGGATTAATTTTAGAAAAATTTTAATTAGATTTTATTAGAATTAGAATGGGATAATTTTTAAAAAAAATATATGAAATAAAATTTAAATTAAATTTTAATAATTAATATATCTAATAATAATAACAATAATAACAATAATAATACACTTTAAAAATATTTATTAATTTTAAAGGTGAGAAAAATAGAATTAATTTTAGAAAATTTAGGTTATAGTATTAAATTGGATAATGATTAAAAAAAGATATATGATAAAATCTAAATTAAATTATAATATATTTAATAATAGTAAAATAAAATTAAAAAATATTAACTCTTTTTAAGCATAGTCCCGGGCAATTGTTCATGTTGTTCCTCCTAAAAGTTAATTGATTGTGTTAAGAGATTGGGCTTACCACAGGCAAATGTCTGCAATTAGAATTGGTGGCGCAGTCGTTGTATTTCCAGGCGGCGGCGCCGCCGCCGTCGAGAAGGCCGCCGCCGCGGAGGTCTAAGTTATTAACGTACTGGAAAGCAATCCAAGTGTCGGAGAAGAAGGTGGAAGGGTCGGTAGGGGCGAGGAGGGTCCCCTCGATCACGAAAAGAATCGGACCAGTGCAGGGACCTCGAAACGACGCCGTTTTCACCAAATACTCTCCTTTGGGGATTCGGACGGCCGCCATGCCTCCCCGGCTTCTGCACGCGTCGTTCCATGCCCTCACAAACGCCTAAAATCAAACTCATTAGTAATTAATTAATTAATCAATTAACTGAACTGAACTGACCATGCCGTTATCGGTGATTCTGTCTGGAACTGCTCCGTAGCTTCTGACGTCATATACTCTTCGCGGCATCCCACGGCGGTGCCGGCGGTAATAAGGAGCGGCGTCGCCGGAAAACAGCAAGAAAAGACAGAGAAGAAGAAAAATTAGCATGGATTTCGAAATTACCATTTTGTCCTTGTCTGTTAGATATGAAATTTCCACGGTACAAATTTTCTCCTTTCTTTTTTAACTGTATGTAGCGGAGGTACGGAATTACTATTTATTTATAATGCTGGTAAATAATATTGAATGCAAAATCATTTTTCAAATGTTTGGAAAACTCTTATTAATTTAAAATATAATGATATAATAAACAAGGAAATAATTGTAAAAAATCGTGAAATTAATTAATGAATATGGAGGAAAATTGAGGAATTAACGATACTATGGAATGGAGTTACAGTCACAGAGGTGTTAATTTCTTTTATTTAATTTCTTTTATTTAATTTCTATTTTCATAAAATACATAAGAAGTTTTGAAGTATAATGAGAAATAAATCTGGGTGGATTTTCAATTGGAAATAAATCAATTATTGTTGGGAAAGAAAAATAAATTAATTTTATTATAATTGATTAACTTCCCTAATTATTTTATAGGGTTAAATTCACCAAGTTAGTATGATTTGTATCCTATCTTGCACGCATGTACACAGATATATTAATAAATAAATCATTAAAATTAATTTTATAACACACTGATATTTTTTATTTTTCAAGGTTTATGTAACTCGCTGTACATTTTGGGGCATTTTAACTTTTAACTTTTAATTAATATTTGCTCTTTTCATTGAATGATTTATGTAAAATCTTAATATCATACCATTTAAATAATTTATTATAATAAAATATATATTTTAAAAAATATACAAAAAATTTTGAATTAGTCAATCATTAATATAAAAATTCATTATATGACCATTCTTACAATGCGCTTTTTAAGGGTTGAATTTAAAATTTAGCATTGTGCTAAAAAGTACATTGTATTATTACAAATAATACATTATGGGTGTGTTTGTTTGATGGTTTGGATTTTGAGTTGGGATTTGAATAGTAAATATTTTGAATTTGAATAGTTGTATGATGTGATATAAATAGGTGTTGATGTAATGTTTTGAATGTAAAATTAATTTTTAGTATAATATAAAAAATAAAAAATAGGTGTTGATGTAATGTTTTGAATGTAAAATTAATTTTTAGTATAATATAAAAAATAAAAAATAGGTATTTAATTCGATATTTTTTTAGGGAAAAAATTAGATGAATCGTAAAAAAAAAATCCAATCCCTTAAACAAACATACCCTATATATATTAATATAATATAAATACAATATATTAATTAACATCACATGTTATAGTTTCATACAACATATATAACAATGAATTTTAGCACATAACATAATATTATACAACACACATATAATTATGAACAAATAGCATTATCTTTATCGAAAAATCAGCACCGTAATCATTCTCATATTCTCATAGTTATATACGTACAATATATCTGATTATATAGAAATTCCAAGTAAAATGATTTGTGATTAAAGATGAATTGAGTTTGTTTGTATAACAATTTTAAGTACATATTTTGAGTTTTGTTTTTTATCTTCAAATTTTTATAAATAATATCTATAATAAAAATTAAACATGAAGTACAAATATAATGTAAAATAAAAAATTGAGTATATATATATAATATTAAGCTAAAATTGTTTCAATGATGTCGTTACATTTCCTCATGCCACCTTTGTGAAATGAATTTCACACAAATTTTTACGATAATTTTATATTTTATGTGATGTCTGTATAGTAAACAATTTGATTTATTTATTTTATAATTTACTATAAATTAATAAACATAAAAAATTAAATATTATAACTACTTAAGTTTTATTCATTTTATATTTATATTTTAATTTTAAACAAAATAAATAGCAATCAACTCGATAAATAAATAAATAAATAGCAACCAACTTATATGTGGTGACATCATATGTCCACCGCTACCATGGACCTCGAAGATAAATTACTAGTAGTTATATTATAGAACTGACGTGAGGTCATGAATTCAAATTTTCAACGTCTGGTTGTTTAGTATAACTTGCGGGTATTAAGTTCAATAAGAAATTTACTTAGTGCGCATTTTCAGGTAACAGTTACAGATTCTCACCTTATAAAAATAATAATAATACTCTCTCAGTCCCAATACATTGTTTATCATTTTTGTCTGTTCCAAAACAATAGTCTTATTTTCATAAATAAATCACTATAAAACTATCCCTACTTTTTCATTTCTATTACACAATTGCTACTACTTTGTACACTAATACACTCACAAAAACAAAAAAAACTTTTATTCATACTTTTTACACACTGCTAATATAATGTCAAAATTCCTTAAATTTCGTGTCCTATCCACTTAAGAGGCAGAGGGAGTAATAATAATAATAATAATAACATAGAAACCTTCTTCTTCCCGCACAATTCTCCCCATCCAACAAAAGAAAACAATGGCAAGGCATTTTGCAAATCTCAAAGTCATCTACCTCAACCATGTCCATTTGAGTGTGCTTACCCTCATTGTCATATAATAGCTAAAAACCTCCCAAAAATCTCATTCCTCAACAAAACGAGCATGTAATTGCTATCGGGAGCATTCATGCAATGGATGGTAAATGAAAACATAAAATCTTTAGCCTTTAACTTAGAAAACTCTTGTTGCGATAAATGCCGAAAAGGTCTATGGATTTGTCGAGTGGCTTGAAATGGTAAGGTTGTATAGCTAGGTTGATAATATCCCCAATAGGCCATGGGAGGTAGAGACAGCATAGATACACAAACTGAGGCCGAGGCTGGGATGAAGCTGGCATGGGCATGGAGTTTGATGCCTTCTCCTCATGAAATAAGTGACGCAAGTAGCAATCCAATGGCTTGCAAATCCACTTCAATTTCACAAGGTAAAGCTTATAAGAAAGAGTCGTAAATCTTCCATCCTTGCAGTCCGAGCATTGATGGTATGCATCAGTGCTTCCATTTGGCGTCGCAAATCAACAAAGTCCTCTTGCAGTCCAATAAACTGCACCTCAATTTTAACCTTCTCTGTCTGTGACATAAGCATGATCAGACAGCCGGAAGGAAATCCAGTAGATCGAACTAATGATAAATAAAAGAAAAAGAAACCAAACCAAACTAACACCCAAAACCTACCGGAAGAATCTGCACTAATATATTTTGGTCTTATTCATTAGGCTTAAAATAACAAAGACTCTAATGGGCCACTATTAGGTCTAAGTAATTTAAACACATCTTATATCGACAGAATGTAAACACATAATAGTGGCTTCTCAGGCATTTCGCTCTCAACTTCTATAAAAAATTTTAGTTATGTATATGATGAATGAGAATAGTTTCGTCCTACTAATAGCATTCGGGGGCCTTCAAGCTTGTGTTGAAAGATGAGCGTTACGGCACGCTACCAGTACAACTCTAGCTTGAATAGATTTCAAATATGACAATCGGAGTCCAAAAAACTCATATAATTAAATTGAATAAAATAACATCGACTATACATACCCTTAAACATGATTTGTCACCACCTTGTTGAACAAGTCAGTCACGAAGGATTATCTAGACATTCATTCATCCATCACAATGAAACTTCATCAATCCTGTTTACTTGACAGTAGTGTGCCACCAGCAATTCTGCAAACATAAGGACAGGACAGGGTAGGATACTTGGTAAGAAATGAGAGAGAACACACCCCATACCATACCATACCAAACCATATGCGAGTAAACATACAGGGATTGATCTCAAATGCTACCTATTTCTTGCGCGACGAATGTCCTCAAGAACCTCTGCTGCATGCTGCACCTTTAAATTAAGGGGCGTTTCTCTGCTGTCGAGGAGAAAGTTTGAAAACCTTAGAAATGCTTCGAGTTCTTGTTCAATTTCGTTGAGCTGTAGGTCTAGGTGTTGTAGGAAGTCCTCATACTTAGTGATTTGCTTTGGTATGTCAACACTGTTGGCTGCATACAATACATTTTCACTGGAAGACTCATCATGGTTATTCAACTCAATTTCTTCACCGATGTTTACTCGAGTCTCAGCATGACCTTCCTTATTTTGATCCTTTAGGTATTCTGGATCATTCAGATCAACATTCTGACCACCATACAATTCAGATAATACCACAGGTTTTTCTTTCGCAACATCAAGATCAAGTGCCATATTCCCAATGAGTACACTTTCCTTCATGGATATTGCCTGAAAACAGATGGAATTATTGACCAAGCTTTCTGATGCAATAAATATATAAATAAAAATTAAAGAGAATTAAAGATTATATTACACAATAAAAATCATAGTACACAACCATACAAGCTCGGTGGCAACTTAGCTAACATTTTTCATCAAAAGAGTTTCAAACCAGAAGCAGAGTGGCAGAGGGAACTTCAATCTTACATCAAGGTAATATGTAGGGAATTTACAATGGATCTGAGTTAACCGAAAACCTGCCCCCTTTAAGTCAAGGCTGTTTGCTTAATTGGATATCATGCTCAGTTCTGATTGACAATTAGGTTATGAATTGGATAAATTACTATGAGTATTAGTATCAAATAATATGTTTTCATAACATAAATCTTAAATACTAATCGGATTGGGTTTAGAGAGAGATCAGCTTGACTCAATCAAGGCAGTGCTGGTTGGGGATAGGTTGGAGTCAATTTGAATATCAGAAAGTTCCCTAAACAGGTTAGTAAACTGAGTTACATTTTTAGATCAGATTAGGGCAGGGGCAGGTTTCAGAAAAATATTGGGTCAGATCAGGTTTCCGGTTCAGTAAAAGCTTGGGAGGCTGGGCTTTGTGTTTTTCTACACTCCAAAACCGACCTGCTGGCATCATTCCTCTTAACAGAACATCCTGGCCATTTAACAACCCAAAAAAAATGAAAGTAAAGAAAAGAAAACTTCAACAACATCCTGGTCATCTCGAATTGTTCATTACTAATTATAAAAGATGCAAAGAACAATAATATTTGGTCCATTATTTCAAGTAAAATTATCACACTTCAACGGCATTGTTTGTTGCTTTTCCAGCTCCTAATGTATCAAGCAGCAATGGTACATGATAGAAAAAGCTAAAGACTTGCATGTCATCCAGTCTCTAGTAAATTTCAAAGCATTGATTAGATTCCTACAAGAATGAAATGTAATTGTACCTCATTGAGTTTTGCAGAGAGCTCATCAAATAGTTCAATACGAGTCTTTAACTTCTCAATAGCTTGCATTACCTTCTTCTTTTGAAATAGAATCTCCCTAGCATCATTTTCTTTTCCACTTTGAACATTGATCGCTGCTTGCCGTCTAAGCCTATCAACAGCTTCACACAGACGCATCAGTCTCAATCTTGAACTTTTGGCTGGATATACAAAGATAAGTTAGAGTCAGAGCATAGATGTCATACAAATGTGACAAGCAGTATTACAGTTCAATCTCTATTTCTCAGGCGGAAGAACTGTTGCGACTCATTTTCTAGAGGGATTATGCATCACCAACCACAGAAAGAAAGTGATCTATGGATATTGATGAACTTTAATTAATGAAACAAAAGGGCCAGTTTTCTATAGAACTGATTCTCATCAGCCTTGAATGCATGGAAGAGCTCATGGAAACAATATGACCCAGTATGAATTGCAGCATGTTTGATCTTGCAAAAAGATTTGTTTCAATTTGTCCCAATTCAGAATTATGGAAAGTTTAGTCCAATAATGTGTTTTGGGTCAAAGCTGACGATTCATTCACATGATTCTGGACAATAAGAACTCTGTACAGCAAAAAGAGTATCTTAAGTCACGTCATACACTATGTTAAGAGTTTATGTCCAAAACTCTTGTATGTGGTATCAAAGCTCTGGGGACTACTAGTAAGAAAAAAACTATTGTATATCTATAATTGTCATGCTCAAGTTAATGTTTAAGCAAACAATGGATCCAATGTGGAAAATGTAGTCTAATGGGACAAATTTAAAATGAGTTTTTCTTGTGGCATCAATCATACTGCTGCGCCCTTTTATTAAATTCATAATGAAAATCGAAAGCTTAACAGTCTTGCATGGACATCTGTATAAAGCATTCCATATAATTAAGAATTTAAAATGAGATAGATTTCTTACAATATGTTCATGTGGTTGTTATATGACGATGGTAACCAATCAACTCATGTAAAGTAAAGAACAAAAACTCTTATTGCATCCATCAAAGTGTAACAGAAACAACCAGTTGAAAGTAACAAGTCAGTCCAACCAAAAAAGTTCATCAAAACATAATTCCAATACACATGTTTTGAACCCAAACTCCAGACCAAAGCTGTGATTTTTTCAGGTCTATGAATGCATCCTTCTAGTTCAAACAGAAACTATTTCCAAAGAATATTTAACTTCAGCAACATTCCATTTTGATAAACCTAAAAATCACACATACTTTTAGCATAAACATCTAGCCCGCCTTCCAAGAAAAAAAAATTGCCAGGTAGGTAGGTGCTTTTTGAGATCAAAGTACCAACTTTAAATTCTTCTAGATGTTGGATTCTCAATCAACTTTTCTATGGTCTACATATCACAAGAACTAAAATCAAACACCATTTACAAAGTCATATATTTGGCTACAAAAGTGGCAAAATGTAGATATAAAACTCTATTTTTGCACTATCTAGCATATATAAATGTAATGAAAATGCGACGAAACAAGCAAAAAGTGCAAAATGTTTCACATGATTTCTGAAAGTGAAAAATGCTATGATGGAGAAGATGGAACGGTTTGTTTAAGAATGAACAAAGAGATATGACTTCCAAAAAGAAGAAAGGTATAGGGGAATGAATTCAATATGGTACAGCCATGGATAATTAGAAATTGAAATTTGTGGTTTATAGCAGAATATCAAAAGATTACAATTTGATGGTATAAAAGATATTTTTATTTGAGTATATTATAATATAATAGTATGAAATATATACTTACAAAATAATAAATATAATATCATATTATAAAATATGTACCTTCTTATAATAAATATTCTATTATATTATTCAAGTTTCAATCTAAACACTATCCCGCTCCGCACAGCACTGCTGCGGGCTATCAACAACTATGACTACAAACTTTGATATTTTGAATAACTCACTCCAACCATTATTCCTAGCATCCTTTAAGTATAAAGTAGAATAACCACTGCTTAAGGTTAAAATCTACCAGTAGAATGGATGATTGGTGCCACAAATTCTACTCATTTCTAGTTTAGTTCTTTATGATACATTCTAACCCCAATGCTAATGTGAATATGGGGAGTTAAGGTTTTACTAAGATAATTAATCATCTGAGGTGAAAGAGCCCTCTCAAGTAGATAAAAGATGGATTATAATACTAAATAAATTACATAAAGGAATGAAAAACAGAGGCTGGGTAGCAATTTTTTACCCAACATCCACATAAAACAAAATAATGAATTATTTGAAACAATTACAAACTAAGTGAGAGAAAAACCTTTGACTCTTGTGGATTCTGCCTCCTTGTGAAGATTACTGAGCTGTTGTCGGAGCTGGTCCGCAGTAGCAGATGTAGATGCCAAACACATTGACTGCATTTGAGAACACGGACGCCATTGAAATAACACCCCACAGTTGAGCATCATCTGTTTGCTTGTATATCTGCCGCATCGAAGAGCTCGTCAAAGAAACAACTGTGAAAAGCTTTAAGGATATTCAGTAATTTACTACATGATCTGGGGGTAAATTTTGGACAACTTTTATCCTCTGTTAAGATCAAACTGTTATATCTTATACTAAATATATGGGCATAAAATTTGCTTGTTGAAATAAAAGCCACAATTCTAATAGTTATATTAATATTACTTTTATAAAAAGAAGTGGATTGGCAAACATGGTGGATATTGATTAATAGGGGGAAAAATAAGACCCGGTTAACATACTCCAGTGACAACTTTAAATCTCATAGTAAAATTTATAATATTTTTGGTCCAGTTCACACAAAAATATCATTTTAAGCCCCACTAGCCAGCCAAGCCGCTAACTGGTCCGACTTGACCTCCAGCGGATCTACAAGGAAGCTGAGTAGGACACAGAAACATGCGTGCTTAGACCAGACCGCGTGCAGCTTGGCAAGAAAAATGTCTTAGTACATAAACAAGCCCATGTAAATGTTGAATGCGACCATATTGTTTGATGATGGATACACATACACGATTCATAACACAAACATTCATTACAATGGCCATGTTATGTAAGAGTCAATGTTTTGACAGTTTATTAAGTTAAACACAGCCTTATTTCATCATTGTCAGGAGGTAGGACAGATTTCTTCTCTCTCACTCTCTTGGGCGCCATTCTTTTATAAAAACACACAATTATACGCAAATTCTTTTATATAACATCACATCAAATTACAATTTAATTTTAAAAAAAAAAAAAAAAAAAAAAAAGCAAAATAAACACACTAAAAATTGTTATTTTTTGTTTTGTTTTTTCATTTTTTTATCAAGTGTTCCGAATATAATTCCTTGCCAATAAATTTCAATTATTTGTGTAGTTCTGTCGTCAGAATGTGTTAAAACGAAAAGGGTAAGGGTTTAGTGGAATGATGAAGATTTAGAATATGAGAAATATTGAAATAAATTCAACAAAAATCCAAAAAACAAATATAGAAAAGAAAAGAAAGCTGGTTTAGAAGCGAATTAAGTGATGAAGAAGTTGCCCATTGTGAGAACTCTAAGGGAAATTTTTTAGATACATTGATAATAAAATTGAGGTTTATTTATAGACCTTATACAAAAGAATAAAGTCAAATAATAACAACTAAATCTAGTTACATATCTAGATAATAACCACCTAATATAGTAAAAATACCTAATAGTAAATATGATTATATGATAACTAACCAATTAATAATATCAACCAAAATGTATATCTAAAATATATTTTAACATCCGCCCTCAAGCTCAAGTTGGTGATGTACAAGCCAACTTGAGTTTGGCAAAAGAAATAGGAGGTTGTTCAATATGAACGGATTTTATAACTGGACATCAACATTTAAATCGATTCTCTTTTGTGGTGGAGATGTTAAGCCCTAAAAAATTAGGATTTTGGCAAAATTAAAGTTTCAAGTGGCATCAATCCTTTGACGCAACAGCGGAAACTTTGATATATTAAAATTTTGGCCATATTAGGATTTTTAATGGTTAGGATTCTCTGTCGCTGCCGCAGCACCGACGATTCTCTATCGCTGCAGAGGCGCTAAATCATGAAAAATTAAACCCTAAGAGCCAGACACTCCGAACAGGTAATTAAATATCAAACCAAAGCCTTAATCAAAACTGAAAAGTTCACAAATAGGCTGAAAATATTTCTGTATGTTGTCACCGAAAAATTCTAACAATCGGACACCAAACGCACTTGTACATGCAGCCAAAGTCGGAGGGCAAAAAAATTGTTGACCGCAATGACCGGAATCGACCAAATGTTGACCGACACTGGTAACTCATATGCATTGTTTCATATGATGATATTTGGTGGCAAGTGTTTTCCAAATTAGAAATATGAAAACGGTGATAATGGATCATAAATTTGAAAGAAAATCCTTCGGGTACATTACGAGATATACCCGGAGAAAACGTGAACTAGTAGACAATGTCTATTTTATGAGAAAAGAAAATTTTGATACCATGTGAGAATTTTAAGAGAAATTTATGAGATATATTGATAATGAAATTAAAATCTATTTGTAGATCTTATACAAAATGATAAAGTTAAATAATAACCAAATATAAGTAGCATATACAGAGAATAACAACCTAAACTAGTATATATGATTATATAATAACTGGCCAATTTAAATAATATAAACTAAAATATATTTCAACATTTTCTTTTAAAAGACCCTACTTTGATGCTTATATTGGGTATTGATCCCATTAGAATTTTCGAGATTATCATCTCGAGTAGGGAGTGTTGAATATTGTCCCACATAAGAAAATTGTGAGAACTCCAGGTGAACGACTACTCCACTGAATATCTATTTATATCACATCAAACAACTGTTCAAATTCAACTTTTTACTATTTAAAAATCCAAACCCACAGAACAAATACACCCTAAATGTTTTTTGTAATTACAATGTTAGGGGGTACTTCTCACAACTGTCTAAATTGATTGTATGCGGTGGACTTTTGTGAAATACCACGCTGTCACAGAACGAGCAGCCATTTGTTGTCAAGAATTAGATCCGATATCCTTTGTGGACAATCTATGCACTGAAAGATTTAACTACCCCTATCCTATCGTCCAATGGAAGCTTTTGGCCAAGATTGGATTTTCACTACTACTAACGGTGAAGATTCAAAAGAGCAGTAAGGAGGTCACTTAAAGGTTGGAGACGAGAGCCCACTAGACTAGAGTAATTAAAGATGATTTAGTGAGAAAAACACTTCGAAGTAGAATGAATACCTTTAGTCTGAATGCGCTCAACCTTTGGAGGGTGCTCACAATTGGGATACAGGGTGCGCGGCTTGGTAAGACTTTGCAGGTTCGTTGATTCTCTTTTCTATTTACCCCTCATTCAAAAATAGGATTCCAAGCTAATTTAAACTGCAAACCTGCATAATCAAATCAAAACTAAAGTTCAGTAAATCAAGCGGCACACCGAAAAGTGGCGCAAAGTAAACAAGGCTGGGCAATCGGTGACAGAAACAACGGGAAGGATGCTAGATAATGCGACGGGGAGCAGAGGCGGACGGCGACGAACAATGGTTGAGCAGTTTGAGGCTGGACAGGACAACGATGGCAGCGAGCAGAAAAGAAGAACCGTTTACCCTCTATAATTGATGAATGCGTCGGTTGAGGAAGAATGCGGCGCCGAATGCGCGGCGGCAGACGACGGGGGAAGACAACGCGACTGTAGATTGGGGCAACGGCGAAGACAGAAGACGGATGAAGACGGACGACGGCAACGAGCGATTTCTTTTCTTTTTATTTTTATTTTTTATTTTTTATTTTTTTTTTAGGTAAACGGATAATTGGAGCATAGTGAGGGTATCGTTTCTTCTTTCTTCTTGTTTGCTGGTTTGTTTGATTGGTTCGATTTTAAGATGAAGGTCAAATTAGAAGTTATTTTTTTAATTATTGTTTAATTTAAATATATATTTTTATATAAATATACATTTATTTATTTGTTTATAGAATTTTAAATGCAGTATTAATATATAATGATATTGATATATAAAATATTATATAAATACATATAATAATATTTTTAATATTAATTATAATGAAAATAAATATTTCTTTTAGTCTTTTAATTATTGTTTAATTTAAATATATATTTTTATATAAATATACATTTATTTATTTGTTTATAGAATTTTAAATGCAGTATTAATATATAATGATATTGATATATAAAATATTATATAAATACATATAATAATATTTTTAATATTAATTATAATGAAAATAAATATTTCTTTTAGTCTCATCATTATAAGGTATTCTATTATCTTTTACGTATTTAACATTAAATATCATTATATTTGTATAATTTTTTTATAAATGTAACTATATTTAGCATTATAAAATATTAATAAAAGTATTTTTTGTCATTTTCTCTTAATATATTTTCATATAATAATTAATGTTCAAATATAACATACAAAAAATAAATTGATTACTTGGGACAGAGAGAGTAAATAAATTGAAAAAGAACAAACTGAATATATAAAATTTTTACATCATATTAAATACTCTCAACTTTTATTTACTGGTCCATATTTGCATTTTTGTTTGTACCATTTATTTTGTCACTTTTTTAAAAAGGCAAAAAGAATTACAAACTTTAATTTCATTTTAAATTTATAATTTTCAAAACTTTTAATTAAACTAATTAATTATTTTTGTCTTATACATAATTATTTTCATTAATTCCTTTCAAGTTATATTTCTCCTAAATTGTCTTTACTATGGTAAAAGAACACAATAATATCAATTGATTAATATTATAGTAAATGATTTTGATAATATGTAGTATAATGTGATATGATAAATTTTAAAATTATACTTCATTCGTTCGTCTGGTCACATTTACCTTTTGTGTCATTGTACTTAACGTTAAAAATATTTTTATATTTATATAATTTTTTTTTGTAAAAATGTCCTTCTGTTAGTATTATAATACACTAATGAAACTATTTTTGCAATTTTTTATTAATGTGTACTGCGTTTTGATATAATAATTAATAATTAAATATCAAACGCAAAAAGTAAACGAGACCCTTCGAGCCGAACAGAGGTAGTAAAATTTATCTTTTTAACTCATTTTTATTGATATAATTTTTATATTCAAAACATCACATCAATACATATTTATATCACATCAAATTTTTTAGTAGTGTGTTTACTTGTGGTGTTTTGGTTTTGAGTTTCGATTTTGAATAGTAAAATTTTGAATTGAAATAATTATTTGATGCGATATTTTAAATATAAAATTAAATTTTAATATAATATAATAAATAAATAAATAAATTTGAAATAGCAAAATCAAAACAGAATCACACAAGTAAAATATTTTGAATTTTTCAACATGATTAGTATTGATTAACGTCTTTTCAAAATATTTGAAAATACTTGAATTTTTTTTCAAAATGTAGCATATTTGAACTCAAATGAGTTAATAATACTATAATTTAATATACTTTCTTCCATCTCGAATAAAAATATACATTTGATTTTTTTTTTTTGTAGTAAATAATAAATAATACTCCCTCGGTAATATAAATATGTGCTCATTTTATTAAATACGAATTTTAATAAAAATAAGTAATAAAAAAGGTAAAAAAGTGTATTGATTTTTTACTTAAAAAATAAACAAAAATATTTTTTTGATGACAATCCAAAAAAAAAAGTGAGTGTAAATTTAAATGGCAAAGGGAATAATATTTCATTAATTAGTAAAAGTTCGTAGGATGATCATGATATTTTTATCTTTTTATATTTTATGTATATTTTTAATGATATTTTTAAAATTTATATAAAAATTATAAGTATTTTTCTTGTGTGATTACTTTCACTTTGATAGAAAAGTGATAGTATTTTGTAGTGATTGGAAAATTAATAAAAATAATACTCTGTTGGTATAAATGGAGTATAAAAAATTTTGAATATAAAACGTTTCTTCTTGGGTGTGTTTGTTTGGGGGTTTGAATTTTGAATTGGGATTTGAATAGTAAAAATTTTGAATTTGAATAGTTGTATGATATGATATAAATAAGTGTTGATGTGATGTTTTGAATGTAAAATTGATTTTTAGTATAATATAAAAAATGAAAAATAGGTGTTTGATTTAATGTTTTTGGGAAAAAAATGGGATTCTCGGACAAATTCAATACAAATTCCCCCGTAGTATACAATAAATTTAAGAAATGTAATATAAATTGATTCAAAATAAGCTGGTTGTCCAATTACAAAGTAAATATTTTATAAAATGTTCCATTTTTTTTCACAAATACTCATATTTTGCATCATATTATTATTTTTACATAAAAAAAATAATAAATAAAGTCAAAATACTATTACTTTTTTATTTAGACGCAGTACACATTAATAAAAAAGTAATACTCCATCATACCATGTCCACGTTGCCGTTTCTATCCGTCCCATATTCCATATCACTTTCTTTTTTCGAAAAATGATTACACACTTTAATCTCATTTTAAACTTTTTAATTTATTTTTTTTAATTTTAATTAAACTAATTAGATATCTTAATGTTAATTTATAATTATTTATATTATAGGATAATTATTTTCACTAATATATTCTTAATTATCTATTAATTATACCCTTCTTAAAATATTGTGCTACAGTATAAGTATTATTTTAATCTAATTCATATTGATCTTGAACCGAAAAATATTAATAATTTTATCCACAAAGTTGGGCTTATTTGAGTAACTTGACCCGACGTTAATATTGATGAATTTTTTGGATTAATTTGAATAATTAGGTCCGAAGCTAATTACAAAGTCATGCTTGGTTGGCCTACATCTGTCCTATCCGATCAATCAAAATTCTTTGAAATTTTTGTGTGACAAGAAATTTAAATGATTAGAACTATTTTTAATTAAAAAATAATAATATATACTCAATATATATATTATAGCATAAACGCCGTATTAATTAAAGCTATAATACTTCTCTTCTAAATCATCATTAGTTTAGTTAAAAAATTTAATTCGTTAGTATTATCTTCGCATAAAATATTTAATTTTTTTATATTTTTATTTATTCCACATAATTTGTTTTTTTTTTAAAAAAAAAATAATTATACATTTAATTACATTTTAAATTTGACTATTGATAATTTTTTTTAATCTTAATTGGACTATTTAGTTATTTTAGTTTTAATATATAATTATTTTTATTATACAATAATTATTTTAAACCATGCACTTCCTAATTATTTATTAATTATACTTTACTTAAATTCTTGGTAATACGAACACTTTTATAATATTATTAAAATAATACATTTATATATCTAAACTAACACATGTATATTGATATATGAAGTATGAAAGTGCCCTAATGAAATGATTTATTATTTGACCGATTTGTATATATTCTCTTAAGAATAATATTGTTATCTATAAATGCAATAATGGCAAATAATTTTTCTCCTTGAAATGAAAATTTATGGACAGATGAAATGTATGAACTCCTGAGTTAGGTGTTGGTGTTGGTCCCCTCACACCACTTTCATTTCAAATCAATCATACAAGCTTTCTGAAATTCATACACAAATGATCGATGTAAGATCGATTGTGGAATAAGTGCAAGAGTTTCAATTCTTGATACACAATGTTCTTGACGGGGGATTATGTGACTACCCGATGCCTTTAATGTGGCAGTAATAATAGAAAAATTATCCCCGAAACTTTAAGAACTACTTCAAGTATATAAAATACGTATACATATATATGCTTTTTGAAGATCCGATTGTCAAACTTTGCTTTGAAGAAGTAATTAGAAGTATTCAAAATCAAAAAAATTTTTAGGACAAACCCAAGCAAAGTGGGTAACTTCTTGAACAAAAAAAAAAACTCGACTAAGGATGGTGAGGGTAGAAAGAAAAGGTTTAAGTTCACCGGGAATTATTACTGTTTTGGCAAGTTCAGATATATGAGTAGTCGGTGAAAAAAGCTAAAAGATAAAGGCAAAACGCCGACATGACATACTAGACAAACCATGTGTGGCAAGTGGACCTGGGGCGTCGGGGGTTCTCATGGTCACAAGTCCAACCCCTTAACCACTAGGCCATTCCTCACTGGACAAGTGATGAGTTCTTTCAAACACAAACCTTGTACAATGGGTGTGGTCATAATTTCATGAAAATATTGCTTGCAACGGCCAAATTATCTCCATTTTGCAAGTATATAACCACCACAGTAAAATAATACTCTCTCCGTTTCGGATATTTTGTCCACGTTACCATAGACACAAGAATTTAAGAGGAGTATAATTAGTAAATAATTAAAAATATATTAGTGAAAATAATTATTGTTTAATAAAAATAATTATAAATTAAAATTAAAATAATTGATTAGTATAATTAAAATTTTAAAAATTATAAATTAAATTTTTAAAAATAAGATTAAAGTGTATAATTGTTTTTCAGAAAAAGAAAGCGACAAAATAAGTGGGACGGAGAGAATATTAATTTACACGTATTAATATATATATTTTAGTCATAACGTAGTTTGACACAAATTTTTCTACTTTACTTTAGATGAATTAATTTACTGATAATGATATCATAATCTCGGTTATTACTATCTATCTACTTATATATATATAGGCTATGGATCCTTGGCCGATCCGACTAAGTCAACATATGCTGATTTAACCAAATCAACATATGTCATACACATAATTAACATATATTTATTTATATATATATATTAGTTGGTGCAATCTATATATTTAAATACTGTTATAGCGTTGAAGATAATTAACATTTAATAATAATGTTGTTAGT